AAAAGAAAAGAAACTATTGAATGTGAATGTGGTGGTGTTTTTAGGAAATGTGATATAAGAAGGCACGAGCGAAGCGACAAACATCAACGATATGTATGTGAAAATATTAATATCTAAATATCTCTAATAAGAATGAAATTATTAGAGATGTTTAGCGGGACAGGCTCGGTTGGTCGGGTTGCTCGGGATTTGGGTTTTAGTGTTATTTCCCTTGATTTGAAAAATGCAAATATCAATACTGATATTTTGAGTTGGGATTATCGTGAGTTTGATGTGGGCGAGTTTGATGTTGTGTGGGCATCTCCTCCATGCACGGAATACAGTAGGGCTAAAACTGTTGGTGTCCTAAAAATTGATTATGCTAATAGTATCGTTTTAAAAACTCTTGAAATCATTGACTACTTCAAACCTACATGGTGGGTTGTGGAAAATCCTCAAACAGGATTATTAAAGGAACAACCCTTCATGAGTGGCTTGAAATACTATGATGTGGATTATTGCAAATATGGAATGAATTATAGGAAGCGAACAAGGCTTTGGACTAACATTGAAACATGGAAACCCAGACCATTATGTAATAGGGATTGTGGGAAGGTTAGGAATGGGAAACATATTGAAACTGCTCAACGCTTGCCACCAAAAACTAAGGCGGAATGGGGCGATAATCCTATCATTCATAAACAGGTGGATTTGTATAAATTCCCGTCTGAATTGATTAGTGATATTTTTGTTTGTTTGCTGTCAGGGGGATGAAGCACTGAACCAACCTCATTTCGGACTCTTGAAATGGTTATTTCAAACCGGTGAAATCAGCCCATAACATGCTAAATTAGGTGGCGTTTCACCTTTCTGAAATAATTATTTCGGGTTTCTGAAATGATTATTTCGGGTTTCTGAAATGATTGTTTTGCGTTTCTGAAATGGTTATTTCGGGTTTCTGAAATGGCTATTTCGAGTTTCTGAAATGGACATTTTGGGCTCACGAAATGAGACATAGGGATTGATTGTGTTTAACATTTTAGAGCATCAAGAAATATACAGTTGGAAATAAAACAGGCTATGAAACGATACGAAATCATTACTATAGAACATATTACATTTGAAATTTATACATAACAGAAACAATGATTTCATGGCTTAAGCATAATATTTAATTATAATATGATTAAACATTGTTTTATAATCTAACAAGAAGGTTAAGACATTTAAATTAAACCTGAAACCCCCTAGCCAAAACTACTTAAAGAAATATTAGCTTATATATTAAGAGAAAAATGAACGGTGATGGAATCAATAATTATATCGATAAAAAATGCTATGATTGTTGTCACTTCAAAAAAGAAAATATGGAATTGTATAAATTGAACTTACCTAATGAAATAGTGAATAATATTATTAATTATTCAATGGATGAAGAAGATTTATGTAAAATTTGTAGAAATTGGAGATATTATCAAGAATTAATCAGATGTCTGGTGGGAATAAAAAGAATTCGACATAGAAATGTAGAAGATGATATTTTAATATTTCTAACTGTAAATAAAATACCACCTTACGATTATGTTAAACAGTTTCTTAAAATCAGTAAGAAAAAATATGACACGATTTACGATATATTATGGATGTTGGGTTATAGTCAAGAGAAAGGAGAAGATGTTAAAGAAAATATCAAATTATTTATTGAAAGTAAAAAGTTTAATGTTCAGAATACAGTGAGAGATGTTAATATTATTTTTAAAATGATGTATGAAAGAAGTAAGACAAACCAATTAGATTATTATCCTGAACTGAAATTATAATCATAATATAATAATAACATGTAAAATCTTATATGTTATAATTATACTGAACTTTTAACCTATAAATGAAAATTAGTGAGAAAAACACTAACAAAACAAATGAACCACCAACACCCCAGAACTTGATAACTACTAAAAGGGTCAACTCTTTCAAATGAAAAAAATGTCGGCCCCCAGCCCAACAATGAACAAGGCGACAATTTACCCAAATGATTACCTTAACGAAAACGATAAATAAGCTCCCTAAAAACCCTCTTTTGAAAACGAATAAGGGGGAACACAGATTTGAGATGAACATAAAAACCAGAACAGGCAACCCTCAACAGACCACCCCCCAGGCCCCCTACTTTTACCATTTTTTCCCCCCCCCCCAAAAAAAAAGAAGAGTGCTTAGCCATCCCAGAATATGTGTATATATAACCTACTGATATGAGGGCCCCTGCTTGAAGCGCTGTCTGTCGAGTTTTTGATACCTACTGCTATTAAACTGCTGAGGCTGCGACGTACACATGGTGACAGTCAACGGGCTCTTCTTGATATCAACCTCTTTGTTCACATTATATTATGTTTCAAGGATTGTTCTTCTGCTTCTTTTGCTTCTTGCACTTGCAGGGGAACATCCAATCCCTCCCTGCGTTCATGGATATTGCTTGTACACACATGTACAGACCATAACACGTGCTACGACACCTCCCGCGAGAGGCCAATCAACTTGGGTTCAAACCTGAAGGATCAGACTGGTTTTGAGCGGCCGAGGACAAAGGAAGAACGTATTTTCGGGTGCTTGATTTGGGTATGTGTCAAAATGGGGATTCGGACCCCCAAAATGGTTGGCGTCCTTTTGGCTTCCATTTCAGCCAAGTTAAAAGGGTCCCGTCAAACAAACACACCCATGTTCAAGAAGAACCGCTCAAGCAAGGAGAAACACGCAGGAGTAAGGAAAAAGGAAGAACACATATTCAGCTGCTTGTTTTTTGATAAATGTCGCCCTTGCAACAAACTGGGGAGAGAACGGCAAGACTGAAACACATCTGTCACATGGGTGTGTCGTTGGTTCAGTTGGTACCCCTTGTTTGGTGGTTTGCATTTATATAAGGGAAAACCAGGAGGAAAACATTGGAAAACCACAATTTTGGGGTCCCCTCAAAAAACCCACACGCGCCAGCAGTGAAGCAATAGTTGCTGTAAAGGTACGCCTCACCCAGTGGATCCTGCGCTTCGCCACTTCAGTAGGTCACACCCAACCAACCAGCCAGCCCAGCCAGCCAGCCAGCCAAGCCAGCCAGCCCAGCCAAGCCATCCAGCCAAGCCAGCCAGCCCAGCCAAGCCATCCAGCCAAGCCAGCCAAGCAAGCAAACCAAGCAAGAAAGCATGCAAGCAAGAAAGCAGGCAACCAACCAAATTTAAAAAAAAAAAAAAAGAAAAAAAAAAAAACAAAAAAAACGAACGCCAAGAGCAGTGAAGGCAAGTTCCGAGGCACAGAGCAAAGTTGCCCGCCATGATCAGCGGATGGCTCGTCTTCCTGGTCAAGTTCTGTGGCTTGTACCTTCCTTTTCGGGGTGTCAGCTTCTGTTGCCGGTGTTGCGTCCCGTTTCAGAACTGGACCGTTCACATCACACCAAACCTGACCAGTTCCAAACTTGGGAGGCAACCCGCTGGTTTCGAAGCAAAGTGCGAGAAAACCAGACTCTGGCCCGGGCCTAAGGAAAGTCAGAGATTGGATGCTTCCCTGGCTGCCCCGCTTTACAATTGCTATAGGTATTGTTTGAAAAACATGGATACACATAGAGAGACAGAGAGACGAGGGCAAGTTTTGGGGTCCTTTTCCCAAGAGATACGTAACAAAGCCATCCTCGTGATCCGCAACGCGCTTTTTGAGGAGTCCAAAACCGGGTTTCTGGTAGGGTACTCTATCAAAGACCACGGCAACTAGGTCCTCCAGTAGAGAGGCTAGAATAAGGGTAATTACCTTTTTTTACCGTATAGTCCATTTTAGTAGGGGAACCCTCGCGCTAGCCTTCGGGGTTTTCGTGGCTTACAGTCCGTCTCAGCATGGGCTCGGCCGCGGATAGGGTTTCTTGGGAAAACATGGGGGTTGCGCCTTCTCTTGGAATGGGGCTTTGGAGGAAAAGCAGAAAGAAAACGGAGAGGTACCTGGATGGCTTTAAAGGTCGGAAACAAATAGAATGGGGTTGCGGCTTACTAAGCCAAATGAAGCATTGGTAGGAGACAAAGATCCTGAGGTTTAAATGTCGTTCAGCTTTTGTAGGCTGAGATCAGTGGATCTTGGCAAGCCCTTATAGCAGGTAACCCCCTCGCCATTTTCAGTTTGATTTTTGAAGGGTGGATCCTTTGCTAGGTCCTCCAGTAGAGAGGCTAGAATAAGGGCACCCTTTTTTCTGTAGTCTATTTTAGTGTGGGAACCCTCCCCCAACAAAGGGCAAAAGGGCACTACTGGGAAACCTAGTAAAGCACCCTTTGATCAACCCCCACCTACCCTTTTCCAAAACGCGACAGCCAGAGTCAGTCCTCAGCCAAGCAGCCACGTGCTCGATCCTACCAGCAAGCGTCAGTGTGGCGTGTGTCAGCTTGTCTTTTTTTCGGGAACCAGGGAAAACCGCAATTCTTGGGTGCCGATCGCCCGGTGGTATGGCGGCTTCCCTTTAAAACCACCCAAATACCCACGGAAATGGATTGATTCTTTCGCCTTTGTTTTTATGGATTCCGAGGGTCAAAAGCAAACCATGAGTCACAATCAAAACCTGGTACTAAAATGGTCTACCCAAATTGATGTAAGGAAATTAAACGGCGGCCGCAACTATTTCTGGCTGGGAATGCCCTTCATTCACCCAGGTTTTGATAGTGGCTCACGTGCAGTTTGACTACTCAGTGGAAATGACGAGTTGGTCCTCCTGGATTTGGGCCCATAGGTTCTGAACAAGACTCCTCAAGCGAGTCTTTGGGGCGGGGGACTTTGGTCCTCGCATCAATTGCTATGCCGTTCGCTTCTGCGCAAATGGGACTCACTTCCTAAGTGGCCTGGCCAAAATCAAATCCAAACTTCTTGCTTGCCAAAGATGCACAACGGAACGCCTCTTCTGTTCATATCACCTATCCCGAAATTCCGACAAACCAAGTACCTCCGCAAGCTGCTTTCTTGAATCTACTGATGACTTAGGACATCTTAGGACTCGAACTCGGTTAGGTGGCAGTTCCACCGCTACCTGGCCATCTCAGGGAAGTACACACGGTCTTCGCAAAACGGTTCAAAGTCCATGAACTCGGGGAGTGGGAGGATGATGCCAAGGGGCCTGGACCGTTCCAATTCCGACCGCACCTCATTGAGAAAGGGGGGGGAGCCCCGGCGCCAGGAGGCGTCCAAGCAATCCACGCTGCGCCCAAGGGAAACGGATCGAATGTACTTGATGTTCTTGAGGATCCAAAGTAAATCTTCCATCACATGCGCCCCAGCCGTCCTCATCCTGAGTGGATTGGTCAAAAGCCCAGGTGGTATCCCCAGCCCTGAAACCTCCTTGGAGCCGACTCTCCGGAACCCTCCCTGCAGCTTTCCGCAACAAGAAACACCAACGAAAACCGATTTCTGAGCCAATCAAATCCAAACCCTTTCACCGAAAAAAAAACGAAGAGATGTTTCAAGGTGATGTGGCCATGGGTCAAAAGCCCGCAAGAGGGAACCCAAAACCCCAGCTCCACAGCTTCGGATTCGGCTGGGATCCGGGCTGCGCGGAGATGTTGCCAGCTTCGTCCACGGTGAGGCTGTGAAACCTCGATGGATCCCAGGCGAAAACGGGTCACTCTGCGAAAAAGGGTATGGTCATGGTTCCCTAAAATGAACCCCTTGAACTCTTGTCTCGAACTCCCGTAAATAGCACGAGCATGTTGATAAAGCGTCAGGACGATCCCTATACCATTTGGAGACAAACCCGCAGGCACCAAAGACTCAAACTCTGATCATGGTCGTCCCTCAACCTTCAACTATGGTTGTCCCAAACAGCTATTGAGAGCTTGATGACCCCCTACCAACTCACCGCGGCATATGCGAACATTGGAGGGTCAGCTTATGTGACACTCTGTGACGGATTTCCTTGGCATCCGAAGACTATGGACACAGAGAATGACAACCTTGAACAACACTGGCCAGTGATTCAACTTTGATTTCGGGTGTTCAGGAATGAGGCACGGAACCCTGAACTGAACCATCCAGCTGGACGTTTTCTTAGGATTTCAGGGAATCCCCAGGTTCTCTCGCACAGAAAGATCGCTTCCGACTGCGAGAAAGAAAGGACCCCTGGTGCAGGCTGTGTCCAAAACTTTGTCCAAAGCCTTTTCGCAGGATACGAGTTCAACCAAAAGAACCTGAGAAGGCGACTCCACGTGCTTGTCCTGCCACTTGAAGGACGCTCTGACCTTGGAGTCAGTGGGGCAACTGCAAGAGGTGTTTTTCCTCTAATCGAAATCAACAGATTCATGGGACACTTATTGATCAAGGGGCCTCCGGGATGTATCCTGTTCGGGGGACAAGCTGTTAGTCTGGGCTCATTGTTTTGGCCTTTCCATGGGCATGGCCAACACCCCACCACTGCAACAGACTCTGACGTCATACCATGAATAACAGGAAAGCCAGCCAAGAACACCCTTTGCGTTCAACGCGCCATTCTGCATCGCCGTCATTAACACCCGGCGTTCTGCGCCATTCTGCATCGCCAGCGTCATTCTGCATCCCCACCAGCATGCAGGTGATGCTGCAGGTTGAGGCTGCAACATGCAGGTGATGTTGCCGATCGTCCTGCATCCCCAACATGGACCTAAACAAGTGGGTGATGCAACTCAGAAAAGCCAGCTTCCTTGCATCCCCAGCATTACCAGGAACTCCTAACGTCACTGTTCTAGCATACAGCTAAATCTAAAGCTCCTGATTTCATACCTTTAGTATCTTAGACGAAGCCAGCCCCAAAACCCGGCGTTCTGCACCCCCATCACCATCCAGACTCAAACGAAAAAAGGTGATGCTGCCGATGCGTTCTGCATCCCCAACAACGCCGAAAAATGCAGGGGGTGATGTTCATCTCGTGGTTCGATTCGCCCAAACACCATGAGTATCTCTTGATTGCCCCAATTCCAATAGCTTGGAGAACGGAACAAAACAAACTTTGGGCTCCCTCCTCGCCGCTTTTTGGGCACATCCCACCCGGGGTCTCCGACCCAGGTTGGGCCTTTGCCGCAGTGCCAGCAAGGCTCCTGTTCGCATCGGACACTTGGCCGGTTGCCTCGCTATGGGGTTTTGACAGTTTCTGAGGGTTTCTCCAAACCAAAACTGGGGGGGTCTCTTTGATCTAACACGTAGGGGTGATTTTGACGGGAAAATGTTCTTGCTAGTCGGGTGGAGCTTTGACCAGCAAATCGCTTTCGGGCAATGTGAGGTTTCCAACAACCTCGCAACCAAAAAACAAGTTGGAACCCCAGACAAACAACTCGAAACCCCAACAACACCAATACCTTTGCGGACACATTTGTTGAACCTAAACCCTTTTGTGTAAACACCTTGAAACCTTTGATTGAACCTCCTTTCGTAATGGTTGAAACACCAGGCACCACGCAGCACGCTCCATATGGGGGGGGGGAGACGCAAGTTCAACCAAGCCATGCTTTCTGGAGGAGCCCAAAGGCGGGCGACTTTTGAGGATGTTGAGCAGGGCTGTGAGAAATGACCACTTCTGTGATACAACAATAAGGGCTTCCCAAACACTAACCCTACATAACGGGGGGGGGGGGGGGGAGATTCCCTTGTAGCACAGCAGTGAGTAAAACCCCTTGATGCCACAACCCTGATGTTGGAGGGTCAAAAAAGGCCCAGCCCTCTTCAAGCGAAGCATTTGACTTCCCGAAATATCCGAGGCTGCCTCAAGTCACAAGGGAGGGCTTTGGTTACAAAAGAAGCCAAAGAGTTGCGCTAGCTGTCTGCTCTGTTGTTCGCAAACATATCTCAAGTGGTTTGCAATTAAAACGTACTGAAGAAAAGTGGTAGAGCACCAACGGACCCACACACCACAAACCCAGTGGTGGCAGATGATTTTGAAGGAAACTTTCCCCACAAAAAAAGCAAAATAACTTCCTGAGGGTCTGGGTGGGATCTTTGGTGGAACTCACCCAATTAGAAAATGTTTCTTTCTGGGCAGGCAAGCTCCAAACTTTTCAGTCCACCCTTCCCAAGAGTCTTTTTCCTGTAGTTGAAAGTGAGAAAGGCTCGGAAAGGGAGTTTCGGGCAGCACCTGAGCCTCTCTGCGATCCTTGAACTGCAAAAAAGTTCAACTGGGAAGGTCCACATGTTTCACCAAACAATTCTTTGAACAGCCTCTTGGGCTTCCCAAAAAACATGGGTATGTGGCAAAATGCGGATTCGGACCCCCAAAAGTGGGCCCCCCCTTTGTCTTCCTTTCACCAACCCTGACAAACCAACCCAGCTGGCCTCATTATTTTACCATTCTCAAAGCCACCCCCGTTCAAGTGGTGGGTTAAAGGGAACCAGCCACCACTTTCTGACTTTGATCACCCCCAGAAACCGAACCGAAATAATGACAAACCAACCGATTCAAATGGACAGCAGCCGGCCTCCAGCAAGCTGGAGGAGACGTTCCACATCTTGACGCTGGACAGGATGGCTCGCTGGGACCTCGCGCCAGCCGGAGAAACCAGAATCAGGGCCTACATCAAGGATCCGGATGCATGAAAAACACCTGAGCATTGCAACTTGTAAATGGTGGTTTCCCTTCATTGTTGGTGGAGAGAGCAACATGTTTCAAACGGTTGCAAAATGTATCGTTCAAGGAGCCCTGTATATTTCCCCTCAAAACATCAGCTTTAGGAAGGGAAGCTCACCTAAAAGATGGGCAAACGTGATGTTCAAATCCACCAAGAAGGGAAATATAGGGACCCCTGATGGTTGAAACCATTCTTTGTTGGTATCTGCTGGTCCAGGGTTTCGTAGGTGCGAAATGCATTTCGTCGGTCCAGTACCAGAGAGGCTCGGTTTTTTGCAGTTGACTGGGCTGCCCGTTTTCAGATCTGCTGCTAAAAGTTTCCCCTTTCGTGGGATCAATGGAAACTACCACTGAACCCTGAAAAGCTGAAATTCTAAGGAACCGGATGGCTGGGAGCCACCAAGTTGCGATGAGTGTTGCTCAAAGCACGTGGGACCCTGAAGACAGGTTGTGTCCTTTCGGTGTTCCTCTAAACACACCCAAATGGGAGAGGCCTCAAACACATGTACCAAAATGGCCCCTTGGTAAATGGAACCGAAGACTAAACCCCGCGTAACCCTAGTTGTTGAATTTTGAGCCACACCCAAAAAAAATTATGTCCACCATTTTGAGCACATAGCAACCATTCGACCGGGGGCCAGAATCTGGACAATCCCCTGATCTAAGTCAGCTTGCCTCGCCCGATGGTTTGGAGCTGAAAAACGGAGCTTCCCATGTCCCGTCTACAACTAGGTCCAGTAGAGAGGCTCGAATGGTACCACCTTTTTTCCGTAGTCTATTTTAGTAGGGGAACCCTCCCCCCAAAAAAGGGCAAAAGGGCACTACTGGGGACCTAGGCAAGGACCAGGGATTCAAACCCCCAAACCTATCTAAACCCCCAACTCAGACTTACCAAAGAGAAACTGCTGGGCTCAGGCCGCAGCTGAAGCACGCCGGGAGAGCCCGAGTAGTGGTTCATCCTCAGCGAAAAGTGATTGGCCAAGTTAGTCAGTTGTTCGCAAGGGTTGCCCTTCCCCGCTGAAATTGAAAGGTCGATCTTCGTAGAAATAGTTGTTGTTCTTCTCCAGAGGTTGCCCTGAAGAGTTGAAAGAAGCAACCCTCTGGTCGAACGCTCCCGAAATCACCAAGCAGAATTTCAAATGCAGCTGTGGATTCACCAATTCTCACACTCTTTCCGTAACTAATCTCAAAGATGATTCGCCGAATTCGCAAGCTTCTTTTTTCTTTCTCGTAACCTACTGTGGATGGACGCGAAATCCATTTCGCACCACCTCAGAGACCCTGGAAGGAGTCGATTTACCTGTAATTACCGATGGTTTCCAAGTGGTGCAGGATTTTGTCCATCCACAGGTTACAACCCACTTACATGTCCTGTGTTAGCCTTGTTGTCGGCTGTCACACTTACGTGGCAACAAGAACTACCTTGGCAGACTATCCAAGTGCCGTGCCCTACCTCTCGTGCCCAACTGAAACACGCATCCTTTAGACTTCCCATTCGTGAACCTTAAGACATAAGGAGATCCCAGTTGTCGGCCTGGTAACAAATACGCATGTGATACCAAAGTGGTTCAGTCCCATTGGATCGCTTCTTGGGGGATTCCTTCTCCGGGCAAGGCAAGAACACATGAGCAAGCGTCAAAACCTGCTGTGGATGGTTGCGAAATCCATTTCGCACCACCTCAGAGAGACCCTGGAGGGAGTCGATTCCCCTGTAAATACCGACAAACCTGGTTTCCCGGAGTTCAACTTCGTGCAGGATTTGGTGCATCCAAAGTAAGACTACTTTGGGCGATTTCGAACGGGAAGTGATCGTTTTTGGGGTTTCACTATATGGTTCCTGAAGGTTTCTGACACGTGTCTTTTTGGGTTTCACGAAATCACTGAAGACATATCTCCACACCAAAGAGTTTAGCCTCTCGCTCAAATGGAACCCGGCATGTCTGGATTACTACCCGCACCCATTCCGTGGGTTCCTTTCGCGTATCATTCGCGGGGACGTAAGGACAGACGAAGCAGCATTGACCCTCTGCTTTGAGCTGAACATGATCTTCCCCAAAGGGATAAAGTCCACTCTACTCGTGGGAAGTTCACACACACACACACACACACACACTGTGCGTGGACATCCTGCAGTAGGAGGCTCAGTTGATCCTACTATTTATAGGGCGTCATCTATCCCAAATGGTGTGAAATGGATTGTGCAACCACCCACAGCATGAAGCAGTGTTGAACATTTCACCTTCGAGAAGTGACTGAAATTCGGCACTTTCCAGGTGGGGTGTCCATATGACATACTGCGGATGGTTGCGAGATCCACTTCGCACCACCGTTCAGAAACGCAACGGAATCATATACGATTCCCCAACGTAACCACCACCAAACCTCGGTTGCTTTCTGCTCCCCTGCTAAAGGTCTAACTTTTAGTGGCTTAGTCGGAAAACCCCTTAGTTGGCAAAAAGTTGAAGTCTTAACATCTCTTGGCAAATGCACCACAGAACGAGACGCCGCGGATCGTTCTCGAGCGCTTCGAGCGCCGGGCTTGAGCTGATTGGCCAGCGCGGCCGTGCCCTCGGATGGAGCTTCTGGAGATCTCGGGGCTCGTCCCTTTGAGTTGGTATCACCGGGTTTTGGTGGGGTTTTAAAGGGAAACCAAAAGAACACCTCCCCCTTCTGGCTTTTGGTGGGTTTTTTCATGGGAAATCAAAAGGACACTTCAACATTCCAGTAGTGATAGATTCCAGTAGTGATAGATTCCTTTTGAAACCAGCAGGGGGAAAATAACAAATATTCATAAGCAAATGGAAGGGGGACACCAAAAGGACACCTCCCCCTGTTCCTGGCTTTTGGTGGGGTTTTCAAGGGAAATAAAAAGGACACCTCCCCCTTTTTGGAACCTGCTTTGAAGGAAGGAGACACGGCTCTGAATCTCCGGTGGTAAGGGTACCCTCCTGTCTTGAGCTTTGAGGAGGCTCCAAAATGAAAAAGAGGAACGCCCATCTGGAATCATTCCTTCACTTCGGAGGTACACTCGCAGTGAAGGTTGGATGCTTGACTTCAGGGAAGATGCCTTTGCAACTCCTCCCAATTTTGACTTGGTTGCTGTTGACCCCGCTGCAACAAGTTAAACTGAGGGGTCCATGCCCAGTAAAAGAAATCGACGACCAAAGGAAGGGCACCAAATTCTCTGTTCTCCCCCAGCTTGTGAGCGACGAACCTGAGCCACAGCGAGTGTAGCTTCGGTTTGATCAAGCTTCGGAATGCCGAAGGAGGTCTTCTGGTGTACGGCAACTTTTGGGGCCGTCTCAACTTGACTGCTATTGGGTTGGATCTTTAGACTTTAACTTGTTGGAAATCAAGGGGTGTTCCACAGCCCCCAAAAAAGTTTTAAAAAAAGGGACCACGAGTTGGTCAAGGGATGAGAGGAATGATGAGCCCAAGAGGGCACACAGGCTTTCACAGTCAGCGCTCTGGCAACGAAAGGAGCGGCGGTCAGGGGGTTTAGGGCTTGCTTAGCGTGATTTAGGGTTGGTTTGTGGTTGGCTTAGGATGGTGTAGGGTGGGTGTAGGGTGGATTTGGGGTTGGTTTGGGCATGTGTTGGCTGGTTTAAGATTGAACTACAGATATTGAAGGTTGGCAAGGTTTGGCTTAGAGCGGGCCTAGGGTTGGTTGGGGTGCGGGGTGGGCTTGGGTTGCTTTAGGTTGGGTTTAGGGTGGGTGTTTGATCGGCTTAGGCTTGGAGTAGGTTGGCTTAACCCGGCCGAGGGTTAAAAAACACAAGGCAAAAAAGCAAGCTAGTCAACAAAACAAGGTGGAGGGTGAAAAAAACAAGGTGAGGGGTTGAACAGAAGGGATTTCTCAGGGTTAGACAAACAAGGTTCCTGCAGACGGCTCCCAAGCAGGGCTTGAGGGTTCAAACAAAAGGAAGGGTTAAATCAACCAGTTTGGAGCTTGAAAAAAAGGGAGCCCTCAACTCAAGCCAAGCAAACCAACAGACAGATGCCAAAAACCTCCCTTTCCGTGTGCGCCTCGGCCGCCAGAGCCGCGACATGCGCGCCGCTGGCGCGCAGGGCGGAGGCGGCGCAGAAGGCGCTTTTGGAGGCGCCCTGGCGATCACGTCGGGTTTTTTTGCGCGCGGGGTACCCGGTTTTTGTGGGGTTTTGAACGGGATCAAAAGGGTTTTGTTGGGTCTTGTTACATTGTTGGGGTTTTGTTTGGCTTTTTGTTGGGTTTTGAATCGGATCCTTCCATTTGCTTAAGCTCCCCGGAAAAAAATGAGAGGATATGTCCAGTAGTGAAATCGATTCCCTTTAAAACCAACAAGGGAACATAGAAAATACTCTTCAGCAAAGGGAAGACCCGGCTTTTTCTGTCGGGTTTCGCATTTTTGTTGGCGCTTCTCGGTTCTGCACCACATTCACTATCCTAGAACTTTTAGTGGGTTGAACGGAAACTACCACTAAACACTAAACACTAACAGGCTAAAAGGATGAGGGGATGGCTGGGAGCCACGGAGAAAAGGGTGTGTCAATTTTTTAGGGGACCCCCCCAAACAATCTGCGGTTTTCCTCTTAGTTGTCCTTGAAAACCCACCAAAAAAGGGGACAGTACCAACTCGTAAAAAGGACACAGCCAAAAGGATAACGAGCATTTTGAGGCATACGCGGCATACGCATCTTTTGGGTTGGACCCACATTGTTGGACCCACCTGTTTGGGGCCAAAAGGTAAACTGCCGGAAAACAAAAGGCTTGGGGCTGGCCATCCCTGGAGTCTCTGATTCGTTTTGTAACCATTGGCTGAAAGGCGGCTGCCTTCCGTTTAGGTGCAAACACCAACTAACCATGCACTATACGTTCCAATCGCCTTCAAAAGTGACAGGCATTCATCAAAGCACACATAAGGAACTGGATGTGGCTGAACCCTGACAAAATCGAGACATGGACAAAACCGGTCCATATCCTGGCTTTGACCCATACCCAACTGGAAGCCCTTGAAAATTCGTTTTAGGGTGCCGGAGCTGCCTGACTCCGAGCCTCTTGATGCGTTCGTTGAACAACGAACGAAACGTCAGCGTCGAGATCAAAAAATGGCATTGGGTCGTATCTGGGGTCTCCTCCAAGATGTTCTGACTTTAGGATAGACTAGATGTGAAATGACTCAGGAAAAACAACCGTTTTTTGAGTATGCCACGTTTGGCCCAAGCGACCCTGCTCAGAATTTTGATGTGCGGGCTCCAACTTCCGTTTCTTTTTGACACATCCATGGATTCCCGGCGGCTCAAAGCGCCTGGATGGTATACTCCGTTATAGTCAAGGTGTCGCCCTGGACGACGGTGGCCTGATGCATCATGCGCTTTGCCTTCTGAGATTCTGGGCTGAGTTAAAACTTGCGGGAACCGCCGTTCGGGATTTGCAGATGAACCAATGATCACAGGACCCTACTCGGCCCCTCAGGTGGCACCCCTCAGGTGAAACCAGCTCAAATGCCGATCTTCAAAATACCGTTCTCTCAAATGCACTCGAGAATCCTCAATTGGGCTCATTAGCTCTTATTTGTTTTTTAAGTCTTATTAAGGCCTTTTAAGCCCATTTGAATCTCAAATGCTCTTTGCCACTCGAGGGTATAACAGTTATTAAATGCTCTCAACCTGCCTCGGTATTCTCAATTTGCCTCGATGTCTCTCAACTTGTCATGCTTGCTTGAAGCTGTTCTGGCCCAGTGGCCTTCACGTATATGCAATGGTTCGCTAGTACGCCTCTCAACCGCAAATGTTCACAGATTTGTACCTTGTGTACTTTGTTCACAGGCTTTTGCTCAACACCCTCTCGGAGACACCCCTCACATATCTTGGTTTGCAACTGGTTCCTCAAATACCCTCAAATACCCTTTTAAGCGTTTTTCACCTGAGGGGTGCCACGTGAGGGGGGCTGAGTAAAGTCCTGTGAAATGAGTACCGAAGGAAACCACAAGTAAACCATGGCACTCATGAAGTCAGACGAGTGCTTGGTCGTTTAGGTTCCCTTGTGATTCAACATGGGCGATTTAGCTCCCAGGAAAAAGGACTGTGGCGTTGCTGCGTGCAGAAGTAGTAGCAGTGGTGGTAGTATAAAACCTGGTTGTGTTGGTGCCTTTTGGGTTTATTTTACTCCTGCATATCCCAACCACCCAAGACAAACAATGGCCTGCCCATGACACATGAAAATAGAAGGGCCCGGATCGATACGCAATACACTGTCGATTCCCATCCCGTGACTCCGCAGACTTTGTGCACTTGGGCTAGCTTTGGAACATTCTCATGAAGTACCAGCTCATCACTGTACTGCGCACAGACTTGGGTGTTTTCATCCCACTTGGGCGTGTTGTTTCTGAGACTACCCCATTTAGTTGTTTTCAATAGTTGGTTTAAAGGCAGACCAACAGGAGCACCACCATTTTTGAGCCGCTTGGGGTTTTTCGACCATGTCCACCTGGGCCTCCCGCCAGTGGCTCCTGCTGCAATCGCCCATAGGTTGCCGCTACCATCAAGCAGGCCTCGGCCGGAAAGTGGATCAGATCTGGCAGGGAAAACAGGGCCACTGGCATCAACTGCCATCGGCCCCTGGTAGGGAATCCCCAGTTGCCTGGTTTGAGGAAGCCACATGGAACTTGAAGACACACCTATATCTCACTTCAAGTGTGGATTGGCAAAAAATGAACTGTTTGTTCACCACTAAAACTAGGTCCTCCAGATCTGAGAGGTTAGAATAAGTTGGTACCCGATCTGTTTTCCTGTGGTCTATTTTAGTAGGGGCAGCCTCCCAACCTAAAAAAGTTGGTGAGAAAAAGGGGCACCTAGCTGGGGGACCTAGAAGAGGAAGCTGGTCTGTACCACGGGTGCCCTCACATCTGGAGGGGTTCAATGGAGACCCAACCGCTGAACCAACGAAACACCATAAAACCTAAGGAACCGGATGGCCGGGAACCACCATGGGTGTCCAAACTGATCCCCTCAAAGTCTTTAGCGGATGGGCCCAAGCCGGGGGGGGAACCTTTCGGTTGAAAATGGCTTGCCCTGGTAGATGAAACCACCAGGTCGTTTCAAGGAATCGCCCGCTATTTCATGTCAAAGCCATCAAAAAGGACACCTATCGTTTTTACCTGCCGGGAAAAAAGGAAGGGAGGTTCAAGAAAGGAACTGCCTTCAATGGAATGGTTCCCATTTCAAAGCGGCGCGAAATGAAAATTTCGCAATCCCCAGTCTTCCCTTGAGAGGCTGCGCCTGTTTCGACCAAGCAAAAGATGCTCACCTGTTGGGATGGCCGAAAAAAAACGCATGGAAACCCAGCTCACCGAAGCAGTGGCCAGTGGCCAGGTCCAACAACGTTTGGTCTAAGCCACTACTAGGTCCTCCAGATTTGAGAGGTTAGAATACGGGTACCCGATTTGTTTTCTGTCTATTTTGGTAGGGGCTTGCCCTCCCAACCAAGAAAGAAACGGGTGAGAAAAAGGGCACCAATTGCTGGGGGGCCGAGACTAACATGGTCTGCCAAAGTTTCAAGTCCAGGAACTCGATTTAACAGATGCGCCGCCCCAGCCAAACTTCCCTGACTATGTCCGCACAAATCAGTTGCCAAACAAGGCAACCTTAAATTAAAAACTCGCGCGATGCGAGCTTCGTAAGCAGAATCTGGAATCTGGAGTGTCAACACACTGCACACTGAACGGTGGGAAACCCCTTGCATCACAGAACCTGGCCCCAAGCGCTTCTGAAACCACATCTCTCACTTCCTGCACGGATGAGCTGCACAAAATATGTGTTGGTGCACCGCCAAGACGTGCTGCCAAAACCTCAGGATGTAAAAGAACAAAAGGGCTGATATCATATCCCCTACTAAATTGAGACTTGTCCCCTATTAACTTCAAAAGGGCTTGGATTGATGTTCCACAAACATCCCCCTGCACGCCAGCTGCTTATTTTCTGAGCGGTCTACAACTCGCCGACTTCCACGCGATGCGCGCCGTGCGCGGCGGTTGCCTGCCACTCATGTACTGCGCGCCCGTCCTCGCCAAGTTACCACGCTGGCGGACGGGGGGTCACGTGGTGCGAGGGGGGCACTGTGAGGGGTCTGCGGATGGGAAAATCCGTACCCTCTTCTAGGTCCTCCAGTAGAGAGGTTAGAATAAAGCTACCCTTTTTTCAGTAGTCTATTTTAGTAGGGGAACCCTCCCCCAAAAAAGGGGAGAGAAGGGCACTACTGGGGGACCAAGCTCTCGCCCACTAAAATGGCAGCGGACAGGGGGTCCCTCCAAGTGGAAACAGATCCATCTGCCGGCAGGTGCCATGTTGGGAGGACGATTAAGGTAAGTGGTTAATCCGGAATTTCGCCGATGTGTGGTTCCTCCCAACTGGTTCAGGATTTGGTCCACGGTATGCTTCGACCACCCCAAAATCCAAAGGTACACGGCAAACATAAATGGCATTAGATGGCACAGTAACCGGGATGACCAAGCCAAAATGGGGAATTGTGATCTACTTTCACCCAACTATAGACTAGCCCCATAGCCCCATGCTTCTGTTTTTGGGGAAATGAACCATGGAGTTTTATATCCACATGTCCACAAGTTGAAGCCTAACAAACCCTCTCGCTTGGAGTTGTTTTGGGAGTGAATGGAACTCGACCTCCGGGTGCTGGCTTTTTCCCCGTACTGGATCCAGGGTCTCCAGTAGAGAGGTTAGAAAAAGGGTACCCTGTTTTTTCTGTAGTCTATTTTAGTAGGGGGTTTACTGGGGGACCTAGGGATGGATGAAATCCTGCACCACCTAACTATCAGATGGGAGACCATTGTTTGGCATTTAGAGGCGAATCGAATGATTCCAGGGCCTCTTGGTAGGTGGCCATCCACTCATCTGACAAACCTTGGGAATGAAGCCCATTTTGATCGAGAGGCAAACCGACATTGGGAGAGTCCCAGTCAGGCGCACGGGTCCCCACCACGGCTTTTTGGTTTCCGTACTTGGGATTTGGCTGGTCTGTGTTGAGTAGTGTTTTCTGGGCTGCCCTCAGATCCCCCGCTCAAAGTTGAGAACTTTTAGTGGGTCAAATGGAAACTACCACTAAACACTAAAAGACTAAAAAGCTAAGGAACCGGATGGCTGGGAGCCACCAAGTTTTAGGTGTTGAGTGGGTCCTCCAGTAGAGAGAATAGAATAAGGGCACCCTTTTTTTCTGTAGTCTATTGTAGTAGGGGAACCCTCCCCCAAAAAAGGGGAGAGAAGGGCACTGGGGGACCTAGTTGAGTGTTTTAGAAGGAAGCCTGCAAGGAACGCAAGAAACCCACACGCTCAAGATACCACCGGAGCCGGGCGGCAGCAGTTCTCACCACGAACTCGTGCCCCAGAAAGCTGTCGATCTGACGAGTCGAACCGTGGTCAAAAACCGTTAGACCACCGAACTTACCCTCTAAATGACAGAGTTTCAAGGCAACCCCCCCCCCACCCCAACATGAACCCCTCAAAATGCGGGCATATGCAGGCGTTTTAACAGGATCCGGCAACCTCCCAAAAGGGCAACGATGTTGCCCAGCCCAGGAGTGGGGTGCGAAAAAAACCAACACTGCGAAGCCCTCTTTCATATACGGGTGTGTTCTTTTTAAAGGCTCCCCACAAATGGGCTCGGTGTTCATTTCGCCTTCCCTTTAAAAGCCACCCCAACGAGGGTGCCCTCGACAAAGATACACCCCTCCGTGTGTTTTGTGAGGCTTCGGGACGGCCTCTTGGTGAGAAATCGAAAAATGGAACGCCCGAGTTGAGATCAGCGCATCTCTATTTTAGTAGGGGAACCCTCCCCAAAAAGGAAAAAACAGGCACCTAGCTGGGGGACCTAGTCAAACAGTTCTTCAAACCGGGCTTCATCCATCTCAAGTGAACCCTACCGTGGAATGTCTGGCCAGGGATCACTGGCTAGCCTAAGGAGAGAAAGGCGCCCCTGCTTCACAATATGACGGGGCCAAAAAAAAAGAGCACAGACATGATTCTCTGGTAGAGACCGCACGTAAGGAGCGGAAAACAAGGGACATTTGTTTCCTTTCTGTTCAAAACGTCTTTTTTCTGCTCACAACAAGAACCCTGTTCTCTGGCAAGTGTTGGTTTTAAAGTCCCTCCCAAAACCATTTGGAGAGGGGATTTGTCTTTTGACTGTGTCAAAATCGGGGCTTCGGACCTTCAACATGGAACTAAAGGGTGGTGTCCCCTTCTCAACCCAGGGTTCCCTCAAAAAAACACTGAACAGGACCAAAACACAATGGCTTAGAGGGATCAATTGGGTTCCCTCCCCTCAAATAAGCCATTTTCATGGGTCGCAGGCTTTTCCCCAAATCAAAAGTTGATCAATTTCCTGGCAGTTCCCCACCAAAAAAAGAGACTATTTTTCACCGGCAGTTCCTCCTCAATTTGCTGGCAGATCCGCCAGCTACTCCGCAGATCGCCACTTGTGCAGACCCGCCTGCAGCTTGCCCTCCGCCGGCAAGGTGTCCTGCAGCACCTCAGCGCCTGGCATTCAAGAAAGCGGTCGGTCGAGGTCGAGCCGTTTGTTTTTCGAGATGTCTAACAAAGCCATCCTCGTGATCCGCAACGTATGGTCCATACACTGGTTTCTACTAGGTCCTCCAGTCGAGAGGTTGGAATAAGGGTACCCGATTTGTTTCCTGTAGTCTAGTGTAGTAGGGGAACCCTCCCAATCAAAAAAGGGTGAGAAAGGGCATTACTGGGTCACCTAGGGGAAAACACCCAGGAGGTTGTTTCAGAAAGAAGCACGACAGGTTGGGAGTTGCAACCGAAAGAATCGGTGGGTTCGAGCACCTAATCGGAAATCCCCGCAAAGGGCCCCCGCCCGCCAATAGGAGAAGCCACAAAACCCGGCACCAGCTAAGCCAAGCGCCCCCCTGCAAAAAGGTGAACCACCTCTTGCTCAACTTTACAACCGCAGCAAAAAAAGGCGTGTTTCGTTGCAGCCCCCTACTAAGAAGTGACAGAACCAACCAAGAAACAGAAAAGAAACCTAAGTAGTGGATAGAATAAGGGTACCCACTTTCTTCTGTGGTCTATTTTAGTAGGGGAACCCCTTCCCCCAAAAAAGGAGAAACAGGCACCTAGCTGGGGGACCTAGCTAAAAACTTGCCAACAACAGTGGTCTACCAGCACAAGACAAGACAATCCACACTGGAAGTGAGGGCTGGCGAGGCCAAACCCCTGATCCGCCCCTTCTTTGGCATGCCAGGTGATCACCAAGTGGATCTTTTGAAGGCTGGGTAGCAAGGGAGGAAGAAAACAGGGATCAACTCCATTCAAAAAAAACACATGCATTTGGTTGAAACTCACATCTCTTTTTCCAAGGGAATGACCCTTCCCCACTGGGCCCCACAAAAAATGACACGGGAACCGCTCTCAACATGACTCCTCGATTTCCCTTTTTGGTTGGCTTGCCGGAACGGCGTTGAAGGGAAACCAGACGCAGCGTGGGCTACAGCTCGCTGTGTTAAGTAAGCCATGCATGTGCACATTTTAGTCTTGCACGTGTCGAGGGTCCAAAGGACAAACGATGAATCCATCTAACTTGGGTACTGAGACAAGCGAGCCCCCCAAACTCTTCCTTGCCAAACCGGATTCTCCGAATTCGTTTTTTTGACTCGGCTTCCGGTTTTGAGACCCTCTGGCCTGTTTGGGGGTTACGGATGCAGAGAGCGACGCGCGGCGAAGTAGCGGCCTGCGCCTTTCCAAAAGACTCGGAGCTCTGAAGCACCCACCTCGCCACTCGGCTAACGAGAAAAGTGGGTGCTCCAAATTAAACAGGGGTCACGCAGGTGGTCCATGTCTCCCACCAGGGTTCTATTTTACCGGGTTTTTGAGCCACAGCCAAATGTCCCAGAATGGGTGCCATTGGAATGCGAAAGTGCCGTTGGTAGCTTTGGTCCAAGGAATGTCCCAGAATGGAAATGGGACCAAAGACAAAAAAGCCAGCGGTGTGCCCGAGCTCTTTAACTTTGAGCCACACTTGTGGGCAAAAGTCACACATTTGACGCCCTACCGCCCCATTCCGAGGGTTTTCGCCACAGCAGCCAGCAGCCAGCCCGTCAGCAGCCGTCCGAGCCGCGTTGGCGAACTCCGCCTTGACTCTCCTCAGCGACCATGGGGCTGGGAGACCTCCATCTGGCGGTCAAAAAGATTCGTCACCATGGCACCCAAAGGCTTCCATTTGGTTAAGACCCTGAAATATACATATGTATATATACATATATATATATAGCCCTTTAAAACCAACAGGGGGGAAATAACAAAATATTCTCATGCAAATGGAAGAAGGCATTATATATATATATAGTTATATATATATATATGTTTATTTATTTTTTTTATTTATTTTTGAAAAACAATGGAAAAAGAAGAAACACAAAGCGCGGCTTGCCCTTGAATTTTGAGCCACACCCATTTGGCTCCAAACCTTTCGTCAAGCAAAAACTTGATTGGACACCTTCAGTTCGTTTGGCTCATTTGTTCTTTGGTAGCTGGGCAAATGGTCCCCCATCTCCTGCTTTGCTGCTCCCGAGCAAACCCGGCCAGATAGTTAGCAAGCTGGGATTCCCATCCTGGTGACCCGTAACCATCCCTAGCTTTATTCCCAACACCCGGAAGGTCATTCCAGACTGAGCTCCAGCAAGAAAAACCTCATCGAAACACATCACCGTTTAAGATTGAAAGTTCATTCTGCTCCATTCGCGCCATACGCGCCAAGGTCATTCATTGCCCTGGTTCCCCTGAAGTTCCTCCCAAACCTGGCCGGGTAAACGTGAGTCTGAAAGGACCTGTCTACCCCTCCAGAAAAATGAGAGCCCAAGTGAGCGACCAAAACACGAGCTGACTTTGGTTCTAACATGCTGGAAATGGCGTTTCTTACGATATCACGAGAATCCCCATCAAAGGAAGCAGAACCACGACCTGGGCGCTGCTCAAGTGCGAAATTGTAGTTGAGGCTGTATGTGCCATGGTCAACCCTCCTATGGGTCCTGGCAATCCTTATCATGGTTGAAGGGTACCCTTGTTCAGGTTTTGTCAAAAAGGGAAATCACTGTCGTTTCTTTTCTTTTGGGGGGGGAGGTGGGAGGGCTGCGTGGGGTGGGGGGGGAGTGTTGGGGCACTTTCTGCTTGCCCAGAGGCTCCCCATGCCTATTTAGGGCCCTCCAACAGCCAAGTTTAAGACCCCCAAACACCAGGTGTCTGATGAAGAGAACGGAATCTGAAAGCACAAACTCCCCCAAACCAATTCCCTTCGTGTCTGATGAAGAGGCGGCGGGGGATCTGAGAAAACCCCTTCCTGCCTGGATCGGATCTTCTCAGAGCTTCTGTGCCACGACTTCCACGACTTCAACGACTCGTTCCATCCAAGGCGCCGATCCACCCGCACCTGCGAAGTTGAAGGCTGAGGGGCCCAGGGAAAATGCGCGGGCCGGTGCTTGGCTGTCGCCCCCAGAAATGGAGTGGCCCGTGCGGCAAAAGGAAAAGGGAACCAAGAGGGAAGCACCCTTTCTGGTTGCTCTAGTGTTGAGGGGTGTGGGGGTGGTAAATGGCAGAAGGAAAATTTGAAATGGCTGATGGGCAAATGGCCACATGGACGATTCAAATAAGCTGGGGTCCATGGCACGTCACCAAACCAGTCTGCCGAAAGAAAGTCGGAGACCTGGAACACGGCCACGTTTCATCTCTAAGGCCGCGCGTTGGCGTGGTGCGAAAAGTTTTCAACTTTTAGTGGTTTAATGGGAAAACCCATGAGTTGGCAAAAAGCTAAAGTCCTAACAGCCATGCAAAATGCACCAAAGATTGACTTGAAATCAAAACATGCCCCAACTCCAGGGATCGCCAGCAGTGCCCACGCAGCAGGTAGCACATACAGGAGATCATCGGGTCTGAATTCACTTTGCGGGGGAAAGCTTTCTTTGGGACATCAGCCACAGGTGGGGATGAACACTAGGTCCTCCAGCAGAGAGGTTAGAAAAATGAGGGTATCCTTTTTTCTGTAGTCTATTTTAGTAGGGGAACCCTCCCCAAAACAGGAAACGGCAAAAAGGGGCACTACTGGCGGACCTAGTCAAGGTGGAGATGAGCATGTCCACCAACCTCTCTTGCGAAGGCCTCCGGTCCCGCATTAAAATTCAGATCTTGGTTTCGGTGGACCCCTCTGCCAAAAAATGTTGTTTTTTTTCTTTCGGTGGGTCCAATGGAACATCCGTTCTGCTTCATCCAACAAGCCGAAGTGTTTGTCCAAAAGTCCGTTACCAAATGGCCATAGAGATAGTGATTCTATCAGAGATCTGAGATCCAAACAACTCGTGGTTCAGCTGGCAGCTTGCGATGCTTGCGATGCTTGCGCGTTCTCAAAATAGTGGTCCTGTAAACTGTCTGGATTTTTGAGTTTCTCTCTAAATACAAACTAAAACGTGGCCCCACCAAATTTGGTTGGGATTGACTTTGAACAACACAAATTATGGTGTGCACCGAAACCTCCGAATACAATAAACTACTTTGCACAACTCAGGTTTGAGCGGTCAGTGGGCAGTGGTCACTCTTAGGCACCACCCGCTAGCACCCCATCCGCTAGCATGGGCAACTCAGAGCATACTTTGCTGCAATACAAAAGTGACAAGTCCCCATGACTACTTCAGCCCGATTTTCTAGAATCACAGAAGTTGCCTTCAAACCCAACACCCCACACTCATCTCCATGAGGCCTCCGACACCATCGGGTTTCCCATCACGGCACCCTCCCATCCACTAACACGAACAACTGAGTCACAGTCAAAGCCTGAACCAGCTTATTTCCAGACTTCAAGCTGCACTAGAATGGTTGCCCAGATTTAGATGATGACCCAATTCTGAAGGATCACTGGATTTCCCCAAATCCAAAGCTGATCAATTTGCAGGTGGGTTCCCTTGAGCCGATCACCACTTTTGGTGGCAAGCCAAACAAGGACATGGCTCAGAATCTTTTCTCATGATGACCAATCCTGAGGTAATGGTGGTGTCTTAACATAGGGTAGAGGTGCTGTTGTTATCTTTCTTCTTTCTTTCTTTTTTTGCGAGGTCCGTTTGGCCAGCACGCAATGAATCACCAGGCCAGGGAGTGTATCGTGTTTTTTTTCCCCAGATATGATTTTTCCTAGCGCAGGGCTGGCAACATCCCCAGCATCACCAGCATCACTTGGACCTGGGGTTGCAGTTGGGAGTGGCCTGGTTTAAGTTAGGGGGGCGTTTGGCTGGCGTAGATCTTCGTGAGGAGGTCTTTCGGTGGTTTGGGGTTGATTTTGGCGAAGCGGAGGGCTGACATCCAGGTTTGACTTTGAGTGGGGCTTCGGTTGGCTTGGAGCTGATTTGTGTTGGGTATGCTGCTTGTTTAGCAGCAACTTTTTGGTTGCTTGAGGGTGTGGTTGAGTGAGTTTTGCGCGAATTTTGGTGGTTGGGGGCAACGCTCCAAAACCAATCCTAAACGAGACCAAAACTCACTTAACCACACCTAAACCCGCCCAACTGCAGCCTTGATGTCAGCCCTCTGCTTCGCCAAAATCAACCCCAAGGCCCCCTCATGAAGATCTACGCCAGCCAAAAGCAGCCCTAACGTAAAGCAGCCCCAGCAACTCCCAACTGCCACCCAATCAGAGAAGCAAGCAAGCAAGCAAGCAGGCAAGCAAGCAAGCAAGCAGGCAAGCAAGCAAGCAAACCAAACCAAACCAAACCAAACCAAACCAAACCAAACCAAACCAACCAACCAACCCACCAGACCTTTTTAACAAACAGACCTAGTGCACAAACACACAAACAAACAAACAAACAAACAAACAAACAAACAAACAAACAAACAAACAAACAAACAAACAAACAAACAAACAAACAAACACACACACACACACAAACAAACAAACAAACAAACAAACAAACAAACAAACAAACAAACAAACAAACAAACAAACAAACAAACAAACAAACAAACAAACAAACACACAAACAAACAAACAAACAAACAAACAAACAAACAAACAAACAAACAAACAAACAAACAAACAAACAAACAAACAAACAAACACACACACACACACCGACAAACACACTACCTCCCTTCAAATAAGGGGGCCCCCAAACAAAAAGATGGCGCTGCTTTCCTTTCCGTTTCACACCAACCCCAACGAACAAAACGCCCGCCTCCTGTGCCCTTCCGGCGGCCCGGTCCGCCGTCCAGCGCAGCACCAGCTCCGCGTGTTCGAAGGTCCGCGCCAGGAAGCGGTGGCCGTGGAAGGTTTGCACCTCTCGGCTTCCTTTTGGCTTTCGAATTTGGTTTCAAGCCAATTGTTCATTCCTTTGACCTCTTCTTTGGAGGTGTTTTCCTTGTGGTGTCCCTCTAAAACCCAAAAGGGGTATCCTCAAAAAGAGGACCCACCATCAGGTCAGCCTCAATTGGTTTGGATTGGTTCGGGGAATAGAACCCCTGGTTCTTGTAGAGAGTACATGGCCGTGGGTCAAGAGCCAAATGGTACCTGCAGTGAACATCCCAATCCAACCACTAAAAAAGGTTCGAAAATGGGTGGTGAATTCACCTACCCCAAAATGGGATCCCAAAACGGTTTTGACCCACAGCCATCTCAGCTTCCTTCCGGGCTTGGTGCTGAGGGTGTGGTTTTCCATTACAAGAACCATGGGCTCAAATCCAAATCAACAATTCAAAGGACCAATCCAAACCACCAGGCAGAAGGCAGGTTTTCCATTTAGGAACCTCCAATTTGCGCTTTGGATTGGTGGTGAGGTGAGGTTGCAGTTGTTCGCCGTATTTAGCCCCTAGAATTCCTTCCAGGTGGTTTGCAGGTACTGCGGATGGTGGCGAAATCTCTTTCGCACCGTTCAGAAACCCAAGTTGGAATGAGTCGATTCACGGCAAATACCAACAAGCCTTGTGGTTCAGCCATGGTTTCGTCCATCAGAATTGGAGCTCGCCATGCGACGAATGAATTTCCCGAGTTTGGGCCCACCATGTCCTGAGCTGAGGTGGGTGTGCCCCCATCCCTGTTCTGTGAATTTTGGTCTTGCACCCTTCCTCCCACTAACATAGCATTTGGGGCTCCCTGTCGGGTGTCGGGTGCCAGAGCAACGAGGGAGGGCATATTATGCGTGTATATATATATATACATATACATCTGGGTGTCTTTTTGGTGCTGGTCTTGGAGCCTTCAAATGGAAAGCGGAAAAGCCAAAGCCACTGTGCGGGTCTGTTTGAAAGCCCAAGCCCAAGTATCCGGAAGCCACCCCCAGCGGCAATTTCTAGTTGACTTGCGGGCAAGAAAAGATTTGCTATGTTGAACCTCCAACCCATCCACGGGTTGCTTGATCTTTGAAAGTTGCCCTAATTTTGGCCCCCGCCCCCAAACACGGGGAATGAACTATTGCAAGTAAGGGAAAAAGTCGAAACGCTCTAGACTACTCATATTTCAGCAGGGTTTTGTGCTCTATGGTTGGCTTACTTTCACTACAGTAGATGGACGAAATCCGTTTGCACCACTTTGAAACCATGGTTGAAACCATTGGTAGTTGGTATTTACCTTGGGGAGTCGAATCATTCCAACTTGGTTTCTGAACGGTGCTGCGACATGGATTTCGAATTGAACCCGCGGTATGTGTTCACTTCCTTTTTGTTGGGGGGTACCCCTTCTTTGTTTTTTGTTCACTTCCCTCTTTCGTTCTTTCTTTTTCTTTTTTTTTTGGGGGGGGGGGTACCCCTTCTTTGTTTGTGGGGTTTTAAGGGGAAACCACAGGACACCTCCCATTTTGGGTGCAGGACCAGTTGATACCACTCCTCCAACCTGGGCTCCGCGCCACTAGCTGGCCCTGCGCGGGCACATCGCCTCTCGTGGCGGTTTTTAGAGAGTTGGCAACCCCCTGGTGGGTTTTGAAGGGAAACTCAAAAACACCCCGGCATTTTTTCGGGGGTTCCCCGCAAAAAAGGGACATGCCCATAACATGTGATGGTGTAGTGGCATTTGTGCAAGGCACTTTGAATGTCGATCGATACATTTGGATGACCATAAATGCCCTTGTATCACGACAATTGAAATGACTCTTGTAGACTCAGGTGGGTTGGATTTCCTAAAAGGTTGAAACGTGAAACTCCCACTGTTGGAGGGTCCAAACAGGCTCCAATCGTGGGTGGTGGAAAATAACTGACAGTGGGCTCACTGAATACTTGATCACTGTCAAGAGATTCCCCTTGGTATCAATGAATGAACCTGTCAGGATTCGTGCATAGAAGCCTAGGCTAGGTCCTCCAGTGGAGAGCTTAGAATAAGGGAAATGCCTGCCGGACCCCTCCCGTCTTTTCAATGGTTGGTCTTGACAACCAAAAATACCCAGCCTCACCACACCCATGTGGCTGACCGACTGAGTGACCACGGGAGTGGCTCAGGCTGACTCAGGTTTCCTGTCGTCGCCCACCACAGGCCCCCAAATTGTATCAAAGTCACTGAGTCACGGCTTGAAGGGGAAACAACCTGGAACCTCCGACTTCACCCCAGAAACAGAACAAATGATGACCAGGGTTTGAACTCACCAGAGCAAAGGGCATGCCATCCCAACCATGATCCCAACCATGACCTGCCAAACAGCAAGAAGTTGCTCCTCATCAATGGCATGAAAATGGTCCACCCAAACCATGGCAAGAAGCCAATAGGGTAACCGGAATTGCCTAGTTGGGGCTGTCCCTTGCTAACATAGGTTGCCTTGGGGAAAAATGTATGGCCCTGGCAGATCGAGTAAACCCGATCTAACCAGTGCCATCCATTTTCAACCAAACTCACCTTTTGTTGGACACCTATATCTTTTGCCCATCTAGCCTGCCGCTCCGAACACCCTGCCACCCCCAAAAAGGAAACGACCCCAAGTCCCCCTCGCCAACTCCATTTAAGGCCTTGTCTCAATACAGGGAAACTGCAAGCAGCTTACAATCACCTTACCCCTAGTTGGTGATTCTGTGGATGGGCGAAATCCTGCACCACCGTTCAGAAACCCTGGAATGAAGATTCCCCGGTGAATAGCAACGAACAATGGTTATGCTTTCTTAGGTGATACGAAATGGATTTCGTCCGTCCCCAGTTTGGATTGGTAATTTGGGGTTCGGCATGGTGTCCAATTTACCCTCAAGAACCAGCGCTTCATCCAAACTGGGCTCCAAAAAACCTACCTGACGGCCTACCCTGACCCCCCCCCAAAGAGAAAAGCAAAACACACAAAAAATAGGAAAATGCTTCACGTCGAGCAATCCCCACCCTTGACAGGAGCCTCCACACTCACGAGCTTACGACCGTGAACACGGTTGTGTGAATTCAAGCATGGTTTTCGAGCGGCTTGGGGCCTATGACTGCTCAACAAGCTTTGCATTGAGAGCCTTCTCCACGCGAGCCGATCTCCAGAACTCAAACATCGGCTCCGTTAACAAAAGCCAAGCCTCTTCCAAAAAGAAACCCGACGGGGGATTAAACAAAGTTGATTATTCACAACCCAAAGCAACACTCAAGCATCACCCTTTCCAAGCCTCAGGGTACACTCAAAACACGAAGGCGCCAACATGAAATGTAAACCCAACTGTGCGCCGGGCGGGACATTAAGCAAAACCAGACTGGCGAGCTGACTGGCGGGATCCACTGACCAACACTGGCAAGCCGCTCCAGCTCGATACTGGTCGAATACTCGGCAGGATCCACCGGCAAGAAATACTCAACAAAATACTTGGCGGGGCTACTCTGGGATACTCAGCGGGATACTCGGCGGAATCCACTGGCGGGCTGCTCTGGTGGGACACACTGGCGAGCCGCTCTGGCGGGATAATTACTCGGCGGGATCCACTGGCGAGCCGCTCTGGCGGGATACTCGCGGGCAGCTCTGGCGGGATACTGGGCGGGATCGACTGGCCAGCTGCTCTGGCGGGATACTCGGCGAAATCCACTGGCGAGCCGCTCTGGCGGGATACTCGGCGGGATCCACTGGCGAGCCGCTCTGGCGGGATACTGGGCGGGATCCACTGGCGGGATACTGGGCGGGATGCACTGGCGAGCAGCTCTGGCGGGATACTCAGCGGGATCCACTGGCGAGCTGCTCTGGCGGGATACTCGACGGGATCCAGGCGGGATACTGGGCGGGGGCGTGGTGTAGAAGCATCGCAAGCGCGGATTCCAACATAAAGTCTAGCAACCCCTTCCTGTCGGGTGGGAAAAAACGGCAGCCACGCCCACCGAGTTTTTTTGTTAGTGGCGACCGAAGCCATCAGATGCCATGGCGCCGTTGTGGACCTCCGGTCCAGACTGTGGCTCCCAATAGATCTGGACCGCCTCCTGGGCAGGGAACCTGGAACCTTCGACTTGAAGCTTAAAGTTGGCTGCAGTTTGCCCATAGAAGCCAAGAAAGACTCTGGGAACCCCCCAAAAAAATCTTTTTGCAGGCTCCCTGTAGAACCCCTTTTGTAGAACCTCTCTTGGAGTAACATGGATTGTTGGAATATGGATTGTCTGGCTCCCTGTAGAACCCCTGGAAGACTGGGGGGCGAAGATTTTTCAGGAAAAACTGGATGGTTCTGGGAAAGGCTGTGTGGTGTCAGGAAAGGCTGGGGTGTTTCATGAAAGACTAAACCAAACCTAAAACCAACCCTAAACCAACCCTTTCAAAACCAAACCTTAATCAACCCGAAGGGAGCCCTAAACAAGCCCTAAACCTCACCTAAATCAACCCTAAACCATCAGACTTCCAACATCATATGCGACACACACTTTCGTGAAACCACACAGCCTGGCCAGAACCACACGGTCTTTCCTGAAACCGCACGGCGCCTCCTGAAACCACACAGCCTTTCCTGAAACCACCCGGTCTTCCCGAAACCACCACCCAGCCTTTCATGAAACGCCCCAACATGTCCTGGCGCCACACAGCCTTTCCTAAACCACCACCAAGTCTTTTTCTGAAACCACCACTTCCTGAAACCACCCAGCCTTTCCTGAAACAACCACCCAGCTACACACCTTTGCTGAAACCGCCCAGCCTTTCCTGAAACCACAGAGCCTCTCCTGAAACCACACACTCTTTCCTGACATCACACGGCGTTTCCTGAAACCACGCATCCTTTTCTGGAACCACGCTGGGCTTTCTCGCTAAAAACAAACCTGAAACTAGGAAACCGCCACCCAGTCTTTCATGACACTATGGATTGTCTGCTCCCTGCAGAAGCCCTCTTGGAGTATATGGATGTTCTGGCCTAAAACACAACACTTCGATGAAGAACCTAGAACAACAAGAGTTGCCAAGTTGCCACGCAAATGCTCAATCTGTTTGAACAGTTCATTGTTGGTTTGGGGGGGGCCTGCCACATTACACTGCTCCAAATGACCAAGTGTCATACTGATGGACTCACTCCCGCACCACCTTGGATGAATGAAACCCTAAACATATTTTGGAAAAACTGCCTGTGCTTTGGCTTAGGGAGCGCTTAGCAAATCACGAAAGCAAACAACCTCCAACCAATTCTGGCTGGGCGACTTAGGTCAAATGACAGGGTGCCTTATCTGAATCTATATGGGGATTAAAAGCTCCATTTGAGCTGACCCAACAGAGTCTTGCTTCATCGCCACACGGGGAAGTTTCCTTCTAAACATGAACCAAGGCTTCCGGAAAGCAAGACCCTGGCAGTCTACGAGTCTACGCAACAGTAAAGAAGCACGAAACCAACTGCTGGTGAAAAACAAGACAACCAACCGAGTCTTCCCAACACTCATCGCAGAGAACCAAAAGGGTCGCCTTGGCCGAACCTGTGGATGGACCAAATCCTGCACCGGTTGAGACACATGACTCATGACCCCCCATTCCAGGGATAAACCCACCCACCCACTGACCAACTGGTGCAGGCAGGATCTTGTCCATCCAGCTTGTGGCCACAGCCAAATCTCAGCCAGGTTCAGGCAAGCTGCTTCCAGGTCGTTCCTGAAACAGCCAAAGACAAGTACTGCGCAAGCGTGTTAAAATCTGGAAAACCCCGCGAGCTGTTTGTGTCATCCCCAAGCACGTATCCATTGATGGCTAACAAATGGGATTGGTCGTTGATTCCCAACAGCAGAGCTGGTATTGACTTTGGAGCCGTAAAATAAGCCTTTGTGGTATCCCGAAGAATCAGGTCAAACTGGATACTTCCCACGAGGAACCCCAAATGCACCCATCCTCGGCTTGCTCTTTCAGGGTTTCCCCGCTCTGAGTGTGAAGCAAAAGCAAAGGCAAACCGAAGCAGCGCATGCGGAGTCCCACGCAGTCAAACCCGTTAATCATATGTTAGACCATGCTGAAAGCTCCACCCTAGAAAGTATCCAGGGATGTCTTTGTGGATGTTTGACTGCACCATAGTGGCAACCAGAAGTTTTTCTGGTTGTCCAAGACTGCCTTTGCCAAGACATCAGGACTCATGGTGAGTCGTGTGTTGTAGAAACATCCACACACCATTGTGCTCGGTTTCTTCCAAAGGACAGCTTGCTTGGTTGTCTAAACTCGGATCCACACACACTGGGTACTGTTCATGGAGTCTGCCGCGGGGCACCCTCGTTTCAACAATCGTGGAAGTGGACAGGCCGCTGCAAGGACAGTCTGCCAGAACCCTCCTGCCAGCTACAATACTTTGAGAAAAATGACATGATTTCTGTAATATCCAAGTAGACCATTTGAACAAGCTTTTCAACCACGTCCATCGGTGGAGTGGAGTTTCCCCTAACATGAGCCAAAAGGAACCTCACCTTTTTTTGCCGCCAAATGGGCATGATCCAAAATTAAACCAGCAAGGGACCGCAGGTTTTAGTCCTTGGTTCGATTTACGAGGGTTCCATATACCTATGTTTGACCCACAGCCAACTAGGTGGCAAGTCTAACACCACCAAGAGGACTACAGGGAAACTCGGTTGATTTCTGCTCCCCTGCTAAAAGTTTAACTTTTCGTGGTTTAACACGGAAACCCCATTCGTTGGCAAAAAGTTGTTCAGTCCTAACATCCCACAGATTGTTTATCTTGTTTTTTGTTGTAAGATGTCCAATCTTGCTTTGATACTTCAACCGATTTTTGAGCCACAGCCAACTAGCTCGCAAGCTTGACACCAACTAGGTCCTCCAGTAGAGATAGAATAAGGGTACCGTTTCTTTTTTCTCCCGCCAACGCCCCGAGAGATGCGATCAGGCGTCACGATGGTCCCCGTTACTGGATCCTGAGATCTGAGTGCGAGCATCGAGCCCCAGGCGTGGCACCAAAAAGGATATCAACTGGGCGTCTCTTGTCTTCCATTTGGTTAAGACCCCTGGACAAAATGACAAAAAAATCCATTAGTGATAGATTCCCTTGAAAACCAACAGTGGAAAATAACAAATATTCTTAAGCAAATTGAAGTTGTAGACTTGGCACCTTTTTTTTTGGTTGGTGTTAAAGGGAAAGCAAAGGACACACCCAAATGAGCCATGGTGAGAATTACTTTCTTGCGAGGAGGACTTGGGATTTTGCGTGGGGGGGATTTTGATGTTAAGTCCCCCGTGCCCCTCCTAAATGGATCATAGGCTGCTGGATTTGTTTGCCCAACCTGAAATGAATCAGAAAGGTCAACGAAGCGAACAAGATGTCTTCTAGGTCCTGCAATAGAGAGGTTAGAATAAGGGTACCCTTTTTTCTGGTGTCTATTTTAGTAGGGGAACCCTCCCCCAAAAAGGCGGAGAGAAGGGCACTACTGGGGACCTAGTTTTATATCTCCCCCAAACCGTCGGCAAGAAAGACCATGCTTGAGCTGGAACATAATTTGCTTGCTTTTCTCCCAAGGGGTTACCCAACAAGGCAACATGGCCCCTGTGATTTTCCCCAACCGAGTTAATTAGAGGCTTCAAAGACCCTAAGGCAAAAGGACCCATTCTGAGGTTCGGACCTCAGTGGATGTAATTTCTCTATATATTTACATCAGTTGGCGTGTCTGGTTCCAGTGTTATATACATAAGATTTGCGACAGCCAACCCCATTGAACAACCCGAGATACCTTGGATGCACGATATCCTGCACCACCAAAAAAAACAACATGCAAGGGTGATTCCCCTACGTAAATGTCAATAAACCTTGTGGTTTCATTCCTAGGTCCTCCAGTAGAGAGGTTAGAGTAAGGGTACCCTTTTTCTGTAGTTTATTTTAGGGGAACCCTCCCAAAAAAGCGTGAGAGAAGGGCACCTAGCTGGGGGACCTAGTGATTCAAATCCAAACAGGAATTAAGGGCTATGATCTTCCCTTTTCCCTGAAAGCCACCAATTCAATCCAGACCAACGGGCTGCCTCCATTTGCTTGAGCCGGAAAAAGACGCGTTCCGATTCCCACGGGAATTCATTCCCATGGCTTCATTCCCTCGGTGTCATTTCGGTGGTGCGAAAAGCGGACGCGTCATCGGGTCATCCTCGGCCAGGCGCGGTCTCGGCGAACTCGGGGGGCTTCAGCTCCATGAGGACCTCTGGCGAGGCGAGAGCTACAGTCACCCCCCCCGCCTGGCTGGGAGGTGGGTGGGGGTTTTGAAGGGGGGGGGGTCACCATAGACGGGAGGGGTCACTCATGGGTTGTGTTCAGAGGACCAAACATAGGGTTTCATAGGGTAAGGGGGGGGCACCATGGAGGCAAACCCCACTTCCACCCTTCAGGCAGGAATATACCAACCGAAAACGGGGGTGGAACCCCCAAGATCTGTCTACGACGCGTGTCTTTTTTTTACGAGGGAGGGTTCTATGTAATCTGGAGTGTGCTAGGCTTGGGGCCCAGCGGACCCGGAAACCAAAGGTTCACCTCTTGGAACCTTTACTAGGTCCTCCAGATTTGGGATTGGTTAGAATGAGTGGGTACCGTTTATTTTCTTCTTTTTTTCTGTGGTCTATTTTGGTGGGGGAACCCTCTCCCCAAAAAAAGGGGAGAGAAGGGCACTACTGGGGGACCTGGTCTTGGAACCTTTGCAGAAAGTGGACCAAAAAGAAGCTGACTGGGGAAAACCGGTGGATTCTTGGTCGATTCGCTTTGCTGCAACCCGTTTATGATTGGGATGTTACTTAATGACCTTAATCTACTCGGGTGTTGATTGTGGCTTAGGTGGCGGTCTGCTTCTCAAAAACCAGAAAAAACAAGCTTGCTTGATGTGCTTTGGATTGATCAGGACAAGACAGAAGCGTTTGGCTTTTGCCCCTAAAACGGTCCAAACCCAACGGAAGCGCAGGAGCGAGCCCTTCAAGATTCTCTGTCCATTTGTTTCGTGGGGATTATTGCAATGGGGCAACACACCTGTGTATGGTTCACTACGTCCTCCAGTAGAGAGGTTAGAATAAGGGTACCCTTTTTCTGTAATTTTAGACGAACCCTCCCCCAAACAACTTGGTAAAAGGCCACGTCCAAAGACATGGCTGGTGTCAGCCATGGGTTTCGACCACTGGCTAAACAACCCTTTGTTGGTTTCGCCAAGGGAACCAAGGGTCAGGTTGTAGCAAACTTTGGAATCGCTCGCCAGGCAGTGGGGAGTCGGGAGGAGGTTGGGCTTGTTGAACCTAGGACACCAAAAATCGTGGTCCCTTCGCCTTCCTGAAAAAAACCAACCCCGGCTCAAGAAAGCACTGAGCCTCAAAAACGATCACACACGCACACGCAGGGGCAAATTGAACCGTCTGCGTAGTTTTGAGGATCCATTGCTAAAACCTTCCATTCACTGAGAGCCAAGATAGTTTACACGCCTACCACCGGATTTCCCCTGCAATGGTTGATCAACTTTCCTCGGTGGTCAAAAAATTACCCCAGGCGACCCAATTCAATTTTGCCCAAGTAAGACTTGGGGGTTAATCCAAAAGGGTCCGTGGCATGGGAAAAAAAATATATTGTTTCTTCATATGTCAACCACGGGAAAACAAGTTACCCACGGCCAAAACTGGGGGCCCTACATGGAATTTTGATATTTCTACATGGGAAAAAACAAGTTACCCATGGTCAACAAACTGGAAACCCTGAATGGAATAGAAAACACGTTACCCATGGTCAAACCGGGGGGGCCCTAATTAGATGGATTTGTTTGATATTTCCACCACAAGAAACAAGTTACCCATGGTCAAAGCTGGGAAACCCTGACTGGAAGATAGAAATCAAGCCATCCATTTTGCGCTTCCGTCCCGGTCCCAGCGGCCGAGATCTCCTCCGCGGACAGCGAGAAATCTGCCCGGGACACCTGCGCTCCGCAGCGAAACTCAGACGTCTCATTAGCTGTGGGAAATGGAATCCACTTTTGTGATACAACAAAAAGGGCTTCCCAGGGACTAACACCCCACATGACGGGGGAGATTCCCACAAGTATCACAGAAGTGGGAATAAACCCCTAGATTCCACAACCCTGGTCTCATTCGTGACCCCACACAAACGCATCCTCCTGGGGGGGGGGATCCATTGGTTGCAACATTCCATTCTTTTGAAGGTGGAAACTAAGACATTCGACGGGAAAGCGACAACCAAGATACAACCAAGAAGTCCACCGAAATTTAAGAAGCAAAGCCATTCGGACCTGACAAAAACCCCACGGATCCAGATATCTGTTTCCAATCAAAGCCAACAAGAAGGCACCTCCAATGGCAAATGGGCTTGTCTCAAAATAGGGGAACCGACAAAACCTCGACTCCCTTGATTTGTTTCCCATCAAACCACCCCAAAAGAGGGTACCCTCCAAAAACACGAGGCATCCCGCCTCGAGGTCTTGCGCCATGTGCTCAGCGTCCCTTGTGCCGCTGAGGGCGAGGATGCCCAGCCCCTAAGCTCGCTACGGAAGTTCGACCCGTGTCAGTGATGCACACATGCCAGCGAGGCCTGAAACATTCACATGGGGTCGAAGAAATTGGGGCTGGGAAGGCCTGAGAGAGGGGAGGGGGTGAGTAATGGGTAACATGGGTACCTCAAATCGCCATGATGATAGGAGAAGAATGCGTATTTGTACTTAGCCCGTACTGTTAGACAGAATCTGCTTCGCAGCTCATAGGTGAGTGCGTGATCATATGGCTGTGGCTTCATCCCAACCGGGAAGTGGACTTTTGTAGACCCTATGGTGAAGATCAATTCCAAGCGGCGTGTACCCAGGGAACTGGGGGCTGCACCGGTTTTTGTTTTTGCCGCCCACTTCAGGGTCATTTTTCTGAACACCATTGACTGGAGCTTCAGCTCGTGCTGAGTGGAGAAGTCCATTTCGAGAAAACACCTGTGTTGGAATCACATGCTAGGTCCTGCAGATTAGAGAGGTTAGAGAATAAGGGTACCAACTTTTTTCAGTGTCTGTTTTAGTGGGGAGCCCTCCCCCAAAAAAGGGTAAAAGGGCACTGGGCACTACTGAAGGACCTAGCATGGTGATTTCCCGAGCAGGACCCATTGGAGCCCATTCTCATTCTATTCGTCTTCCACATGCGACTCTGAGCCTATTCCAGGGGTGGGAGATCCCCTATCGAACCATCACCAGCCCCAACTGAGTCACAAACCAATTCTCAACCCACTGTAAAGAATCTAAAGGGCTGTTCTCTCCAAAACTATTTGTGCCAAGGGCCAAGGGGTCTGTCCCTTAACCTTCTCTTGCCCGAGTGGGTCATCGCTGTGGCTCAACTTAGATAATTAACAAACATGAGCGACCACAGCCCATCGAATTCTGGCTCTCTACACGGCTATAAAGATTTCACATTGGGCCTCCCTACCTCCGTGAAGCTAAACTGCACCACCAACCTACTACTTCCATTTGCTCCTTCCCCCCCCTGAAAAAGAAAGTAAACATGCCCAGCAGTGAAAAATATCTGTAAAACCAAAAAACGAAACAATGCAAATTATTCAGCAAATGGAAGAATAGCATGGCCAAACCCGGGCTTCGGGCACCAAAAGCGTTCGAACCGAAACAAACAACAAATTCCCAGCGCCACGTCGTGCGCCACTTGCGGCCTGCACCGCGAAGCGCAGCAAGATCTGCTCCGGCGTGCGGTGGTGCCCTCGGCTTGTGGCGCAAAAAACCGCCCGGCGAATTTTTGGCGCGCCGATCGGTGTGCTGTGCTTCTGAACGGCCACCACCGATAGAGACACACCGAAAATGAGGGGGGATTCCGATTTTCCCCAAATCCGTGGGACATCTCGCTCTAGAGCCACCTCCATCTAGCCTTCAACTCACTTCCTGAGTGTCCAACGACTTACCACGATTTCGTGGTCTTCCCCCAAAGCTTTAAGGCCTAGGAACAGAGAGTGAGGTTCCGGTTCCGAAGTAAGTTCTTGTGGGGTAGTCATGAGGGGAACCTCTTGAAGCTTTGAAGCATTTCAAGCACGGACCTCAAGCGGATTTCTATTGGAAAACGGGGCATCTTTGTTGTGGTTGGCTTAGGGTTCCCCCATGGAAAACCAAAGGCAGCACAGGTCTGGAAAATCTGCCAAAGGATCGGGTCACCTTGTTGAAACATGTTGTTTTGACTAATTTTGAACGGGAAATCTATATTAAGTGAGAATCATGACAAAGTATGGCACAATATGCAGACACGAATAATGACAATGATGCAATTGAATTAATTCTGAAATAATCTTAGTTATGTATAAATATATGGTACCCAAACCTAGGTTTGTTCCTTTGGTAGACCATGGTAGACCTAAAACATTGGCAACAGGACACCAAAACCCTGCACATGTGTACAAGTTTTACTTCGGGCAGGTAAGCAATGACAGAACAAGTCAGCCAAAATCGAACAACACACTAGACAAATGCATTTTATAGATGTTGTTCATTGTTGGCACTTGTCATTGGCCCCTTTTTCCTTTTTGGAAGCTTACCTTTACCGTTCCCAAGTACAAACAATGCAAAGTACAAAGTGAAACTTTTGGACCTATGAAAACTAAAAAGGGGAAATCCAAAAAGTAAACCTTTGCTTGCTTCAGTCAGTTGTACTTTCTTACTTTTCCCCGGTAAAAGTAAAAAGTAAAAGTCCCAACAGTGAAACGTGTCGTAATTCAGGACGTGTTATTTTCTTCCACACACACTTTTCAGGATTCTTCCAAACAAAAAGAGGTCCAAATTTGGTCTGTCACCCTTGGTTTCTCCTTATGGTGCTAAAAGGATCACGGATTTCTGAGCAGGCGGATTGCTGAGCAAAGTCCTGACCAAATGCTTACCCTACAAATTGATGTGTTTATTGTCCCTTCGTAAGATGCTCCAAAGCTGAAACAGACCCAGTGAGCAAAAGTCTGGATCTATTGTTTATCTTGTTTTTTGTTGTAAGATGATCCAAAGACTTTGTATTGTTCTAGCGGTTGATTCCCCATTCTTTTCAACCATCGTTCTTTTCAAAAATCGGTCGTTTTCCCTGGGTTTCTTGAGGCTTTCCAGAAAGAAGGATCCCTGGAAAGAATGGTGAAGCTACCCCTGGAATTGTTTGCATTTATTTAAGGAAGCGAGTCCCACAAAACACCGAGCCTATTCCCTGGCTGCAAAACCCTCGAGCGCTTCGGCGATTCTGCCACTTCCGAGCCGCTGCGCGCGATTTCGATGAGGCGCTCGTCTCTGGTGACGTGCCTCCGGCGATTCGACGGCGATTCGACGCGAGGGAACCAGAGATCCCAAGGGCACAAGGGAACCTCAACTCCAAATAATGTTGACCCCATATTACTCAACCCGGGGGGTGTCCCTGACTTTAGTGGGGAAGCATCACTTTTGGAGGGAAAGACCCCCCTATTAATAAACTGGGGTTGATTAATATTATGGGGTCAACATTATGCAGGTTGAAGGAAAAGGCTTGTTGTTAATGCCTCAAGAACCAGTTGCGTTCCATGGGAAATACCTGCTTCTTCAGGGGCACATCATGCCGCCCCAAAGTGGGTATTGGGTTGGAACGTGTTTACAGGACATCTGTTAAATCGATGTCCAAGCATTTGGGAGGGCATGCCTCAAATTCGAACTGATAAGCATGTCGGTCTGCACTGAACGCGAAACCAAAGGAAAAAAACAACGCATGTAACATGCGTCTGTGTTGAAGTCTTAGACTTGCTGGGGTTCCAAAGCATCCATCCAATTTGCAGGGCCCAATCGAGACATGTTGGGTTGCCAGGCTGCCAAGGGATTACGATTCCTGCCATATTGCAAGTTGCCCAACCAGGCGAGAAAAACATGAAAAGAACGAAACCTGAAGATAATGTGCAAAACAACGCCAAAAAACACAAAACCGCCAATTGGTAGAGCGCGGTCAATCAGAGAATCCGTTTCAACCCCTTACCCCTTGCAATATGGAATCGGGTCCCATCTGGGTGTGTCTTTGTAGGGAACTCCCCAAAATTGGTTGGTTTCCTACAGGTGTCCCTGCAAAATCGCCCCACCAAAAAGGGCAATTCCCCTCGAAAACAGACGCCCCCCATCCAGATTGAAGCTGTACACGCCTGTTGCCCGTGAGGAGCCAAAAGCCCTGGTATCCTCGGCGCCAAGAAACAAATTGGCTTGCCTCTGCATGGCAGTGGCTCAAAAATGGTTCCCAAAATGGCAAAGAGCTTTGAGCCACACCCAAATGTACCCAACCAAAGAAGAACCATGGGAGACCTGTGCGCAAGACCCCTCCCTAAAAGAAGCAAACAGGGAACTCGGATCTTGCTACGAGTGGTGGACGCATGGTGATGCCTGAAGGGGTGGCTTTCGGCAAAATGATCAGGGGCTATTTCCCCTTCACCTGAGCACTCACTCAAGAGGGATTGATCTTTGATGTAAGGGGGTCCTACTCATTCACTCAGCTGGTTTGTTGGATCATATTGGGGTGACTTTTTTCGGAATCTGCGATTGATGAGAACCCTCCTTGAACCGAACCCAAAACCGTAAACAGCGGTTGGACCCTCTGGGTCAAGTTGAATATGCAGAAGCAAGGCCACCTTGCTGTAGAGGGGCAACATCCACTTCGAAGTCAGTCGGTGGGCAGGTTCTCCCATTCATACCTAGAGCCTCATCTGTCCTGGCTCGCGAAGTGGATTTGGTCCATGGATATCAGTTAGCATCAAGGGGAAGTCAGCACCCAAAAAAAGACAGAGGTCAACTGCGAGTACCACCAATGAACAGGGAACCTGAAGGGGGGGGGTGTTGGAATCACGTTTCCTTTTAAAGGAACCCGTCAGGTTCCATGTTGATTGGTTGCGAGGGCAATGGGTCTGCCCTCTTAGACCAATGCAGGTGGCTCAGTGGATATATCGGACGCGGCTCATTTTCAAAACCCGCGGAAAATACCTCGAGACCCGCGAAACATTGGCCTTGCAGTGATTTGTTGGCGCTGTGGGTCCACCAAGGTGGAGAAAAACAAGCTGGATGAATTGAAGACGAAGCTCTAAAGGATGGGGGCTAGCTGTTCTCTTCAGCCTTTGGGTTTGGCCCCAAAAAAAAAGGGTGGCCAGCTTCTAACTTCAGAGAATGCACAACACCGAAAAGGGTACCCTCAAAAGACACACCCCGAATTTTCCCCACTCCACTCGCCGGCACAGGTGGTTGTTGGAAAAACGGAGTGGTAAGTCTTGAAAACCAAACTGACAGGTCACCATCCTTCGACTGAGAGATCCGAGGATTGGCCAAAAAGACAGTCCAAACTTTTGGTCCAGACTTGTCCAACCCCAAGTTGAAAGTCCAGGACGGGAAGTGAACCAAACTGAGAATCAAAACCGACGGGTATTTAAATGGTCTACCCAGAACCACGGTGCACAACAAAACAACAAACGACAAGGGCAGGGAAGGCTGCCGTTTCTGGTTGGGTCTCTTTCCTTTACTCACCTTCATCTGGCCAGATGTTTCTAGTGGCTCAACTGACCGAATCCCAGCGTCGGATCCCGTGGCGTTGGCAGAGCTGCCGCACTTCGGCGTCCCAGCCATCCTCAGAAGGGGGCTGCTGGGGGGCTGCGTGTTGGAGGCTTGGTTGGAAAATTGGGATTGGTCGGATTTAGGGTTTAGGGTTTAGGCTTTAGGGTTTGGGGTTCCAGGTTTACGACCACTCCAAACCAGCAAGGTGAGCTTGGATTCTGCGGATGGATACAACATCCACGCGAATCGATCGGCGCCAGCTGTGATCGCTGGGTGAACCAGGATTCATAGGTTCTGATCCATCGCAACTGGCGCCTAGCGATTTGCATGGACTGCGCGACCACCCACAATCTGCTCACCACTTTATTCAGTGAGGTCATCCAAGAAGTGGTCAGCTAGTGCTTGGTGTTCCCGTCACTCCTTTTAGTTGGAGCACACGCCTCAAGCCCAAGCACCCCCAGAACAGGCGGCACATATGATCATCCGACCCTGGTTGAACACGTAGCACATCCATTGGCAAACCCTGGTTTTTTTTTTCCGAGGGATTTCCTTTGGGATTTCGCACTCACCAAAAGAAACGACGACATGTTTCAACAAAAAGAGCACAGCCATGGTGGGTCGAACTGTACCCTTCGAGCGAGCCAGGCCTTGTGTAGGCACCGATTCTGCACATAGGCCGGCGCTTTGTCCGAAGCGCCTTCGGCCGCGACAGCACACTGCCGGTCGAAACAAATGGACCTCATCTTTTTGCCGATCGGCAGCAGGGATGGATGAAAGCCAAATTGAATACTGGATGGCCCTAACAACTGTTGGAAGGGGATATTAACTTCACAAGTGAGTCGTCAGTCCAAGAATCTCGGGGAGGTTCGCCTCTGAACGTGGTCAGGCTTGTCCTCCTCTTAGGTCTCGGGAAGAGCAAGTCTTTTGTCCAACAAATTGTTGCTCCCACCAAATTTAAATGGAACCTGCCCTTCGCGGGCCCCTAAAAGACCAGTTTGTTGGAGGGACCCTCAGGTGGGTCACATGTTCATTGGTGGGGAAGGGGCAATCTTGTGATTAACGTCAAAAGTGTGTCTTTAAGGGCACCCTTTTCAGGTTGGTGAGGGAAGCCAAAAGGCAAGCCGCCACATTGCGGGGTCCCCTGTTTTGACACATACCCAAGTGGCCTTCCACAAAGTTTGCCCAAACACTCAAGTAAGCCAAGTGCACGCAAGCGCGTGCGGCCCTCGGTTCGTTGGGGAAACATTGCGCGAATGCAACAGAGAACCAAACATTTTACGAGGGTCAACTCAACTGCTAGAAATATTGCAAATGCACCCGCTCCACAACATTCCGTCCATTTGCTTGTTAGTAAGATCAAATTGTTCCCAGCTCCCTTTGAAACAAAAACGGAATGCCAAGACGCCAGCTACACCGGAACTGAGCAGCCCTTGTTCTATTCTTTGGCTTATTCCCTGTAGAATATCCAGCAGCTGGTTTCCTTGAAACCAAACACACAAATAAAGTGCTATGTCAGATTCTACCTATGATGATTTCTATCATAATTAGCAGCACTTGCCTACTTCATCATGGGGTGAAACAAGGGCTCACGGGGGAAATTTCCACCGCACCTTGGGGGGGAGGGGAGCCGAAAGCCTTGCGAACCAAAACCGCCGAGTCTCTCTCTGAGCCGCGCACTCAGTAGCCATCGGAGCTCTTGCGCGTTGAAGTTGCTCACGCCAATCCTCACTCCGCAAAAGCTGGCCGTTGGGGCGCTCTTTGCGGTCTCACGCTGAAAGGGGATGACTGGATGACGAAAACCGCCTGGAGGAATGGCGCCTTTCTTCCACCCAGATGTCCGGTTCCATCCTGTTCAACCAGTCTGTTCCCCACCGATCGTTTCCGCCGGGTTGTTGGAATGAAGGATGTTGCCCCGAAGTGCCAAACCTGCGATGCCATGGTCCGAAAGCCGTCGCTTCGTCTCTTCGTAGCTTGTACGCAAGGGATTGAACCGAAACGCGGGGCGCTGAGTGCTGCAGGTGTTGTGGGTTCCATTTACGCACTAGTCCTGCGGGCTTGACAAACATACCCGTGCTAGAAGGAAACCAAGAGGCTGACGTCCATTAAAATCGAAGCAAGTGATGCGAAAACGCACCATGATTAGGTGAAACTGGAGGATTTCGAGCCCCAATTCCCCAATGAGAATGCCCCGAAACCCGGCCCCAAACCAGATCAGGCCACGTGGGTGTCGTTTTTTGGAGTTGGTACCCTGTTTTGTTGTGGTTTTAGGAGAAACCCCAAAAAAGAAAACCACCCGATTGAAGGGGAAACCAAGGACAACTACCATTTTGAGGGGGTCCTTCAAATGACAGACACCCACCCACGTGGGGAAAGGGAAGCCAGGAAAGCCACCTTTTTCCTGGCAGTAAAGGGTACCAGCTTTTTTGTGTAGTCTATGTTGGTAGGGGAACTCTCCCAACCAAAAAAAATGGTAAGAAAGGGCACTACTGGGGGACCTAGCAGACACGCCCATCTTTGGGTCACCGAGAAAAATAGACGTTCGCCCGGCCGGGCGGCTCGCCTGCGAGGTTCTCCTCTTGGATCCTGCCGGGCTTGGATCGATCCGATCGGCGCCTCTCTGATCTAACCCCTGAAATGTGGCAAAATCCCCGGAACTGGGGCTGAGGGATCAAAAACATAATAATTCAGGATAAACAAAAAATTAAACAGGTAGATCCTAGAATAGTTTCTTTTTGATGTGTATGCCTGGAACTGGGGTACCCTCAAAAGGACAGCTGGCAAAAGAAATACACACACACAAGCTTTTCCAGGTGGATCCGAATCTTTTCAGGAAAACAAACAAAAAAACAGGGAAACACCTGTTTTTTTTTGAAAAGAACGAGAGTTGAAAAGAATGCGGAAGCAGCTTCCAGAGTAATTCCCTTTAAACCACCCCGATAAGAACCTCCAAAAAAGACACCCACATGGGCATGAGTTTTGCTTGGGGACCTTTTGGTGGACATCATTTAGGTGGGAATGCATGTCCAACCAGTTTTCAGGTGGTTCACCAGTAAAACTCGCAGCCATTTTGAACATCAGCCAAACAGCAACTCACTTTAATTCGACCCAGGTGATGTTGTGCTTGACCACCTAAAGGAATACAACTTGGTTGCGGTTGACCCCCCTGCCAAAAGTTGGGTTTCATGGCAAACCCCTTGATTTCAACCAAAAAGCTAAAGTCGAAAGATCCAACCCAGCAGTAGACCGGCCACAGGGAGATGTTGAGAAAAAGGCCACAATTTGCGCTTGTGGGTCATAGTTTCTTGAGCGTCCGGGAGAGAAGCCGTTCTGTCGCAGCAAAACGAAACAAAAGAAGACTGAACATTTGGGGGAGCCCTGTTTGGAGAAACCCGCATATAGTTTTCGGTTGGGGTCTACATTACTAGAACGTTGGTCGTGGGGTGCCTTTTAAGCATGTTCATCATCACAGGAGAATCGTATCCTGCCCATGTTTCTCAAGAAGCGTGCATTCTCTCAAGAAGCGTGGTTTCTTTTCTTCTGAAGAAGCTCATCTTTCCAACCCTTGGTATGATAGAAAATCCCCCCCCACAGGAATCCTTACATTATACACCCGAACATTGCCTTGTAAATGGTGGTTTCCGTTCATTTCTGGTGGAAAAAGCCATGTTTCAAATGGGCAAAATGTATCTTTTAAGGAGCCCTGCCCCACTTCAGCTGAACAGAGCCCGCAGCAACAATAATATCAAACCGGATGGCCCCTGTGTGTGTGTGCGCAAAAAGTTGAAGTTCCTGTTGAGTGGGAAAAAACGTTCAAGTTAGGGTCTGCAAAAAGTAGCCAAGTCAAACACATGCCAACATCAGAAGTTGTTCTCAACCGCTCCTCTCCATCTCCCGCCACACTTCCAGCGACTCAGCACGCGTGGGCATGGGCGCGTGTAGCAGAAGCGCCTGAGGGGAGAATCACGTCCCATCAATACTTGGTTGACGTTGGAAGGGGAGCAAAAAAGTATTTTTTAGCAGCTAAGTGGGGATTTCCCACTAAACCACAACAAGCAAAAATGTAAAACGTTTCCCAACAACAGCCATGAATCTGGTGTCTTGACATGCAAAAAAGGGGAAACCAAATTGGCCAGTTCAAAGCGGGGCAAACCTCTGAATCCGTCCGCTCTGGGACACAAGGGAAAACACGTCGCGCAATCCATCTGGTAGAAGGAGCTTGCGGATTGACACTTGAACCACCCAGCAGAAACAAGGAGGGATTGGGTACACGTTGTGGATGGACACAATCCACTTCGCACCAGTTGGTTTGCATAAACCCCTATGACTATTGGTGGATAAACAACCAATCCCAACTGGTGCAGGACTTTGTCCACAGCAAAGTGCCCTTTTTGCTGTCTATTCAACTAGCCCCATGACTTTATGATCAAAGTCACCCCCAAGTGGTAGGTGAAAGGAAACAACTCCAGGTTCCTGACTTTGTATACGGCTTTGCACCTCAGTCCAAATTCAACGAACTCCAACCTCCAACAACATTCCAAAACCAGACCGAGTGTCGAGTGCTGCGGCCTTGTCCAAAACGGGAAACCAAAAGGAAACCAAAGAGGCTCCCTCCTCCCAGCTGGCGAAACTCGATTCTGTAGGGTCATACCATTTTGGGTACCCATGTTTGACCCCCATTTCCAAAAGGATACTCATTAAGTGGCAAGCAGAAGTAGTTAACTCCTACAACCATTAATTAGTCTTGGCTTTGCAGTACCCCACAACCCCATTCCGACTATTGATTCCCTCTTATTTTGTGTTTGCTGGTAGACCAAATACCAAGCAGGAAATCACCATGTTTGTTTGGACCCCGGATGTTGGGCCAAGGAATCATGTCCTGAAATGGCAACAGTTTAACACAAGCACACGAGCGGGGGATGGCCATTTACCCAATGAGCAAACGGCTGCAACATGGAGGTGTCTCACATTCTCTATCGACTAGGAAGAGCAACTCAGTCAAAAGGGCGGGAAAGCCAGGCGTATCACCATATCCCTGGCCTCAAACCTCCACTAAAACCAATGTTTCGGCTAAATTCGACCGGCCCAAAGCCAAAATGAGCTCTGGTTGGAGTAAACTGGTACTTGCGCTTTTTACTGATTTATGAACATCGCTTGAGAGGAGACGCTGAATTTTTCAGGAGAACGCCGCCTCCACCCTGTCCACGCGCAAATGTCGCAAGGAGCTGCGCAGCGACTGTCTGACCCGCGCCGACGGGCGAGGCTCCGCAGGGTCGAAGGGCCAAAGCTCCTGGCCGAGGCAACGGTCCCAGCTCCCACAAGCACAACGGCTTCTGGTAGGGAAAGATGGGTGTCGTTTTTTTCAGGGGGTCCCCCCCCCAAAAACAAAACGATGGATGGGTCTTTTACTGTGGACTCTTTACCTCGCGGTTTTTGGGATCGGGAAAAAACAAGTCCTGCTTCTTAGTTGGGAATGGCCCCATGGTGGACAAACGTACAACTTTCTGTGATGCCAAACACAAATGTTCTTCCCTTTCTCCCATGAAGGGAAACCCCTTCTGGCTGATCTCTCTACATGGAGCATGCCCCATGTCAAATTCCAACCCCAAGGACCCCAGAAATCAACCCTCAATCACCTTTCAAGGGTACCAGGGCCCCCCCTCCCCCCAACAAAAAGAAAGAACAAAAAGAAAAAGAAGAACGAAGGGAACAGTGAAAGCCAAATATTGCAAGACCAACCGCTCTTGGCGTTTAAAACACGTGGTACTTTGCTGCAAAGTGTGCGATTTCCCTTCTTACCCCACTCTCAATGTTAAGGGATCCTACGGTAGGCGCCTTTTTGCCAACACGGCTGTGGGTCAAAAATGTGTACCGAAAATGGAACCCTGGTACGTGGAAACATGGACCAAAACCTGCGTAACCCCTCCAGTTTAATTTTGAGCCACACCCACACCAAAAGCACCCAACAGCCAAAGCCTCTCGCGCCGGGAAACTCTGTCCTCTGGGATGTCGGCACAGGCGTCCGGAGTAAACTTGGTCTGCACCCACAGCTGGTCTCCTCGATGAGACGTGGGAATTCCGCTGGTGCAAAATCCCTGGGAATGGCCCATGCCAGTTCGGAAATCGATCCTCACAGCAGTTGGACATAGAAGCCAAAACGTTTACGCAATCATCTACTGGGCTGTCCTCATGACCCAGCAAAAAGGTCTAACTTTTAGTGGTTTAGTAGAAACTACCCACCAAGCATAATGGCTTCAGGTGTAAAACCGCCCTGGTACCTCCAGGGGTACAAATGAATCAACTTGGCCAGACTTGGTCTAAGTTAAGTGTTGGTTGAACACCTAAACATGATGGAAACCCAAACAGGCAAAAGAGCAACCAGGTGAGCTGCTCCGCAGGTTAACATGAAACCGCCAAGCCGCCAAGCTTCTTCTGGGGACCCTTTTTTGGCTTCCATGTGAATCAGGGGAGTACCTGGCCCACATCTGGGGTAAGCTGAACATCATTTGTTCTCACGGTGCTTGAATCATAAATTAGTCTTGGAGGAGACCCTAGAGGAAGTCTGCAAAGAGCACTGAAACCGACAGGCTCCTCGTATTTCCTGTCAAAACATCACCCCTACCAAGGCAAAGCTCAGCTTGAAAGGGCAAATCAAATGAACGATTTTTGGACCCACTCCCCTGTCCCTGCGGCCCAATGACTCGTCAGCTGACCCGTCGCCAGAAACTCGGACACAGCCTCTCCCACCAGACTCTCCTCCGTGGAAAAACAAGAAAAAAGGTTTGTTTTCTGCGGATCGTCATTGCTTCAGGGCTCCCTATATTCCCCTTTTGAACATCACCCCGCCAAAAGGAAACGCACTTTAAAGTGGCATCCAAAAGGTGATAATTCAAGACACAAAAAAAGAGGGACCTATAGGGAACCCTGGTTTTTAGTGGAGTCTAAAGGGAAACCAAAGAGAAAACTCCCAAAAACCCGCTTCGGCTCCGAATCTGCGGGTCCTCAAGGGATGTTCTGATCACAGCCACGGTCAACAAGTCCCCCCATGTTGGTTTTGTCATCCCCTCCACCCATGGGATTCTGTTTATCTACTTTCTGCAAGGTGGAAGCCGAATCTGAACAGGTTTCTACCCCCCAAACCGAAGCTACCCCTAAGGGATTGAACAATAGACAGTCACTATGTATGGCTCGAAATTCAAACACCAGGATATGGACCGCAGGCTTTAGTCCACGTTTCCATTTGTTGGGTGCCTATGTTTGACCCACAGCCATGTAGTGATAAAGGGTAAAAAAAACAATTTCCCTTTCGGCGTTGATCCACGCGGCTCCGGATGCTGATTTCCCTGCCGGACATGGATGTTCAAACAAGCAGCGCTCGTTTAAAGCCCCATTGGTCATTTAGCCAGGGGTTGTGACAATAAGCTCTTTCGGGTGCCTTCGGCTCATCTTTTCTTAAACTCTTGCTTGTCTAACTTCCTCCATGCCTCCCTTTACTGGGGGATCAGTGCCTGCTGAAATGTTCGGACCACTTAGCGAGTTAGCAACCTAGGCCGTAGCCCACTTGCAAGCCCCCCTTGGGGCATTTCATCCTAGGTGTTCCAACCCAGGCCATCCAAACGGTCGCAACCAGCTTCGCCTGAAACCAGCCAGACAAGCGAAGGACACGGGTCTTGGCCAACCCGCTGCCCCATCCTAACCACCAACTTGGCACCGCGCACCCAAGCGGTTGTATCCAACTTGCCAGGAAAACCCGGTGCTTGCCTGAAACAGAAACCCCCAAAAGCAACAGACGCCTTGGATTTGATCTGGGTGAATTATAAGATTTCAGCCTGAAATAAAGTGGTTGGGGGGGCCTGGGGTGAGGTCGTGAATTCGGTCGTTATACTTCACCCAGAGTTTTGATTGAGGCTCTCAGGCGAAGTCGCATTGTAGTGCTTGGGCATGTTGGCGGTGTCCAGCGCTCTGAAGCCCTCGGAGATGGACAAGTCAGCTTTCTCGCTTTGGAGTTGTATCAAAGGCGGAAAAAGGCCACCCCGAGGGAGAAAAGGCCACCGAGATTCTGTTGCGAAACCGCCCACCCCCCAACAAAAGCTGGCAGCCAGTGGACCTCCTTACTTGGGTAGTCAATCTCGGACCTCCTGCAAAACGAGAAGCGTTTTGCGAACTCATGGCCTTCCAAAAAAGGAAGAATGTCCGCGCACTCAAGGAGTGAATTGTGGACAATAATCACATGGTTGGGAAGATGTCATTTTCGGCGATACCAAGGAGGGTCATCTCCATGACCGCGCTATCACTTAACGGGTTACCTTGATGTCACATGGACGTAAAACCCTGCTCTCACTTCCCCGAATATCAGATTAAAAGTCGAGCCAAAGGGCAATCAAGTAGATGTCATGGGACCTCCAAAAGTCGACCGAACCGACTCCAGAATGAGAAAAGGCCGTTGAAAGAGCCATGGGTCTTTGGCTGTACTCCCATTCCTTCCAGGGCTCCTTCTTTCCGGAAAATCGCAAACACAGACTTGGGGTTCCCCAAAGAGCACTTGGTGAAAAGAGCAGAAGATGCGCATCTTGCCCCCTTGCTGTCGCAACCGAATGCTAGTTTCTGGGCAACATGTATCACAACTTTGTTCTTCGCAGCCCCGCATAGAATGAAGAACCAGAAGCATTTGACAAAATCGTGCCCAGAAGAATGAAGCGACTCCGCAGCATGCAGAGTAGGGTGATTCTGACAGAACTCCTTCGTCGTTTGTGCTTACCGCCGCAGGCTCGGAAAAACGCTTGCCTGTTCTTGGTCGTGTCTCAATTATATATATATATATATGGGTGAATTATAATATTTCTGCAGCCTGAAATAGCCTGAAATAAGGTGGTTTGGGGGCTATGCCCCACATACACCACCATTTGGGCTGAGGTCTTGTTAGGTCGTTATAATTCACCAAGATATATGGGTCCTACATGGGGAGGTTTGGACAAACATAACAATATCATCGATCCCCTTTGGCAACCCTTGCAAAACCTAGCCACTATTGGCTATTCAGCACCCGGGGTTGCCTTGCCCTGAGTGCGCGATGCAATTGCATAACGCTTCACCAGCCTGAAATGCAGCACATGGGAGTAGCCCATTGACCCGTTGAGCTCGCTACGGTATATCAGGTGCACCAACCGTGAGATTCATCAAAGAGAATAGCCAACGCAGGATTTCATACTCGGAGTTTGTCTTGGCATGCCGATGCTCCTGCACTTCTCAGTCGCCGGGGTCGGGGGCGTCGCTTGCTTTGTTGCAGGGCTCGAAGCAGGCTTGCTCTGGAGATTTCGGCCGCAAAGAATCACCGGCTGCATTCGGAACCAAGTTGCGCAAGTCAACCGGTTGACCACCGCTGGCCGCGTGAAGGCGCGGACTCATTCTTCCCAAGATCAAGCCCAAGGGCTTTCCCCAAAAGGGCGCTCACTTCGAATACTGGCATCCAACAGGATGCTGAAAACCAGCCTTGGGAAGCACATCTGGGCCAATATCCTTGAGTGCACCTGCTTTTTTGGTGACGGGGAAGCTAAAGGGAAGCCGCATCCGTTTAGGGTTCCCCACCAACCAGAGCCAAACAAACACATAACGAACCCATCTCAAGCCCCGATTCCCTTCTAAGAAGGGACTGTCACCCTTTTCACTCCTCAAACAAATCACCTCGAAGGGTACAGGGGTTTCCTTTTTGTTTCCTTTTTGTGGCGTATGCCAGAGGGTACCAAGGGACAGTCTAGGGAAGCAAAAATCCCGCCCACCCTATGGATGGCTTCTGTCGCCTGGCGTAGCGCCAGCTTCACCAGATCTGCGGTGGCCTCCTGGAGATCGCAAAACTGAGATGGGCCGGAGCCATACTGTGGATGGCTGCGATATCCATTTCGCTTCTGGCACCCCTGGAATGATACGATTTCCCAACGCAAATACCAACAAACCATGGTTTTAACATGTTTCAACCCTGGTTGCAAAGTGGCGTAGGATTTCGTCCATCCGCAGTAGGCGTCCTTTTAGGGCAAATAGATGGCCCTGGTAGATGATTGAGCCACCAGGTAAACCAGGAATCGCCATCTATATGTTTCTGGCAAAACAACCAAAAAGGACACCTATGGCCGGAGGCAGTCTGTGGGGCGACCCTTTCAGATGCGGAAACACATGATTCTCCTTTGGCGCAAGTGATCGGAGCCCGGTTTCGTAGAACCAGTCTAGGGTCCCCTGAGTCTGGGTTTGCAAACAAAAGGTTGGGCAACAAATGAAAACCTAAGGTCCGTGGTTCGTTTTGCAGCCAATGGGGGAAAGGAGACGGGGGGCGCTTGTTGGTGAGTCCCTCTAGTGGTTGCACCCTTTGGTATCCCCAACTGTTGAAGGGATGTCAAATTGGAAACCCGTTGCCGGAGCGCTCGCCTCAACCCGAGCCGAGTGTCGTTCGGCCCTTGGGGTCCAGCGATCCACGTCTTGCCAGAGGGGAGAACTCCGATGGCCCAAGTCGTTTGGGTCGAAAGCCCAGGCAACACAAACGAGTCACTTGCTCAAAACCCGGTACAAAAATGGTCGACCCAGAACCATGCTTCAAGAACTAAGGCGGCTGCAGCACTAACCTTCACTTACCCAGGTTTTCATTGCGTCTCAAATGAAAAGCAACAAACATGGGGATCCCGCTGGATGGTCCAATGGTGGTCAAAGGGAAACCAAAGGAAACGAAAGGGAAACCATGATGGACAGGGTTCCAAAAAATAATCTTCCAAGGGCATCCCGAAGGTCTAAGCCAGTGAATCCGGTTGCGGCCATAGTGGGCAACCAGAAATTATTTTAAGTCAAACCCTGGTAACAAATCTTGTCCACGTAGCCCGGGTGCTTGCGAGTGCTTTTGTTTGAGGCTATCCCTGTTTGCGGGCTTTTTTTCGCAAACCCATACGAAATCCTGTTCGCACCACTTTGAAACCATGGTTGAACCCATTGTTTGTTGGTATTTACAGGAGAATCATCATTCCAGGGATTCTGAGGTGGTGCAGGATTTTGTCCATCCACAGTAACCCCGTTTTATGTACCCTCCCACCAGCTAACATGGAGCTGCACAGAGCCCTGTAGAAAGACATGTCCTTCCTCTTGGAAAGTGCCTTTTTTGCACAAACCCATGAGTTGGTGGGAGGGAATCTATTTCTTCATTTGGGTGTGGGTCGAAACTAAACCACCAGGATATGGACCGCAGGTTGTAGTCCCAGTTTCCATTTACCAGGGCAAGCCATTTTGGGATATTTTTGACCCACAGCCCTTTATTCCATTTTTTTTGGGGACTGGGGTTGTCCCTTAAAAAAGGATCCTGCTGCGATTTTTTCCCCGTTCCGCGCCTTCTTCCAGGCGGTCCTGGGCGCAAGGCAAGCGCCTTGAAGCCTTGTTTTCCCCCGGTTCGGGTTGAAGAATCCGAACCGGCCGGGTGCTTTTAAACCACCTGGTTACCTGGTTCAATTGGGTATGGGTCAGAATGAAACCAGGGACCGCAGGTTTTAGTCCTTGGTTTCACAAGGTGACTGGTTGCCACCAAGACTTAAACCACGTGAGATGTGATATATTCCTGCAAGGCACAATTCAAAGTTCATCATTCGGAAAGGTCATAGATGCCCAGGAAGGCTGGGAACACGGTTCAGCCATTGCACGTTGGCGTTTTTAACACGAGAATTCGTTCTGAGCTTTGCTGAAAACAAGGACACCGGCTAACATAAAAGCTGACTGGAGGAATTTTGAATTCTCGTCTTAGATTCCACGTTCGTGGGTGGGAGGGCTAAGCACAGCGAACCCTCCGCATTGCCTCCATGCTAAAAGGCCGAGACAGCAAATATAATTGTTCTGTTGCGGTGCCATATCATCCTCTATTTGCGAATGTGTGTCGCGGAAGAACTCAAGATATGTCCAGTAGTGATAGATTGTCTTTAAAACCAACAAGGCAAACTAGCATATTCTCACTTCCTAAGTGGATAGGCCAAAGCGCAAGTCCACACACTTCTTATTTACCGCCAAAAATCCTCTTCCCCCCCAAGCAAAAAATCCAGGAACTCGGGAAGTGAGCAAATGGAACATATGGGCATGGGTCAAAATTAAAGCAAAGGAATCGGACCGCAGGGTTTAGTCCATGTTTCCATTTTCCAGGGCAAGCCATTTTGAGTACCTTGTTTTAGACCCACTCCCATATGGCCATGGGTCAAAATCCCGTACCCCCAGTGAACATCCCAATCCCAACTAAAATAGACTAAAATGGGTGGTGCACCTACCGTTTTGACCCACTCCCATATATCTCTTCAGCCGCATCCACCCCGCCGCCCGCCGAGCCGCCCGTAGATCACGGAATGCTCGGCTGCGGCCAGCGACACGTACAGAAACACCCGGAGCGGCGCGAGCGCAGGCGCCATGGCCCGCGAGCTGAAAAACCGACTCCGCCTACAGCGAGTTGTAACCATGCGATGGTTGTAAGAGGTAAGTCAGCCAAACCCAGCTAGCTTCCCCTGAACCAAACACAAGAAAGGGGCACAAAGGCGATGGTTGTAAGATGTAAGTCAGCCTTCCCTTGAACCAAACACAAAGGGGGACCAACTCACAAGAAGGCGAGCCCAGATGCTCAGACTCTGTTTCATGTTTAGTCTAAGGAGACCCCAAGCTTGTGGCGCGGAAGATTCCTCTGAGCCCAGAGCTGGGAAGGAAACCCAAAGGGTCTCATGGTAGCTTTGTGCGTACCTCCTCAAATCCACTTGCGGATATTAACCGCTTGGTAAGTGGGGCGGTCATCCAAGGGGATTTTCTGGGTCCATTGAAGTGACATCACCAAAAGTCGTATTGCTCGAACCCCTAAGCTCTTCACTTTGGGACCAGACCCCGAAGGAGTACCTTTTTGGGCGGGTATCCCAAAGATGCGCAAGGTCAAACGGCTGGCGTCCTATCTCAGGGATCCGTACATTATACACCTGAACATTGCCTTGTAAATGGTGGGTGTCCCCTTATTTTGGTGGAAAAAGCCATGTTTCAAATGGGCAAGATGTATCTTTTAAGGAGCTGTGAAGCCCCGCGGCTTTCCAGCACCTTCAGTCCAAGGCAACCATGCCCCCAAGGTCTGAGGGTGTTTGTATTACACCCTGGGAATGCAACCTTGGGAAATGACCCAGAATGGTTCAAAATAACACGGTTTTATCCGGAAATGTGCCTAAATGGGGTCAATACCCAGTGGGTGTATTCCCAATTTGTAGTACAAAAACCCTTAGAACTGGTTTTTGGCTGAGGCCGAAACTAAGACCGCGAGCAGAACAAGGCCGCCCTGCGTGTAAAGCGGCCTGCCAGCAGGAGGCGCAATAAATCCGAGCGTGGCAGCGCCAGTACCCCCCCCCTTTTCGCTCCTTCTTTTTTGGGCTTGGCCTCAAGGGGTGACCCGATGTCTCAAACGCTTTGAAGCATGAGAATGGCTCCGAAACACAAGCAGAAGTTATAACCGGCCGAACACCATGTTCTTTGGGTGTTGCCCAAAAGTTCACCAATCGGACCGCCAAAAAAACATCCTTCGATTTTTCAGCATGGCAGCTGTGAACCCCTCTTTGATTCCCTGGCGGCCTGGTTTGGGAACCTTCCCCTAAAATATCAGCCACTAGGTCGATTGATCCTTGGTCAACCTTGGCCTTCTTTTTCTGGGCTCAACTGCCTTTTGTGCGTGTCCCGCGGCCATGCCCATAAAGAAAACAAAAAAAAAACGGCGCAAGGCTAACTGGTTCGACGTCAGGACTGGGAACCCCGTGGGTCGGTTCATCCTGGGTCGGAATGAGAGGAAGGACGCCGTGAATAAACAAATCCGGCTCACTTCAATAGACTAGCTCCAGTAAAGAGGTTAGAATAAGTTGGTACCCGATTTTTTCTCTGTAGTGTATTTTAGTAGGGGAATCCAAAAAAAGTTGGTAAAGGGGCACTACTGGGGGACCTAGGCCTTTTTCTAGGGGTTGATTCCTTTCCCATTCGTTTCAACCATTGTTCTTTTCAAAACCGGATCCGTTTGCGCTGGGTTTCTGAGGGTTTTCTTTTCAACCATCAGGGGAACCTATGTTAGCAGGGGACCCCCCCAAAAAAAAAATGGTGAGAAAGGGCACCTACTTGGGGGACCTAGTAGAGCTTCGAAGCTCAAGTGTTGCACATGCCTTGCTTCACCCGCGCTTTTGGAAGCAGAAGAAGTGAGCCTCACGTGAGAGGACTCCGCTGGGCTCCGTTTGCAATCTGAACCATCTCCGATGAACAAAGAAACACACACTAACCAACAGAGCAACACGCCCACAGGTCTTTGGCAACCAATTCAATCCCAACCAAATCAAATCAAAACATATCCCGGGTGTAAAACTGATTCGGCCCCCCCTCCCTTGGCAACCCATCCCAACCCGAAACCCGCGGCTCGCAGTGGCTCGCAGCGGCTATTCCGATCGATCCCTCGCCTGCGGGGAATGTCCTGGCAAATCGACCATCCGATGTGAACTGACACTCCTTGAGTTGTGGGATGGTCGATTGAGTTGTGGGCAAAAATCATTCCTCGTTGAGTGGTGGGCAACAATCATTACTCGTTTGCAACCGGCCCCAAAGCGCACCCTACGATCCAGACAAAAAGAGGCGCTGGAAGACGGAGTTCCAGGGAGCTTCTGCTAGGTTCTGTCTTACCCAAAACAGATTGTTGGAATTTCTGCACCTTGACTCACAAGCACCAACAAAGGAAACGCGGTGGGAAGGGGCTTCTTTCAGGAACCTTGACTCATATCCACCCCACACGTATTCCGTAGTTGCCAATCGACCTCTAACCTTCCTCGAAAACCATCCTCCAAGGATACCAAGGGCTGCGCGACCCATCGCGGAGGGGTGGACGCTCTATTACGACCTCTTTCGCGCCCTGGTTGCGATGGGCAGCCAACCCGGTGGAACACGCTCAAACTTCCGGGCTTCATGTCCGATGTCTCTCAAACTTGTGAAGTTAGTTTGGGGGCTCCATGTCAACATAGGCATTTTAGGTGAAACAGATGGCCCTGGTAGATGATTAAGCCAGGTAAACCAGGGAAACCCATCTATTTGTCTAGCGTTAACCACCAAAAAGGACACCTATGCATGTCAAGCTACCGGGGCACCAAATTCTTGCGAGCAAAGCCCATTTGTATCAAACCGCCAGGGGACAGCACCCCGCAGCTCCCCCCGCCTCCTCTTCATCACCTGGCCGAGTGGCCAACTTGCCATCCAGCTGATTGCTTGCCAGTCCAGGCCCGAAAAGTTGGAAGGCCCAACCTCGATCTGAACCGAAACTGAATCCTCCAATTTGTAGGTCGAAGAGTTTTTAGTCTTTTCAGCTCGTCCAGTTCTCTCCACTGAAATGGCCAAAGTTGTCCAGTCTAACTTGGAAGGTGACCCCGAGAGCTTCAGCCACGGGCAGAATGATTCCACTCTCGGCGCCGATGCCCAAACCATTTGAGGTCGACACAACGAAAATGTCGGGGCGTCGAAGCGCCCCGAAAAAAAAATCGGGGAGCCGGAACAAATGGGGCTCAAAGCACCGAACACTGAACCATCCCCGAGCTTCCTTTCAATGGGGAACATTGCTTCAGTCAAAAACAAACATGGGTGTGTCTACTATTAGGGAGCTCCTTTTTGATTGCAAAGGGAAACCGCAGGGACAACCACCATTGAGGGGGGGTCTCTCGCAAAAAGACGCATCCGAATGGATTTCCCACTGAGAACCAAATCAAAAGAACCCATCAACTTGGATTTGTGTTTGTCGAGGTTGCCTATGTTGGGGATTCGAAGGTATATTAAAATGCAAAAATTCCCAATCTATGCGTGTGTCTTAAAACAGAGAGAGAGACTGACTGATTGATTGGTGTTCTGGGGAAATCAACCCGCCATTTTGAGGGTCCCCTTTGGTTTCCCCTTGCCAACGCAAGTGGAGGATTTCTTCGGGGCTTCAAAAGGTTCATGCCCAAGCCCGGAGTGGTTGAAGGAACTGGCCGGACACCAACTAGGTCCTCCAGTGGAGAGGTTAGAACAAGGGTACCCATTCTTTTTCTGTAGCCTATTTTAGTAGGGGAACCCTCCCAACCAAAAAAGGGGTGAGAAAGGGCACCTAGCTAGGGGACCCAGCCAAATGCCAAATGCCAGCGCGCGCCTGAGAGGCACGCCCAAGTCAGTGCGGCAAAGAGCGCCAAGACGGCGCGCGCCTCACCGCGACCGAAGGAAAGCTCGGGTCTCGGACCTCCTGGTGGTTTTGGGCGCTTTTTGGGCAACCCCACTGTTGTTTTTACTTACTCTTTAAAGCTAGGGAACCTATTTTCTGCTTTCCTTTTCCTTTTTAGGGAACCCAGCTTTTGGTTTTTCTGTTTGTGTTTTTCAAGGGAACCGGGTTCCTGTTTGTCTTTTGGGGGGGCCGTTCATGTTTTTCTTTGCTGGGGAAGTCCCTCTTGGTGCTTGTTTATGCTTACGGATTGATTACAGCCGCCCAAAAGCATGACAAACATCGCAGATTGTGACAGCCGGCTGAATATCTTGGATTTGTTGATGACTTCTGGTGGACCTCATTGCCACACACGCACACACACTTACGCAGCTTTCCTAGCTCGGGCGAAGCAGTGTGCGATGTCGCAAGACTTCCACTTTGTCGAGCTGGGGCCGCCGCAGTCTCCGGAGCGCACCCAAGACAGTCCGCCCGCACATGGAGCTTGCGCTGGGCGCAGCTCTTCGTGATCTTCGAGAGGCCGTCGGCGCATCGTCCGGTTGGGCGCCTCCACTTGCACTTCTTGCCCAAAACGGACACCAAGCCTCACTCGAAGCCGCCGGTCGAGAGCTTGGACCGCGCCGCCAAGGCCATGGTTCCATTTGTTTTATTTTGTTTTCTTCGGTCAAAATGTTTCGTGTTCACATGTTACCCTTCTCTTTTTTGCAGACACTGATCTCTGGTCATTGCTGCGCAAGTGCAGGCATTCGACGCAGTGGACCCCCGGGATGCTGCGGGGTACCAGTCCACTCTCATCACCGACGGGGCTCGCCTTTATCCTGGCTTGGCCCAGAAGCACGGACCCCTGAACTACCAGTGCTCCCACGCCACTGGCCTGTTCGCGTACAAGGTTGGCAGGGGCCGACGCCCGGCCTTGCATATTCACACTGGGTACATCGATAGCGCTTGGCGCCTCTTGAAGCAGAACATTCCCTACCGCTTGGCATCCAAGAGTAAGCAGACCGGCTGCTTGACCTCACACATTTGCAACTCATTTGCGAAGCCAAGCTTGAAATACATTGCGAATGTTTTTCACTACATGTTGCTGGTCAGGCTGTTTGAACCCCATGATCAAGCTTGAGACACATTACGAATGTTTTTCGCTACATTTTGTTGCTGAGGCTGTTTGAACCCACGATCAAGGAGTATGCTCTTCAGTGGCAGTGGCGCTATGTCTGCCGCGGGCAGGCAAAGCGCTGGAAAGCTGGCGTCGGTGAGGTGACGCGCGCGCTTGGGCGAGCCAGAAGCTGAAAAAAAAGGCGGCGGGAATCATTCCGTACGGTTGTTTATGTTCGTGGCCAAAAGGAAACCTGAATGGTGACCTAGCATGAATAAAGTCCTCCTAAATACTGATCTGCAAGCTCCCCGAGACAATGAATAAAGGCAGCAAATATAAAGAGACTGCTGAAATCCCAGCCTGACAAAAACTCCACGCCAAAGAAAAACCAAAACCAAACCTAAACACTGTTAGAGTCAAGACTACAAGTTTCCGCCGGGGGGGGGGAACTCCCCTCAATTCCGGAAGGGGGAGTACTTGAGAGGCGATTCTTCTAGGGGGCCCCGCGAATGACTTGTTGCCTCTCCCAAAAGAGAATCTGGCTGAAGTCTTCTAAGGCCCTTGCCAAGCTACAAGAGGCTCCAATTCGATGGATTTAGTTGGCCTTCAAACAACCTGGTTTTGCGCCCCAGCTACACAACATTACAACCCAGAGGCTCCAATTCGATGGATTTAATTGGCCTTCAAACAACCTAAACTTTGAGACCCGGAGGGGTCGGGTCTTCTTTTGAAAGGTCCAGGAGCCTCTCGGAATACAATTTGCGGAGGAAACAACAACCCGAACTCAAATTTCTTAACCCAGCTTCATTTCAGAACGTCCACAAAGGGGGGAGTACTTGGAGAAGAGAAAAACACTTGTTTCACACACCCCTCCCCCCCCCCCCGAAACACAAAAAAACGACAAGTTGCAGCCCCTCACAAAAGAGACAACCCGACAATACTAAATGAACAGGAACATCCGATCAAATCCAATCAAGAAACACTGAATCAACTGGAAGCTCGAATACAGCAATATTACGTAAATGAAAGGGAAAGTCCAATCCAGACAAACTTAAATGAACACCCCCCAAATGCAATGTTAAAAGGAAGCTTCAGCAAGATAAATCAACTGGAAACTCGGACATGGGCCCAATAAAACCCAACTCTAAACCAATTGATTTGGGGGGTGTCTATTTCTGGGTGGATCCAATGAGATCAATCAAAGGAGTCAACGACCCGAAAGTTTTTCTAATGCCACACGAGTTGTGTAAAGGTCGAGGCCCGCTTTTTTTTACAGATGGGTTGATGGAGGGGGCCGTTTGCTTCAACATCTTGAGCCTTCAAACGCCCCGAAGAAAACTCACTCGGCGAATATCTATCGCGTGCTCCGATTGGATTTTTGGATTTTTGGATTTGTAGCAACCACCTAAATATCCTGGTGGCAATTTGGTGAGTGACCGCCTTTTGAAGTTGGTCCTGGTGAGATTGAAAACCCCCCCCCCCGCACCCCAAAACTTCGCACCTCTGGCTTGCTGAAGAGAGACGCCTGCAGAGCCGAGCGAGGCTCTGGCCAAAGGGTCACCCAGCTTGGCTAGGTCCTCCAGTAAGGTTAGAATAAGGGCACCCGATTTTTTTCTGTAGTCTATTTTAGTAGGGGAACCCTCCCAGCTGGGGGACCTCGGCAAAGCACCTGCACCCCGGTCATTTTCCTTCAAACCTCGCCGGGCTGTGGCTGAAGGTAGTCCCACGCATGTGGCCAAGGGACACGACTCCTGAGCTCCAACAAACCGAGCGACTCCTGGGAAGGCCACCTGGCACGTTGGCTTCGGGGAGTTCCCTCAACCGGGACCGTGCGAGAATTCAAGACATGAGTCTTGTTGCGAGGGCACATTCGACTGCACCTAAACACAGCAACTGCCTGCACAACATCAAATTGTGTCCTGCATGCCGCATTTGGAATTTGGAGTGCCCAGACATGGAAGGCCGCGGATGCCCCAAATTGTAGCTTTAGTTTACTGCGGATGGGAAAAACACATTCTGCTGCTGCCACTTTGCAACCAGGGTTGAAACCATTGTTTGTTAGTTTTTACAGGGGGACTCGTATCCTTCCAGGGTTTCTTAGATGGTGTAGGAGTTCGTCCATCCACAGTACCTTCAAAAGCAATCCTACACCTTTAGAGGGAACCGCAGCCTTCCGCACCCATGGAAGCCCGACGCCCGCAGCGCCTGCAGGATCAGCGTGCTACCCCAAGCCTCAGGCGCAAGCCAATCTCTGCCGAACCGCCCGGCTCTTTGGATGCCGTTTTTGGAGCGGGGTTCCTAGGTCCTCCAGTAGAGAGGTTAGAATAAGGGTACCTGTTTTTTCTGTAGTCTATTTTACTAGAAAGACCCTCCCCCCAAAAAAGTTGCACAAAGGGCACTACTGGGGGACCCAGGTTCCGTGGTCCGATCCATGCAAACTGCTGCAAACAACTCGACCTGAACTCTTCAACCTGAAGGAGCAACGCACCATGGGGCACTGATTGCCACTAGGACTTGATGTCACCTCAACTGCCATAAGTGCACGTTTGGAAAAAACAAAACAGAGGACAATGGCAAATGGTTCGAACCAAACGGAAATCACTGGAACCCATCTACCCCGAATCAAACTGACCCAAAACGGCAATTATCCGCACTCTCTCCCACCCTCTTTCCACCCTTTGGTATGATAGCAACGCTTTGATTCTTTGCAGCCCCCACTAATCCCGAACAACAGATCACCAACAAAACCAAAAGACATCATCTGCCACGGCCAGTGACCACTGACATTTGATTTGGGTATGTTTGTTGAGGAAACCCCTTTGGAGGACTGTTTTAAAGAGAATCGTGCAAACCACTCCTTGGCATAGATGGCGGTTGAAACAATCGATGGGCCCCAGTCAAGACCATAAAACCCCTCCAAAACCAGTGGAATCCATCTATTTTCCACTGAAATCCCAAAAAAGGACCCCTATGCTTTTTCGGGGGTTCCCCCAAAAAAACCAACCGCACCTGTGCCACCCAGCCCCCCGAACCTTCCGAACCGTCGGGGCCGTCCCCCGAGCTCCCCGGGCTCCCGGGTTCCCGGGCGCAGGCGGCCACGAAGAGGGTGCAGGCGCAGCGCCCGGCCCAAGGCTTCGCGGAGACCCGGGCCAAGTGGCGGCCCAGCACCACCTGAGGCGAGTCGATCGGTTGACGTTCGTTGAAAAGGTGGTTTCTTTTGGATTTTACCAGCTAAGTGGTTGGATTTCAACCACTCAACGAAGTTCATTTTTTTAGCAGTTAAGCGGTTGGAGTTCTTTTAGCCCCAAAAGGGGTGACCTTCAAGTCATGCAGCAACTTGGGAGCAAAAAACGGTCAAGTGGTTGGGTTTCAACCGCTAAACCACAATAAGCAGAAATGTGAGATGTTTGCGAGCCCGAAACCAGAGAAAAATCCGCCCCAAAAGCAGTGTCGTTGTTTTGTTCTTGATAACAGTTGGGACCGCGCACCATCCACCTCATTGCTGCCGGCCTTTTTGCTCCATTGTTGATGATTTTCTCGGTTTTTCCTTGAACAGTGCACCATCCAGCTGATCCAACTGGGGACCCTCAAAATTCAGCCAAACTTGAAGTGTGGATTGATGGCGGACAGAACACTTGCTTCCCCAAGAAGACATCGATAGGAAAACCAGCATTCTGGGTTATGTTGCAAGTTCTTGACATAGCTTAGATTCATGTGTTATCACCTTCTATCTGGGGACAGGAAGTGAACATCCCCCCGCCCAACCACCCACCCACCCAAAAGCGGGAAAACTTCCAAGATTAACGCTTTCTCGTTGTGATGGGTTTCATTCAAAACTAGGCTGCCCTCAGATCCCCTGCAAAAAGTCTAACTTTGCGTGGGTCAAATGGACCTCCCTGTTTCACCAAAAGCCAGCTCAACTAAGGAACCTGATGGGACCAAGAAAACCAGCCCCAAACGCCCCTGTCATCCCCCCGACCGAAAAGCTTGCTGCTCAGGAAAAAATGAGAATTGGATTCATCCCCTATAAGCCATCCCCTATATTAGGTTTCCTCTTTGCTCGGATTCTCCCAAAACAGCTCCTTCCATTTCGCCTTCCCTGCCGATTTCAGACGCTCCTGGACCTTTCAATGGAAGACCTGACCCCTCCGGATTAGACACCCCGGGAATCGGTGGTTGGGTGTCTCAAAGTTTAGGTTGTTTGAAGGCCAACTAAATCCATCGAATTGGAGCCTCTTGTAGCTTGGCAAGGGCCTTAGAAGAACTCATCCATGGAGTTGAGACAGCTTTGTTTGCGCCTTTGAGGTTGAACCATCTACTCTCTTGGGCCAGCAAGAAAACCGCCCGTAAAACCCGCAGCCGCCCCGCTGCCCCGCCAGCATCTTGGGGAAGGCCAGTGCCAGCAGCTGCAGCCCGCAGAAGGCCGGGAAGCCCGCGCCCGCGACCCCCGGGCGCAGCAGCGGCAGCCTCGCCAGCTGGGCCGTTTTTAGGAGGAGAGGCACCTCCCAACACCTTGGTTGACGTTGGGTTAGGGCAGCAAGAGTTTTTTCATTTTTTTAGCAGTTCAGTGGTTGGATTTCAACCACTAAACCACGAGAAGCACAAATGTGAAGGGTTTCCCAACAACAACCATGACAACTAAAGGGACGATTTACTGTGAGCTTGCTTCGCCCACGAAACCGACCATAAGGGATCAACCTCAGCCACAAAGTATACGCCTGGTCTTAAAGGGACCTACCGAACGCGGCTTGACGGGGATTTTATCCTCGCCCAAGTCTCACCTCGTTTGTTACAATCGAAACCTGCCAACAATTAGTTCCTTTGCCTCACCTGGTTGAGTAAAATTTGGATTTTGCTTCCGGCCACTGGGCATGTGCCCTTTTTTGAGGATATCCATTTGAAAGCCCTGTGTTGGGGTCCGAATCCTTACGCCCAGCTGATTCTGCCCATCCTCCCGAGGACCCTGCCCCACAGCGCAGGGCGGCAGCACTGCCAGGACGATCTGCTCCTAAGGTGAGATAGTTGGAAACAAGCGTGCTTCCATTTACTCCTATATCCAAGAAACCAAGGACATACAGGAAAAATCTCTGTCACTCTCTCTTCCGGGTATTCGGCACATGCCCTATGGGATCCCCTGCATCGCCAAGGGAAACCATCACATACCTGACAAAATCCCAGTTGCCTCTTGGGGTCACTGGATGCGATCGGCCAGTCGAGAGCGAGAGCTGAATGAAGCCAAGCGAATCGATTCGAAAGGCGCACGGAAAAAGAGACAACTCCTAGGTCCTCCAGATTTGAGAGGTTAGAATAAGTTGGTACCCATTGTTTTTTTCTAGTCAAAGTTTTAGTAGGGGAACCTTCCCTCCCTCCCCCAAAAAAGAAACGATAGAGAAGGGCACCTGGCTGGGGGAGCTAGACTCTTTGGCGAAAAGGGAAAATGAAGTGTCAAACCAATACGGCAGCAGGGCAGGGGGAGGGCAGCTCAGCTTGTGGGGAAGGTCCTTTCGCCTTCTGCTTACATTGACCATTGCTTGCGAAGAACCTTCTGCTAATACCAACCAGTGCTGGCGTCCTGGTTTGTTGGGCACAAGTTGATGTTCCGGATTCATCTGACAACAAGGTGTACTTAGTCAAGGACTAGTTGAGCATGGCCAATTTGTAGTGTGTCCTCCTACGACATGATAGTTTGGTGAGCAATTTCCAGTTTCTACTGGAAAATATGATTTGCGAGCGTGACTGTAATTCCAAAGCCGGAAAGAAGAATCCGATCCGTACCGTGGATTGACGGCATCCCACACCACCTCAGAGACCCTGGACGTCGATTTCCCAACGTAAATATCAACCAACAATGGTTCGCAACGGGTGCGAAATGGATTTCGCGACCATCCACAGTAGCTCACCCTCAAACAGGAAGATTGAAGCCTTGCCGCGCGAAAGGCACAGGCGCCGCAGGCCGCCCGCCCTCTCCCGCTGGGTTTCTGGCAGTTTGAGAATCCCAGCTCGCAAAGCATGCCGCAACTCCGAGCCTCGCTGAGGCGCCGTGGCTTTGCTGGGCTTGTTTCCCCTTGTCATTAAAGGGGAGAGGGGTTGAATCCTACAAAAAAAAAGATCGATTCATGCTGCTACATGAGTGTCTCAAAATAGGGGAACCACATGCAAAAAAATGTTGGCTTCCCTTTGGTTTCCAGTTGAAACCCATCCAAAAAGAGTGCCGTCAGAAAAAGACAGATCTACATGGGAAATGACAAGACTTGACCCCCACAGACCTCAACCAGGAGTCGTGGGGGTCCCAAGTATTGTAGGTTGGTTTAAAGGGAAGCCAACAGGAGAACAACCATTTTGGGGTCCACATGCCCGATTTGCGTGGTCCTCCGGATACGCCCGCAGTAGAACTAGCCTGTCCTTAGATCCCCTGCCACAAGGACAGCTGGAGAAACCCCCACCAGGCACAAGTGGCCTGGTCAGGTCCCTTGGTCACCAAATCCCACGGACCAACTCCACCCCTCGCAGCGCTTGGAACGCGGAGGTCCTGAGGTCCAAGCCCCAGGGACAGCCAGGTGGGCAGCGACATGATGACGCCGGGATCCCTCAAGCACAGCTGCGCCGGCGCCTGCGGGTCGTTGGGTCCGGTTTCCGCGACCAAGCCGGAAGCTCTCAGACCTTTTTCGCCCGCCAAACCACTGCCCCCGAGGGTAAAAGAGGTTCTATTAGACCTTTGGAACAAATGCAAAATCCACTAGTCATAGACTCTCTTTAAAACCAAAAGGGGACATAAAACATATTCTTAGGCAAATGGAAGATGAGTGTTGACTTCGTGAAAGGCGGGCTTCCTGAACATGAGCGGCGAACATCTGCGACGGACCGCAGGTAAGGCCACGAACGTGGTTGGGGGGAGTTTGGCACGAATCCGGGTCTCTTGCCTGTTCAAGCTCGAACTGTAGCAAATGGAGAAGCACCACCCCACCCCGCCCCGCCCCACCCCCACCCCACCCCACCCCCACCCCACCCCCACCCCCACCCCACCCCACCCTCACCACCCCACCCCACCCCACCCCACCCCACCCCACCCCACCCCACCCCACCCCACCCCACCCCACCCCACCCCACCCCACCCCACCCCACCCCACCCCACCCCACCCCACCCCACCCCACCCCACCCCACCCCACCCCACCCCACCCCACCCCACCCCACCCCACCCCACCCACCCCACCCCACCCCACCCCACCCCACCCCACCCCACCCCACCCCACCCCACCCCACCCCACCCCACCCCACCCCACCCCACCCCACCCCACCCCACCCCACCCCACCCCACCCCACCCCACCCCACCCCACCCCACCCCACCCCACCCCACCCCACCCCACCCCACCCCACCCCACCCCACCCCAGCTTGCAGCGCCAACGCTATGCGCGGCGTTCAGAGGCGCAGGAAGCTCCGACCATCCGGCCGCGCGAACGCAGGCGGCTTGCGAGCCACTGGGTCATGGGCAAATCTCCACTCAAGGAGCCCAACGCAGCAAACAAAAGACAAGCAACAAAATGGGGGGTTACCAGATTCGCGTTTCCCGACACACCCCACCTCTGCAGAGTAGAGGAATAGCCTCAGAGGATGTGGCAGGCGCCACAAAACAATCGCGGGGGGCCGTGGCCTCTGTGTGAAGCCAAGGGCTATGTTCCCAGACTGTCGGCCGAAAGCCGGCTAAACGGAGAGTTAGACTACCATGAAAAAGAAAATGCCAGGCAGCACCTACTTAAATATTAGGCAAAAGGTCCGATGAACATGGGATGCCCACTGTGGCAAAACCAGCAAAAACCTAATACTTCCCACCACACGGAAAAAGTTACCCATTGGCCCATGGTCAAAACTGGGGGCCCTAAATAGAATATAACCCCCATTTGTTTGACTAACCCCCTTTGTTTGACTATCCCCTGTTTGTCTGACTAAGGCGGGACTGGGGTCATATCACTTTACCTTGACGTTGCCTTCGGGCGCGCTTTAAATACTGACGAAAAGGGTGTCCATGCTGAGTGGAAAAAATCTGAGTCCTCAAGCACAGGCGCTCACTTTTTGACCCAAGAGCACTAGCTCCAGAACCAAAAGAATCCGCTTGGGAGAGCCAAGCTTGGTTACTAGTGAGCTATCGGAGCTATACAGGTGTTATGGCTCGCTTCGTCCCCCTGGAGTCAACCCTTGGCGGGTTGTAGACGGCGAACCTGGGAAAGGCTTGCTTCTGCTTTTGTCCAGCCGGAATTAGCGGCCGACTTCAAACCAGAACCCGCTTGAAAGCCGGCTTACACTGATATTTGGTGGACGCTTATTAGGGGGTCCTACCTCAGCTTTTGCCCGACCAAACGAATGACTGGTTCATGGTGAGTGAACCTCACATGTTAAGCAATGTCAAAATAGATCCTACCCCGCCCCAAGCCTCCTCGACTCCACTCGGCTCAACTCGAACTAAGCGGCTGGAAAAGGATCAGCACAGAGCCTGGGATTCGGCATCAGCGCGGTTCCGGCGGTCTCGTTCTGCAAGAACCAAAGTTCCCCGAAGAGAAATCCAAACCAATCAAGGGTAACCTAAGGTGCTTGATTGCTTGCGATATCCAAGGGCTTGACTCCCAACCACTGACTACTTTGACACGTCCTAAAAAGGGATTTCTTGGTATCACAGGTGGAAACTTCCAAAGCCAGGTCCCACAATAGACCTGAAAGGGGAAGTGCTTTTTCATTCGTTTGGTCAGTCCCATGGACAACAAATATCATTGAATCATAGCCAGCAGAAAAATATTGCTTTGACCTTTCCGCCCCTTGACAGGTCCGTGCAGAGGGTAGCAAACAGGTTGGCTGGTGAGGTCTAAAATTCGACAGGACATCCTTTTTTTTTGGTGGATCAACAACAAGTGAAGAATGGTAGTGACCATCTTCTTGGGAGATGCTTTAAGGCTCTGCGTCATATTCAGGCCAACCTTCCAACATTTAAAAAAAAAAAAGCATCAAGTGCCGCTCCTCCTATGGGGAGGCGGAACCCCCCTTTCCGAGACCAGAGGGAGACGGGACATCGGGAGGGATCCCGCCCGTTGGGAGGGGATCCCACCCAAAACGGAAGACCGAAGCCGCCCATGCCATGCGGAAAACCCATAACAAACATCGAGCTTTCATTTGCAGCAAATCAATACCACATGATGACCGGTCATGGTCATCGCCAGTCCAAATTGCAGATTCTGGCGCTCCTCCGCCTGAAACCGTAGATGACATTGGCAAGTGTCTCATATCTGCACTTAGTATGGCTGCCGTTCCGTGGGATATATCTTGAGGTAGTCCATTTACTTATTAACTACTTGGATGTTCGGCCAAGTTAGGAAGTGGGTAGCCAATCGGGGTATAACCCCCTAACAAGGTTAACCTCACTCAAGGGGGGTATAAGTGAGCTATGACCGAACGGTTACCAACCCAAGTAGGGACATTACCTGACGTGGGGTGGTCACGCAGGCTGCGACGATGCTGCTTCAAGGACTCGAGCGTCAGCCCTTGACCCCCCATCTGCCATCAGGTAACGGATTTCCCAGTTGTTGTGTGCTGAGGATTTGAACCCCCTGGTCTTGTAGAGGGCAAACAGGAAACCTGGAAACCACCCCCCCCCCCCAAGTTTTGTGCTGGGGATGTGAACCCCTGGTTCTTGTAGAGGGCAAACGGGAAACCACCAAACCAATCCAAACCAACAATCAGAGTGGAGCTGAAAAGGAGAAATGCCTGCAAGTCTTGTAACTGGCAGTGGCATAAATAACGCGCACACACACAGGATGGAGTACATGGAAGTGCGGGTCATTTGAGCTGCAAGTACTTGCCGCCACACACAACACACACACACACACAGTTCCACCTTTGATGAAAACCCAATGTAGACTTAAACGCGGGAATAGTTCAATTCCCTCAAAAGGGGAGAAGCCCTGGGTTTAAGTGTTCCTTGAAGCCAACAAGTGGAAGCCTGCACACACACACACACACACACACGGCTCACTTCCTGAGTGGATGGGCCAAAAAAGTCCCCAAGCTTGTTGTTTGCCACTAGAATAATGTCCAAAACCCAGAAACGCGTCGAAGCCCAACTCAGGGAGGTGCAAGCCACTAGACTGGCAACCAAACCCAAGTCCAGAAGCCCAAAAAAAAAAGTGAGGAGAAAAAAACGAGCCCAGAACCGCCCGGGGGGGAAAAAACAGAAAGATAAAACCAAAAAAAAAATCGGGCTCTTCCCCCCCGCCCTCCATCCCCCCGGTGGCCATGGCGCCGGTGAGCAGCCCCATCATCACCACCTGCGGCGGCGCCCAGGGCGCGGCCTGCGGGATGTGGTGGGTCACCCCCGAAGTGGTGGGATACAACCGCCAGAAACCGTCAAAAGAATGACCCCAGGTGGTTTCTTTGTTGATGCAACCGAAAGCAAGTATGGCTTTAACCACCATTGAAATGCTGAATCTGTTATTGTTGCTGTTTCTTTTCTTTCCCTTTTTTTTTTGGGGGGGGGGGCAGGGGGGGGGGGCGGTGTTCTTTCGTTGTTGCTGCTGTTGTTGTTGTTTTGTTGTTTTGTTGGAGGGGAGGGGATGGGGGAGGGGGGAAGGGGGAGGGAGGGTTGTTTTTGGTGGGTGTGGTGTCTTGTTGTGTTTTGTCTTTATTTATTCTATTTAATTTTCTCTCTTTTTGTTTGAGAGGGTGCGACCAAGAGATGTACGGTCACCTTACGAGTTGGAGGTTTAGTTTGGTAGTTTGGACCTTGGGTACCAACACCCCATTTGGCTAAAGTGAGATTCAATCCCCCAAGCCAACAATCCAAACCATCAATTCAGGATGGTATACCTGAAAAAATAATGTGGGGCCACTGTTGGGCCAACAAAAAAGAAATGAATGCGGTCAAAAAGCTTCAGCCAATTCACGCGGCCTCTTGGGGATGAAAAGACATGATGAATGAATAGGGGGCTCTTGTGGGGTCAAAAGGGGTGAGACATGCGCTTTATTGGGAGACCAACAAGAAGGACACATGTGTATTTTGTTGTTTTTGCTTTGCTTTGTTATGATTTCTTTTTTGGGGGGGGGGGACCAGAACGGAACACTGAGTGTGGCCGCGTTTGGGGGAACCAAAAGACATGAAACATGTGTGTCCTTTTTGTGCTCCTGTAGGGAGACCAAGAGTAAATGCGACTGGAAACTCCTTTTGGTTGAGTTGGAAAGGGAAACCAAAAGGAAACCAACACCATTGTTGGGGGTCTAAATCCTACCCAGATCCATATTGGGCTGCTCTTGGAAACCTTGCTAACTGGCTCGTTGTTCCATTTGGTTTGTGCTAAAACTGCCATCCTGCTCATTTTCCCATCCCCGCATGCCAGCCAGCTTAGGGGCTTATAGTAAACAAGAACACCCAAACCAGGACACATTCAATTTCAATCATGGGGCTGAGATATCATTATCGACGTCAAAACAATTTGATTGCTTAGATACATCAACACCCGCCAACGCAAAAAGGGGGCACAACTCATTCTGTCCTCAAGACAAATGGCCCACAAACCCACAATGCAAACAAGGAATGGGGTGTGATGTCTTTGCCACGGGACGTCACTTGGATAACCCTCCCCTGGCTTGGTCGGCGATTTTCATGGCCAACACGTCACTGCCACAAACAAGTCCGGGCCCGAATGGAAACAGAAACTAGGTCCTCCAGATTTGAGAGGTTAGAATAAGTTGGTACCCGATCTTTTTCCTGTAGTCTCATTTAGTAGGGGAACCCTTCCCCAAAAAAAGGGGAGAGAGAAGGGCACTACTGGGACCTAGGAAATCAGAATTCTATGCTTGTCCTTTTTGGGGCCTGTGGCATTAAACGGGTCATCCAAGCAACCATCTGGGAAAGCCATCCCAAAATGGCTGGTACAGCACCCGGGGCTGCACCCAAGTTCTTTAGGTCTCTATTGGTTGCTTAAGGTTTCGTGGCTGGGCTTCTATTTAAGCCACCAAAAGTGTTCGACTTTTAACTCAGATGCCCTTTGACCAGGGGGGAGAAAAAGAAAAAAAACGGGCACCCTTCTTCGGCGAACCTTAAAGGAACCGGAGCCCTTCCAACAAAAAAGCACGTGGCCGCCACCGGGCACCAGTTGGACTTTTCGGGGGATCGGATTGAAACACACACACACACACACACACACACACACACACACACACACACACACACGCCCAGTTTTCCACGCGTTGGGCGGAAAAAGCCGCCCAGTTCTCCCCAAGCGTGGGGTCGCGTCCCCGGCAGCCCCGGGTCTCCCCCCCGCCCCCCGCCTGAAACACGGGGCTCGCCGCGCGGTGCTGCCGCAGGGCCGCCTCCAGGGGCAAGGTGAAGGACAGCCACACCTGGAAACTTCGGTTTCAGGCGCAGGGAGCAGGGCGCCAGACGCGGGCAGGGCGGCGGTGTTGTTTTCTTCTCCGGAGGGCGGCCGTGCTTTTTCCTTAAAGTGGTTTTAGTATGGGAAGGCCGTGTCTTTTTGGGAGTGTACCCTTGAAAATGGAAGTGGTTTTAGGATGGGAAGCAAGGGGAAGACGAACATTTGCCCGTTTTTGGGAGGTCTCCGATTTTGGACACATTGACACATGCCCGTAAAACAAAAGAGTTTGAACTCTCAGAATGTCCGCTCAACTGACCCCAACAATGCCGTCCAACGATTGCTTTTTCGGCCTGTTGGCAAGGGCCCTCAACATGGGTTTGTCAGGGCTGCATTGATCACGATGAGTTCCTTAGTCGGCATGGTCTGCATTTGTTGTTCTTCGAGTTATGAGCCTGAGCCTCAGGAAAAATGGGGGGGGGCACTTTTGGTCGTCAACAAGAGAAGTTGAAGCTCGACCCATCACCTCACATCGTGAGAATCTCAATTGCCCGTGCGCAAGGGTGATCACCTTCTGGGCCCAGCAAACACCTACGTATTGTTTTTGTGTACGTAATGTGTCCAAGACCTGAAATGAGGACACTACGTTTTGTTTTTGTTCGCTCGATTTGGGATTCCCAAAACAAAGGAAACCAAAGTGGCGACCTCGTTGTACCCGGGCCTGGGCTTATTCAACAACACGGGCAGAAAAATGACATTCAAACACCCGAAGAGCCTCGCCGAAGGCCGGGCCCAAACCGAGTTAAGCCATGGAATCGGACATGATTCCCGTGGTCCCATGGCGTTTAGCAAGGACTTTTGGCTGGGCTGCCCGATTTCCGATCCCCGGATAAAAGTTTAACTTTTAGTGGCTTAAATGGAAACTACCACTAAACGCTAAAAGGCTAAAAAGCTCAGGGGAATTCCCCTCAACCACCAAGTCGGAGCTACCTGATTTTCCTGGAAAAAACGCGATTGGGTATGCCTTGTTTTGGGGATGGTACCGTTTTGGGGGTTTAAGGGAAACCCAAGAAAACCTCCCGAATTTTCAAACAATCCAAAGGAAAATGCCGAAGGGTTGCCCTCCTGTTAGTGGACAGGAGGGACCCTTTGGCAATTTCAATTGTGGAGAAACGCCGAGGTTCAGGGAAAGTAGGAAAGCCGTCCATTGTAAGGGGCCCCGAATCCAGTGGTTTACAAACTGCAAATTGTAAACCCTGGCTTAAGGAATCCGCAAGAGAAGGATCTTTAGCATGGCTTTCGCTCGTTTTACCCCCAGATCGGTAAGCTCGCCATATATTCGGCAGACACATGTCCAAGGCTCTTCCCAAACAGCCCATGTATGAGGGAACCCCGTCTGGACAGAAACGGGTTCAAACTGCTTGGGCGTTTCCCCATTCTACTGCCAAGTCATCCCAACACTTGATTGACGTTGGAAGGGGAGCAACGTTGTTTTAAGTTTTAGCGGTTAAGTGATTGGATTTCAACCACTAAACCACGCTCAGCAACAAAATAACCACTTCTAAATGCAAAAAAAAACACAATTAAACAACCACTAAACCACTTTTAGATGTAAAAACGGTTTCTCAACAACAACCATGCCTAGGTCCTCCAGCAGAGAGGTTAGAATAAGAGTACCCTTTTTCCTGTAGTCTATTTTAGTAGGGGGGGGGTTTCCCTCCCAACCAAAAAAGTGGGTGAGAGACGGGCACTGCCTAGTCTACCAGTATCAAAGTCAGTGGTAGGTTCAAGGAAAACCACCGAGCAGTTTCTGACCCCAGCTCTGCACCTCTCCCCGCCCGAGCCGAGCGGCCGCCGCTGCGGCGCCGCAGGCGCCCAGAGTGATCCGCGCCAGCGGCGAGGCGAGCGCCAGGTCCGAGGTCATGCAGAGGACCATGCGCAGGACCATGGCGCAAAGCAACGCCTAAGATTGGGTGGGGTGGGGTGGGGTGGGGTGGGGTGGGGTGGGGTGGGGTGGGGTGGGGTGGGGTGGGGTGGGGTGGGGTGGGGTGGGGTGGGGTGGGGTGGGGTGGGGTGGGGTGGGGTGGGGTGGGGGGTGGGGTGGGGTGGGGTGGGGTGGGGTGGGGTGGGGTGGGGTGGGGTGGGGTGGGATGGAGTGGGTGGGGTGGTGGGTTGCTGGGTGCTGGGGTTGCTTTGGTTGGTTGGTTGGGCTGGTTGGTCGTTCGTTGGTTTGGCTGGGTTGGGTGGGTTGTGGGGTTGGTTGGGTTGGGGTGGGGTGGGGTGGGTGGGTGGTGTGTGTGGGGGTGTGGGTGTACGGGAATTCATAGCTAGGACACACACACACACACACAGGCACGCGCGCGCGCACGCACGCACGCACGCACGCACACGCATACGCATACGCATACGCATACGCATACGCATACGCATACGCATACGCATACGCATACGCATAGGCATAGGCATACGCATACGCATACGCATACGCATACGCATACGCATACGCATACGCATACGCATACGCATACGCATACGCATACGCATACACATACACATACACATACACATACACATACACATACACATACACATACACATACACATACACATACACATACACACCCACACACACCAACGACTGCCTGTTGGACAGAACACGAAAGAAATGGCTGGGTGTTGCAATAGTTGGAGAACAAAACGAAGCAAAAGGCCAATGGCTGAAAACACCCTTACCATAGGTGTCCTTTTAGGGCAAATAAATGGGTTCCCATTAAACAACACCAGGTAAACCAGGAATCGAAACCCATCGTTTTGTTCCACCAAAACCACCAGAAAGGACACCTATGACCCAAAAGCGCGACCCATCAGTGTCCCCTGATTTTGGTCCATCCACTGTGGTTGATAGACCTCCAATCCCAGGTGCCTGGCGCGGGGTTCGTCCACGGTAGTGAGAGATCCCTGAAAACGACTACCCAACAGGGGGTGAATCAAGGGTGAATCAAGCATATTCGTAAAACAATTGGAAGGGGCTGTGATATGGAGATAGTTTAACTGGACAAAAAACACCAACAGGCTGGAAAACAAACAAACTATCTATTCATTTCAGCAATTCTCAGGGTACTAACACCTGGAAAACAAACTATTCATTCAGCAATTCTCAGGGTACGAATTCATACCTCCATTTTCAGGGTGGACATTGTGCCCTTCTAGGTCCTCCAGTAGAGAGGATAGAAAATAAGGGTCTCCGATCTTTGTTTCTGTAGTCTATTTTAGTAGGGTTGGAAAATCCCTCCCAACCAAAAAAGTAACGGTAGAGAAGGGCACCAATTGCTGGGGGACCTTGCGCCTTTCGTATCCCGTGATTTTTCTTCGGATGGGTCCAAGCGCCAGCGGCGCCGGCACAAACCGCCCGCGAACCGCCCGCCGCTTCGAGCCGAGGGGCCCAGCCGTCACGCTGACGGCAGGCGAAGGTCTCGGAAAAGCTGAGCTCCTGGAGTGCTGTTGATGAATCCATCCCCAGATGTGAAAACTGGGTTTCAAGAGTGGATTTGACTTGAAACAAATCTGGAGAGGCTGAGTTTGATGAATCCATCCCCCAGGATATGAAGATTTGATGAATCCACAGGAGATGAAAACCCCCGGCTTTGAAGGAGCCCTGGACTTGACTGGAGAGGCTGATTTTGATGAGTCCACCACCCCAGGATGTGAAAACCACTGGGTTTGAAGAGCCCTTGTTTGAAGTGACACCTCCCAAATCCACAGGAGGAAACCCCCAAATCACAAACCCCTAATTTAGCGGATGTGAAAAACACTGGCTTGAAGAGCCCAAATTGTTGAAGTGCCACCTCACATGTGCAGGTCCCACGTTTTCAACTCGTGGCTTCGATGTCAAAACACCCATGTAAGGGCACCAACTCCGACACAGAAACACTTGTGTGTGTCCTTTTTTGGGGAGACCCAAGTTTTTGGAAAAACCCGCCATCTCGGATTTCCCTCCGAGACACACCACAGCAACTTGTTGGTCGAGCCCCAAGGGGCAAGGAGAAAGAGCCATTTCGCTTGGCTGTTGACCCCCTCTGCAAGAAGTTCTACTTTTGTTGTGGGCTTCATGCAAACTCCCCTTAAAATCTCAACCAAAAAGTGAGAGTCTAAAGATCCGTCACCCACCAGCGCTCAAGAAATACGACGGCGTTTCCGTTTGGATTCCCTTTAAACCCCCCAAAAAAGGGCCGGCTTTTTCCTTTTGGTTTCTTCAACCCCCAAAAAAGGGGGTCAGCTTTTTCCTTTTGGTTTCCCTTTAACCCCCCAAAAAAGGGGTCAGCTTTGTCCTTTTGGTTTCCCTTTATGTTTAGTATATCCGCCGACATTGTTCGGCGTGTCGGATACCTAAGAGAGGACTATTGGATACCTAAGAGAGGATAGAGGATAACCCCCCCCTTAGTCCCCCCCCGGGACACGTCAAATACGCATGGTTTTTCGGTCGCCACCCCCCCCCCCTCCCCCGCGTACCGCGCGGCAATTTGATGACGTTCCACTAAACGTAGTCTTCGGGGAGCGGGTCTGGAGAAACGGGGGTCCCAGGCTCGAATCCTCCCGCCGCCTCTTTCTGCCGGCTGAGGTTTTGTGCTGCCTTTTGCGGAAAACTTTGAGACACACGGTGTTCGGTGTTTTTCCTTTGCTGACACCATTGAAAAAAAACATTGTGTTTTCCGATTTCCTTGACAATTGGCACCAATTTCCCCCCCAATTTCCCCTAATTTCTCCCAATGCTTCCCCGCAAATTGCGCCTTACTTTCTCACCAATTCCCTCCCACTTTCCTTTCAATTTCCATCCGACTTCCCCCCAATTTCCCCACCAGTTTCCCCCAAATGTCCAGGCAAATTCCCCAACCCCAGCTTCCTTCCAAGTGTCGCCCCCAATGTCCTTCGTGTCGGATACTTGGCCGACCGTGCGGCAGTTTCATGACGCTCCACTAAACAAAGTCTTCGCCCTTGCGTCTTGTCACGACCCGTGCGATGCCCCTACGGGACCCTATGACGAGTCTTCAATCACTGGAAGCTGCCTTGTGCGGAAAACTTTGAGACACACGGTGTTCGGTGTTTTCCCTTTGCTGACACCTTTGAAAAAACATTGTGTTTTGCGATTCCGCCGACATGACGTTCCACTAAACGTAGTCTTCGAGGAGCGGGTCTGGAGAAACAAACATGGTGTTTTGCGTGTCGGGGAGGATGGGGGAACCAGAGAGGACAGAAGAGCATACTAGGGGGACACGGGCGAGAGGAAGAAGGAGACAAGCTAGATGCCAATGTCGGCGGACTGAGCCGGAGGCTCTAAAGTATATATATATATATGTATTATTATTATTATTATTATTATTATTATTATTATTATTATTATTATTATTATTATTATTATTATTATTAATAATATCATTATTATTATTATTATTATTATTATTATTATTATTATTATTATTATTATTATTATTATTATTATTATTAAATTATTATTATTATTATTATTATTATTATTATTATTATTATTATTATTATTTTTATTATTATTATTATTATTATTATTATTATTATTATTATTATTATTATTATTATTATTATCATTATTATTATTATTATTATTATTATCATTATTATTATTAATATTAGTATTATTATTATTAATATTAGTATTATTATTATTATTATTATTATTATTATTATTATTATTATTATTATGATATTGTTTTTGTTCAGTCTTCATCTTTCATTTTTTGTTTCCCCCTTCTTCTTCTTTTTTAGCCTGGTGCTCTTATGACATGGGCCTCGCTTGCGATGTCGCGCTCCTCTGCGGCGCTCCAGGCGAACGCCAGCACGGAGAAGGCCAGCAGAACCTGTGGGTTGGGCGGGGGGTGGGGAGGTTGGAGGGGCGGGGGAGGAATTGAGGGGGAAGGGTGGGAAGAGTGGGAGGTTGTTGGGGGGTTGGAGGGGCGGGAGGTTGTTGGGGGGTTGGAGGGTTGGGGCTGGGGGGGGGGGGTTGGTTGGCCCTGAGGGAATTTTCAGGGTTGGGTCTTTGGAGGTGTGGATGATTGCGAACTCCATTTCGCGCACCACCGTTCAGCCCAGAATGAGTCGATTCCCCTATAAATAACAACCAACAACGGTGTCCAAAGTGAGGCAGGATTTCGTCCATCCACAGTATGGAGGTTACATACAAGCCGATATTGGTGGTACATGCCGAAACCCCGGAACCACTCGGCGCCATTCGGCTGAGGGGTCGACGAATCCACGAGCTCCGGCTCCTGACCCTCGGTATGTTTGCAACACCTCCCACTTTGCCGTGGCACCTCACAGAGGGTCCCTTGAGCAAATTGATCTTCCGGGTGCCCTCCCACAAAAGCTATGTGAGTGGGAGGAAGGGTAACATACATGCACAGCAATGTAGAACAGGGGAACGCTCTACTTACAGCTAGTTGGATTCGCACCCCACTTCCCCGGAAACAAGTGTTAGATCCACCCTACAGATAGCTCGCTGGGGACTTATCAACTGGGCGTATTTTGACTGCTGACTGAAATGGTCCAGACCCAAAAGTGGCAAAAGTCCAGAAACTCACGGAGCTGTGAATCCGGGCAAAGGTCCCGGGCAAATCTTAGTGATTTCACCAGGGGGTTTCGACCTCCTATTTTCGGGTACCCTCCCTCCCACTAACATAGCACCTGTGGGAGGGTACCTGCAAAATAACTTTCGTCTTGTACGGACCCTCTGGCAGGTGCCATGTTAGTCGGAGTGAGGGTATCCTATTCTTGCCACAGCTGTGTTGTTCCCACTTCTTCTACCTGGGTTTCTCTGACAATGCGGGAGCCCCGCCCAAATCATGAGAACCCCACCCCCCCCACCTTGACCTGGGTCTGCGTGGAATCTAACATCCTTTCTCCTCAGGGTTGGACCAACCCTGAAACGGCGGACACGTTTCCAGTAGCTGTTGCCAGTCTACCGTTGGATTGAGGATATGGGAGGAACCCCCCCCTCAGCCCAAAACACGGAAAAAAACCGGGCAAAAAGAACAACCCACACTCCAAGTGCCTCCGGGCAAGGGGGAACCGCCATGTTGGTGCCCTTTTGCGAGTTTGGACCCTGTTCAGGCGGAAAAAACGGTGAAGAACTGGACCCGCAGCAACTCTGAGGGGCCCATATCCTACTTTGAGACAACTTTTCCAGTAGCTTTGGTTCCATTGCCCAAAGGACCTGGAGATGAAAGGCACCTTTGAGGGCCGTGACGAAAAGGGGAGCCCGAAAGGTCCGGTCCATTCGCTGAACCTGCTTTCCTGTCGCTGGCAAGCTTCCATTTGCTTCCATTTCAAAGGAAAAACATGAGAAAATATGTCCAGTGAAACCGAGCCTCTTGAAAAAACCAACAAGGGAAACATGAAAACCACACTTCTTGAACCGACAAAATCTCGTTTCAGCCACTGGAGAAGTTCCAGTGAATCCCATCACCGCCCATCAAGCTCAAGGTCCCATCCGCTCCGCTCAGCTCGGGCCTCCTGGGCCCAGAGGGCGGAGAGCATCAGCAGCGCCGGCCCCGCGCTGGCGCAGAGCTCCGGGAAGCGGAAGAGCTTCGAGCGGACCTGGCGGCTCGGCTCGCTCGCGGCGGGAGCCGCTCGCACCCGGGAGACGGGAGCCGCTGGGCCGGGGGATCCCGGGATCCGCGGCTCGAGGTCCAAGCCACTAGAGGTTGGTTAGAATAAGTTGGTGCCAGATGTTCTTTCTGTCAAATCTTAGGGGAACCCTTCCAACCAAGAAAGGGGATTCAAGGGCACCTAGCTGGGGGACCTGGTCTTTTGCGCGGGAGAGAACTGGTGGGTTTTGCGCTGCCGTCGCTTTGGAGCGTGTACATGACACTAACTGGTGGTTTTTGTTTCTGGGTTCCCTAACTGGCCGGATCAAAATGGAGTGGCCAATCCGTATTTCCCTCATCCGGAAAAAGGGAAGCCACTACAAAAGGGGACCGTTTCCTGGCGCAACCCAAGGTAAGAATGAAGAATTGCCTTTGAACAGCCCAGTCCAAACAGCTGCACCCAACAAGGGACGCCCAAACAACTTGTGGTCCTCCTTTCCCTTCAAACCAACCCCAAACAGAATTCCACCCAAATGGGCGGGGTGCGTCTTGGTACCAACTCCAAAAAACACCCCCCGAGTGGGTGCGGTATCCTATTTTGAGACCAACCTGGATTGCAAAGAGAGCTCTGAGGGCCTGCCGCAAAGAGTTTTCGCTGTCAAACAAGGGAAAACACTGGAAACCCAGAAAGGCAACAAATGCTAAAAGGATTAAACAGGTGAGTCGAGTCTGGCAATGTGAAAATGATTCGGAACAAAAAAATGTTCAAACGCATGCCAAGAGCACGGTCCTTGTGCCCAAAATTGGAGAGGCAGGGGGGTCGCATAAAACAACCTTTCAAATCAGAAGTTAAGGTTTGGGTCTCGTTTGTTTAGGGCCGGTTTAGGGTCAGGTTTGGGTTTTGGGTTTGGGGCAGCAGGTCGTTGCCTTTCCCCGCTCTATGGGTTCGGCTTTTTTTTCAGTCACTGTCCTGATATCCCCTGCAAGTCTAACTTTTAGTGAGGCAAATGGAAACCCAACCCCTTTTTCAAGCTAAAAGCAGCTAAGTGTTGCCCCTAAACAACCTAACCTCAGGAACCGGATGGCTGAGAACCACCAAGAGGGGATATCATGGGCTGACTTGGCATGGTGGGAACAATCACCATCTTCGCACCACTTGAGATAGAAACCCCATGGGACAAAGCACAATCTGGTGCTTTATATCGGATTTTGTCCAGAGTATGATTCCAAAGTGGGCCATGCCAAAACCTTGCAATCATTGCAAGAGAACATCCTTTTTCAGTGAACCCGTGGTTCATCCTTCAGGGTCTGTTCCCGGCACCGCGAAAAGACTCGCAAACGTCGCCCCAAATCAAGAAGAGGTCCTGTGTAGCCCGGGTCGCGATCTGACCATGACACTGGGATGCCTCAATTTCAGAGGGCCATGGCAAATGATAACCCCATTCCCTCCCCCCCCCCCCATGTAGCGGTTCTCGTGATTGCCTTTGGCCAAACTGGGTCGAATTGAAGCGACGTGGTGCTTTGAAGTAATTTCGAGACACCACCCCTTGAAGTAATTTCGAGATCACTTGCAGGAACCGCTATAGAGTCGTCGCTCCAGCACTCTTGAATGACCGCCTCTTCTGTCCAAAACCCCCAAGAGCTGTCCAAAAAGCAGTTCTGGGGGACTAAGGTGCCTTTTTCTAGCGGAAAGCGTCCTCCCCCCCCCCCCCCCCCCCCCCCCCCCCCACTTCTTTTGGCCCCCCCCAAGCAAAACACGAATCCCAAGTTTTTGTTACAAACTTGCAAAACAAGCAAGCCTTGGGGAACATCCAACTTGAATCCCTTCCGGTTGGGAAGAAGTCGGTTCTTGCTTCTAAAACCAAACTGGACGTCCAACCTCTCGTTGCAATCTCTCCGCTCAGCTCGCATAAGAATCGGCTCTGCGATCGCCTGGCCCAGATCGGCCAGCGGAAGCAAGAGGAAGATGGCCAAGGTCGCGGTGCTCTCCACCGCCTCGGCTTCCGAGTCACCTTCGAAGGCTTCTCTTTTAACACCCCCCCCCCAAAAAAAAAAAACAACAGTAGCCGCCCCCCCCCCCTCCCCCCCCAAAAAAAACAAAGAAGAAGAATAATAATGTAAAAAAAAACAACAACAACATGTGTACCCCGGGTCCAACTTCTATCTTTTGAAGTACCGCACGACCCTCTTCAAGTTCCGCATCAACTCGCAAACGGGTGGCAAGGGACCCTATGGGCTCAAAATGAAAAGATATGCTTGTGGAAGAAACACATCCCTGCTCAAAAAGGAACCCCCATTCAACCCCAAGCAAGGGCATGGTTCATCAGGGGTCGGCATTACTTATGCATGATGTTCAGCATGCCCTTGTTTTTGAAGTAGGCGTGAAGGGAAGCCAAAAGGACATGTTCAGGGGGTGAGGGGGTGGCTGCATGTTGACATCCTATTTGCCATTGTAGTAGGTATCCAGCAATTCCACTTTTGATTTTCAAAGGTTGATTCCGTTGGTTACCAACCCAAGGAGAACAGAGTCACTGGGATATTTTTCTTTAAAAAAAAGAGTGGGGAGGATTACTCATCAATCGACATTCGGCTAGCCGGCGATGTCGGTCTGGGCCGATTTCCTCTTGCCGAACCTTTTCCGGTCACTCTCGCTAGGATATCTGCAGCGAATTGGACCTGGAATTACAAGTCATCCATGTTTTCCAGTGAATCCTTGCTTTAGAAAAGCGTGTGGGTGTGGCTTGTACTAAAGTAGTTTCAAAAGGACCGACAGGGGGAAAAACAGGTTGAAACCCCAAAACTTGGGACCCCATCCAGCATTCTTGGCCCGGGGCTGAATCTGGGGAGAAAGAACATATCTGATCCAGGTCCATGGGGAAAGTATGGGAGGGCAATGGCCCTGAATGGTCAAAAAACTCATCACAGACAGCCACCCATTCCAGGCTCCGGAGTCATGGAACCCCACCCCCCAAAAACAAGCCATGAACTTGCGGCGAGAGGCGGCAGGCAGCCTCAGAACCGCCTGGCGCCCGGTCAGAGTCGGGGGGCCCGTTCTCCGGGGCTGGGCGAAGCTGACGTTGCCTTTAACAGGGATCCTTACATTATACACCTGAACATTGCCTTGTAAATGGTGATTTCCCTTTATTTTAGTGGAAAAAACAACATGCTTCAAATGGGCACAATGCATCTTTTAAGGAGCCCTGATTAAAGGTACATCTTCAGCTTCCGAGCCAGGTGTCTTACCCCAGGTGTCTTACAAGGAAGCCATGACACATATCAAGTCCGTTAACGACCCTCGCGCCATGCAAAGGGTTGGTTGCAGAAAACCCATACTCACTGCCCGAGTCTGGCCGAAAAAAGTCCCCACTGTTTGTTTGCGACAAAAGTTGTCTTCCCAAAAGATTTGAAGTCCATGAACTCAGAGAGCGAGAACAGTTTGAATTGTTGACTTCAAGCCATGGGTTCTAGCAGGGCTTCTCCCGTTCTACCCCAAATCCAAACGGCTTTTCATGAACCAGAGGGGGCTAAACTTGTGTACCATTCCAAGATTTCCCTCGCCACCCTCCAACCCCCCCCCCCCCCAATTAGTTCTTGGGATATACAACTATAAGCCATGATTGACACCAGGGCTTCAAATGCCCTCCCAAGCAAAGACAGCCATTGTTTCAACCACCTCATGTTGATTTCCCTTTAAAGGAGGGCCCTCCCAAACAACCGGGACACCAAAAGGCTACAATTGAGAACAAAAAAAGGTTCAGCACGACAAAGGGTGGGGAACTTCTGGGACTGCCGGGAAATGAACAACGCAAAAGAAGACATATGACACCTTAGCTCCGGAAACCAGAAAAGGGGAACTCATCGGGGGACCAATATGGGTTTAAATGAATGAATCCAAAAGCTTCAAGAAACGCCTTGCTTAAATGGTTCAAACCACTTTTGTAACCACTTTTGTTCAGCACCCTCCTTTTCTTCCTTGCGGCTCATCCATCCCAATCAAAACCTTTGGAACCCTACAACATGCCCTCCATGATCTCATGTCATCATTGAATCCTTTAAAAACCTGGCAAAATGCCTGGACCATCGCGCATCCCAGGCCATTGCCACTTCACCCCGCTTCAATCGCACTTCCCAGGCCGGATCTCTGGAAGAAACGACTTGCCACCCCCCGGATCTCAGGGAACTCCCCTCGCAAACCACTGGGCGTGTCTCCGAGTCTCCATGGCTTCGGCTTCCCTTGTGGTTTGCTGTGGACCCCAGATGAAGTACCGGGGCCCCCGTTTATCAATTTGGAGGGCTTTCAGTGTTCCCCTAAAGCGATGATCCCCCACAACACGCGAAAAAACACACCCTTCTTATTGACAAACTGGGGTTTCTGAAATGCGGGGTCAACATCACCACCAAACAAGGGGTACCAACGTTCCCCATTTAACAAAAAAAATGGGAAAAAAAGGAAAAAAGAAGAAAACAAAACGTGGGTGGGGACGGTCCGTCTGTGTCTCGTTTCGCGCCGCACGACTCGCGCGCGACTCGCGCGGATCGATCGCCGCCTCGAGTCCGCACAAGGCCCACAGCGTCGCTGCGCCTAGCTGCGACACTTGTCGCGCCAAAGGCAGCGACTCCTCGATTGACTCTGACTCCGACTCCGATCCCCGCGAGTGAGGGGTCGCCGGGTCCCGGTCCGAGCGAGCCGAGCCGAGCCATGCAAAAGGGGGGGGGGATTTGGCGGTTGAGGTGTTTTTTTGGGGAGGGAGGGGGGCTGGACAACCAGATGGAAGCGCCTTCGACAGTGGTTTTCCACGAGGAAAACCAGCCATGCTGTTTCTTCAACATCTATAATGCGCGCTGTGTTCTCGGAATCCGCGCTTTTGCGTAGGGTTGATTCCCTTGTTCTCTTCATCGTTCCCTTCAGAACCATCCATTTGTCTATTGGTTTGGCCAGTTTTCTCAAGAGAAGGAGGAAGGGTCTTTGCTGGAATTTCCGCAGGCGTCGGCAAATTGCTCGTGTTTTGTTGCTGTCTTGGTTTGTTGTTTGGCTCAAGCGGCCGGTTTTTCGGTGGAGCCTAACCCCATCTCGTGGCCAACGCTCAACCCTGCTAGAATATGTCTTTGTTTGCCATCATCATTGGCGGGGTTGTCTGTTTTCGATTTAAATCAACACCACCACCCTTTGGAGGGTTCCCTCCAAAGACACACCCACAAAGGGCTTGCAGATATCACTCTAGGGGCTGATTCCCCATTCTTTTCAACCATTGTTCTTTTCCATAACCGGCCGTTTTCCCTGGGTTTTCTAGAACGAAGGATCCTGGAAAGAATGGGAAAGATACCCTTAGAATCACCTACTAAACTGCGGACCGATGCCTCCGGTGTTGTCTTGATTGATGCCCCATTTTGAAAGAGAAGGTCTTTACAACCCTTGGGGCAGCGAGAACCTGACGGTCAGGTGGTTTTTTTCGTGCAGCGCCCGGGATAAGAAGGAACAGAACTAACAAACAAGAACCTGAAAGCTTGACAAACATCACAATTTATGTGATTCCAATCCCATGGAAACCATACCACTTTGTAGGCTCAATTGCCTATCTGTGGTGTTCTCAACAGCCCCAACACCCTGGAACCCTCCGGCACAGTCCCTGCTGAGAGCTGATTTGGGCAAAGCAAAAAAGCAACAGGTGGGTGTATCAAAATTGGACCAAAGTGGTGGGTGTCCTCTTGGTTCCGTCAAAGCCAAACTGACAATCGGTTGGCTTCGGTTGGCGGTTTGGAGGTCGGAGGATTCTCATTTGGCCATGGGTCGAAATCCCGGTTAGCCCCAGTGAACATCCCAATCCCCACTAGAACAGGTTCTAAAACGTTACCCCAAAATGGGATCCCATTAGTTTTGACAACCACTGCCATTTACCCTCTACAAGAACCAGGGCTGCAACTCCCCGATCCAAGCCACCGATCCTAAGAGGTAACGTGCTAAAAGGGTACCTGGGTACCCTCCAAAAAGCTCTCCAAACATGTGTGCTGAGAAAAGGGTACCCTCGAAAAAACCCCCCCCATAGCCTCAAACTTCTCACCCCCCCCCCCAAAAAAAAATTATGGGCCTTGGCATTTTTCTTTTCCGAACCTTTCCAAGGCCCAAGACCCTCTACGTGGCTTCCTGTCCCTCAGTCAGGCCGAGGAGCGGGGGCTTTGGCCAGCAGGTGCAGCACGGACTTGTGGACCCAAAGATCCTCGCGACTGCGATGGAAAATCCCAGTAGGTGGCGTTTCCTAAAGCACATGGGGCTTGATCTTTCTTCTCGGCCCCAAATGACAATGGGAAATAACATCTTTTGGGTGTGCCCAATGGTCCCATGTCAAACCCCCTGGTGAACGACCTTCCGGGCGTTGGTTGCATGAACCGGTTTCGGGGATTCCCGAAAAAGGAAGCCACCACTTGGATGTTTCTTTTTTTCTTGGGGTCGGGTCAGACTCCATTTCTCCTTCCCTCTTCCCTGGTTCGTTTGCCCTGTGCCTTTGGTGAAACCCAGGAACTTGAACCCAACAAGTTGAGCTCAGCTGCCTTGCGGCAACGAGACCCTTTTGGGAGGCTGGCAAGATTCCTGGAAAGGCCTTTTTGGGGAACCAAAGACTCAAACCTGCAGTCCCCTGCCCATACCCACAGAAGCATAAGATGAGCAATTGTGGAGTCGTTGATAGCTGATATCCGCCGACAACAGGCGGCGTGTTGGACATAAGAAATGCTCCTTACCTCTTTACCTGTTACCCCTCCCCTAACCCCTCCCCAGGGAGCATTTCACTAAATCTGTTCATTGCGCGGGCTTGCGCAACTCAGTTTGTCAAAAACATTGGGGTGTTCGATTCCCCCCGGGTGCGCTTTCGCATCCTTAGCAGCTCCAGCGGCACATCGCCAGCATCACCTGCATCATCCGCATCAGCGCCTGCCAAGGATGCGGATGATGCAAGTGATGCTGGGGATGTTGCCTATGCTGGTGAAGGAAATGAAGGGGGGAAAGGGGGAAAGGATCTCAACAGCGAAAGGGGGGGAAAGATCTCAGGGAGGAAAGGGAGAAGATCTGGGGAAAAAATGCCTTAAGGGGGAAAGGGGGGAAAAGATCTTTGGGAGGAAAAGGGAAATCTTTCTCGGGGGGAACAGGCCCTAAGGGGCAATCGGGGGACAGGATCTCAATCGGGAAAGAGAGAAAAAAACTTTGGGAAGAGAAGGGTGGAGATCTTGGGGGGAAAAGGCCTTAGGGGGGAAACGGGGGCAAGGATCTTAAGCGGGAAAGGGGGGAAGAGATCTTAGGGAGGCAAAGGGAGACGAACTCAGGGAAAAGGACTTAGGGAGGAAAGGGGGGGAAAGATCTTTGGGAGGAAAAGGGAGAAGAACTGAGGGTGGGAAAAGGCCTTAGAAGGAAAAGGGGGGAAATAAATGATCTCAACAAGGAACTGGGGGGGGGAAAGATCTTAGGGAGGAAAGGCAGAAGATCTGGGGAAAAAAGGCCAACAGGGAAAGGGGAGAAAAGATCTTAGGAAGGAAAAGCGAGAAGCTCTCAGGGGGGGAAAGGCCTTGGGAGGGAAAGGGGGGAAAGGATCTCAACAGGGAAAGGGTGGGAAAGATCTTAGGGAGGAAAGGGGGGGGGAAGATCTTAGGGAGGAAAGGGAGAAGATCTGGGAGAAAAGGACTTAGAGGGGAAAGCCCAACAGGGAAAGGGGGGAAAAGATTTAGGAAGGAAAAGGGAGAAGCTCTCACGGGGGGGAAAGGCCTTAGGGGGGAAAGGGGGGAAAGGATCTCAGCAGGGAAAGGGGGGGGGGGGAAGATCTTAGGGAGGAAAGGGAGAAGATCTGGGGACAAAGGCCTTAGGGGGGAAAGGGGAGAAATGATCTCAACAGGGAAAGGGGTGGAAAAGATCTTAGGGCGGAAAGGGAGAAGATCTGGGAGAAAAAAGGCCAACAGGGAAAGGGGGGAAAGACCTAAGGAAGGAAAAGGGAGAAGCTCTCAGGTGGGAAAGGCCTGAGGGGGGAAAGGGTGGGAAGGATCTCAACAGGGAAAGGGGGGAAACAATCTTAGGAAGGAAAGGGAGAAGATCTGGAAAGGCCTTAAAGGGAAGGGGGCAAAGGATCTTAAGGAGGAATAGGAAGAAGATCTCAGCGGGGGGAAAGGCCGTAGGGGGGAAAGAGGGGAAAGGATCTCAACAGGGAAAGGGGGGGAAAGATCTCAGTGAAAAAGGGAGAAGGTCCCAGGCAGGGAAAAGGCCTTAGGGGGGAAAGGGGGAAAGGATCTCAACAGGGACAGGGGGCAAAGGATCTTAGGGAGGAAAAGGGAGAAGATCTGAAAAGGCCTTAGGGGGAAAAGGGGGAAAGGAGCTCAACAGGGAAAGGTGGGAGAAGATCCTAGGGAGGAAAAGCGAGAAGATCTCGGGGGAAAAGATCTTGGGGAGGACAAGGGAGAAGATCTCAGGGGGGGAAGGCCTTAGGGGGGAAAGGGGGGAAAGGATCTCAACAGGGAAAGGGGGCAAAGGATCTTAGGGAGGAAAAGGGAGAAGATCTTGGGGGGGAAAACGCCTTAGGGGGGAAAGGGCGGGAAAGGATCTCAACAAGGAAAGGGGGGAAAAGATCTTAGGAAGGAAAAGGGGGAAGATCGCAGGGGGAAAAAAGGCCTTAGGGGGGAAAGGAGGGAAAGGATCTCAACAGGGAGAGGGGGGAAAACATCGTGGGGAGGAAAAGGGAAAAACTCAGAGGGAGAAAGGGCCTTAGGGGGGAAAGGGGGGATGGATCTCAACAGGGAAAAATGGCAAAAGATCTTAGGGAGGAAAAGGGAGAAGATCTCAGGGGGGGAAAGGCCTTAGGGGGGACAGGGGGGAAAGGATCTGAGCAGGGAAAGGGGGGGAAAGATCTTAGGGAGGAAAGGGAGAAGATCTGGGGGCAAAGGCCTTAGGGGGGAAAGGGGAGAAATGATCTCAACAGGGAAAGGGGTGGAAAAGATCTTAGGGAGGAAAGGGAGAAGATCTGGGGGAAAAAAGGCCAACAGGGACAGGGGGGAAAGATCTAAGGAAGGAGAAGCTCTCAGGGGGGGAAAGGCCTCAGGGGGAAAGGGTGGGAAGGATCTCAACAGGGAAAGGGGGGAAACAATCTTAGGAAGGAAAGGGGGGGGAAGATCTTAGGGAGGAAAGGGAGAAGATCTGGGAGAAAAGGACTTAGGGAGGGAAGCCCAACAGGGAAAGGGGGGAAAAGATCTTAGGAAGGAACAGGGAGAAGCTCTCATGGGGGGGGGGAAAGGGAAAGGGGGGAAAGGATCTCAACAGGGAAAGGGTGGGAAAGATCTTAAGGAGGAAAGGGGGGGGAAGATCTTAGGGAGGAAAGGGAGACGATCTGGGAGATCTTAGGGAGGCAAAGGGAGAAGATCTCAGGGGGGAAAAGGCCTTAGGGGGGAAAGGGGGGAAAGGATCTCAACAGGGAGAGGGGTGAAAACATCTTAGGGAGGAAAAGGGAAAAAAACAGAGGGAGAAAAGGCCTTAGGGCGGAAAGGGGGAATGGATCTCAACAAAGAAAGGGGGGCAAAAATCTCAGAGGGGAAGGGGGCAAGGGGACAATTCCAAAGGGACGCAAATAGGAAAGCAGGCCTGTAATGTCGGCGGCCTGAGCCGGAGGCACTAAAATATTCCCAATGGACAATTTACAAAAACAACACCCAAATGAAGCAGTAAGTGTTAAGTCCAATCACCAAAAGGGTTCTCAAAATGGACAGGCAGGTAAAGAGAAGCCAAAACCAAAGTTTTGGGGGGGGCAACTATTTTGGAGGTTGAAAAGTGTTTCTCCAAATTGAGGAGCCTAGAAATAGATTGATGTTCTTGGCATGCATCTTGCCAGGGCGTCGTGTCCCTGCCGGCAACAACAGCATGCATGTGCAGCGCACTTGTTGCGCGCTCGCAGCTGCTCTGCTCACAAGGTATCGCAGTGCTGATCAAGATGGGGAGGGGGCGGGGGGCAGGGGTAGTAAACGTTCGATGCTGGCGACATGCCAGGCAATCATGCTTGGTGTGTGGAGTTGTTGACAGCTTGCCGGGGATCGGACTCTCGCCATTGTTTGTTTTCAGTTGTTTTTGCACAATCACAAACACCCTCGTAGTTTTGAGGTCCCCGGGAAGGTTTGAGGGGCTGTTTCTGCTGGCTGCTGATGTCCCAAGCCGCTTTTGCTTCTTGGAGTGGGCTTCCGCTTGGCAAATGTGCCGTGATCCCATGGTTTCTTGCCATTTTGGGTGCGAAGAACGCGTCCCTGCGGTTTTTGGGGCTTCCTTTGAAAGCGGACAGATGGGCGTGTCATTTTTTCAAAGGACCCCAAAAAAGACTCAGCAGGGGCTTCTTCAACGCAAAGCAGATGGAAGAATGACAGTGATCAGGTGCTTCCTTTAAAACCACCCAAAAAGGCTCCACCATTTTGAGACTCGCCTCATCCTCAAAGAAGCTCACGTAGGCGTCCCCCTCCTCGTCCACCTCGCGAACAACAAATCGCCGGAGCTTCTGGTTTGCTGAGCACGGGACCCAAACCCCAAAAAGCCAACGGAATTTGGACGAGGATTTCGTTGTCCGCGTCCCTTTCAACCAAACCGAAAGGGAGCCTTTAAAAAAAAAAAACGGGCAAAGAATATCGCATGCTCCAGATTTGAGAGGTTAGAATAAGTTGGTACCCGATATTTGTTCCTTTTTCGTCTATTTTCGCAGGGGAACCATCCCCCGAAAAAGGGGTAGAGAAGGGCGACTGGGGGACCTAGTATGAGGGACTTCCCTTGGAACCCTCAAACCCTGGCGCCCACAAAACAAGCTGCAGGAGAACCTCCTGGGCCTCCACTTCTCGCGTCTTCGTCCCCTGGAAATGTACAAATCTCACTGGCTGAGTGGATGGCCCAGAAAAAGTCCAAACTTTATATTTACCCTTAAAATGGTCTTCCAAAAGAGTTTATAAAGTTCATGAACTCAGGAAGTGAGAAATACTGCGGATGGTGGCGAAAGCCGCTTCTCGCGCCACCGAAATGAAGCCCAAGGGAATGAGTCGGAAATTTCCCCCTTCAAATACCAACAAACAATGGGCTCTCGTGATTTCAACTTGGTACAGGATTTGGTCCATCCACAGTATGTCCAGCAGGGAAATGGATTCCCCATAAAGCCGACAGGGGGAAAAAAGAAAACCATCTTGAGTAGATAGAAAGAACAAGCCAAGGTGATACTGTGGATGGTTGCGAAATCCGCGAGTCTCAAACCATGGTTCAACCATGCTTCTTAGGTACAGTTCCCCAACAGGTCCGGAACGCTCCGCAACGCTGTTTGAAAGCCGTCCCAGACCCTGGAGCCTATCTGGGCAGAGACAACCAACCCAGGAAAATGAAGAGCATATTCCTAAGCAAATGGAAGTAAGCATAACCAAGGTCAAGAAGCAGATCAAATGCGAAAGCCAAGATGACCAATCCATCCTGTGTTGTTTATTTCAAGGGCTCTACCCAAACGGCGGCTGCACTCTTTGGTTGGGACTGTGCCTTACTCGGCCCCTGCCTTCACCAGCCTGCCTGATTGCTCCTGACGCCGCAAAAGCGAAACGCAAACACCTGGCTGTGACCCAAGATGACTATATATTAAAAAAAAAAAAAAAAATGCGGACCCCTGGTGGTGAGGTTTTTCCCCATGCCCACATCGCTTCAGGCGGCTGCAACATGTCTCGGCAAAGGACCTATGCCATCTGCAGCTGTGATCGTACTGCGCTGGATCATGTAAACACAGAGATGTACAACGATTTCGCCACGCATCCAACGCTCCCTATTTTCAAGGATCATGCATAACACAATCAAAACGGGGGCCCACTTGTTTAAACAGGTTCCCATTGATTGGAACCAACAGGAAGTTGTTTAAACCGTTTGGTGGTTCAAACAAGATCTACACAAAAGGTTGCCTCCACCAACCCTGAATAAGGTTCATGTCCATCCCCACCAAACCATAAGCACGGGTCACATGGCGTCCATTTCGCAGGACTAGATTCGTGGATTTCAGCTTCTTGCAGCAGTCGGTCTCTTGAGGTAGATCGCGCTCCTCATGACTGTTCTCATTTATGGATCCTTAAGATTAAAGGTCCAAACATGATCCCACTTTTTCTGGGTGCCTCTCCAAAAAAATCTGGGCTGTCCTCAGATCCCCTGCCAAAAGTTTAACTTGTGGGTTAAATTCGGAAACCCGCCACCAAACCAACTACAAACACCAAACAAAAGCCAAGTTGAACCGGATGATTCTGGCTGGTTCAGCCCATTTTTTTCCTCGAAAACCCCAACGCCAAAACCAACAACCGTGGCCACCTCCAGGGGCCTTCCGGGGCCTGGGGCCGTCTCCTGCTCCAGGTTGTAGGGCTCGGGGATCCGCGAGGCCACCACCACCACCAGGTCGCCCTCCTGACTTCGCTCGACGACGACGAGCTCGCCGCGCGATGTTTTGGAAACGGAAACGGGCACGGGACTCAGTCTGGGGGCCCGCTGGGACGAAAAGGCCAAGGCTTCACTCACCTTTTGTTCCAGATTTGAGCTTGGTTAGAATAAGTTGGTACCCGAGATGTTGTTCCTTTTTTGTCTGTTTTAGTAGAAAAACCCTCCCGACCAAAAAAGGGGAGAGAAGGGCACCACTGGGGGACCTAGTGGGCAACTGGGACTGAAAGGTTCACTCACCTTTCGGGGTGACGAAAAACACAGAAGAACCCAACATTTGGGACAGAAGCCTTGAGGTCAAAGGCCGACGGGCTTTGAACAACGGAGTAAAGCGAAACCCACGCAAGAAAAACACACCTCCGTTGTGGCGGCTCCATATCCTTTGAGATAAAGCAAACCAACGTGAGTGGGGTGTTCAACCCCGAAATTGAGTCCTTCTGGTTTCCCTTTGGGAAACCCTCGCAGCCGGTGGCCTGCAAAACTGGATGCACCAAATGGTTGGTACCTAATCCCACATGGGGTTCCACGTGGCTGTGGGTCAAAACCCTGTACCCCTGCTGGTGAACATCAAAATAGGTGGTACATGGGTGTTCATCCGCCCCAAAATGGAGGCATAGGTTATGACCCATGGCCACATGTGTTTAAACATAGGGTTGCATCCATCCAGCTGGTTCAAAAATATTGTCCGTCCACATGAACCAACTGGGTCAACATCGCGTCACCTTAGTGCCCTTGGATACGCAAATCCCTTCCTTCTTACCCATTACAACTCCATCTTGGATGCCAAGTGAGGCCCGACATGTCCCAAGGCTTCCCGCTGGTGTCTGCTCACGTCCGCTCGAATTCTCGAGTCGCTCGGCTCCTGCAGGCCCCGGCGCGCCAGGGCGCGGCGCTGGGACAAGAGCTGCGAGGCCTGCGATCGGATCCGAAGCTAGTCGCCAGTGGGTGGCTTCCAGGCGAAGCAGAGGCTAGGGGCTAGGTCCTCCAAAGTTGAGAGCTTGGAATAAGTTGGTACCCGAATTTGTTTTAGTCTATTTTAGTAGGGAACCCCCCCCCCAAGAAAAAAGAGAGTAAAAGGGCACTACTGGGGGACCCAGGAGGGGTCTTCTGTGTTGGTTCCTGGAGTCTCCATGACCCTTTAAAAATAGGTCCATGACCCGATGATTTTGGGTAATGACCAACCATTTTTAAAGGGTCATGGAGACTCCAGGTTAACCCAGAAATTTGTTGCCTCACTTCTGGGAAGGGGGGGGGGGTGTCTGGGAAAATCGCAGAAGGAAGGCAAAGGGAAATTCAAGGGAAGGGACGGCATTTTTCCAGGGACACTTTGTGAACCTTTGGCAGGCTTGAGATTGAAACTGCAATGCAACTGCGATGCAACTGCCATGCCACTGCGATGCCACTGCGATGCCAAGAAGACGCAAACGCAACCCCAAGATGTATCAAGGGAAATGTCACCCCCGTGTGCCTCCTATTGCCTCCAACTTTGAAACATGTCCAAGGGTGTGTGTGTGTGTGTGTGGGTGTCTGTCAAAATTGGGATGTGGATCCCACAAATTGCGGCTTGTTCTCATTTGCTTTCCCTTTAAACTAACCTGAAAAGGTATCCTCGAAAATTCATACACCAACATTGTCCCAGAAAGTTCAAGGTTGAATCTCCGGTCACCCACATAGCGGCCAAGCCAAGTGTGGCACGTCTCTGAATCCAAGCTCTACTCGGGCAAATCACCTCCAAGACTGCCAACTTTCCACCGACGGGCAATCCGTTTTTCTTTTTTTTCATGTAGATGTTGCGTGATTACATTCCGGGCAATTCCGGCAGGTTTGCATTGGACTTCGGAGAGCGATACTCAAATGCATACTGCAATGAACCGCTGGTGCCAAGCACCATCCACATCTGACCAGTAGCTGCACCCCACGAAGCCTGCCGGAACCCTATGCCGGAGCGGCTCCAAGCTCTTTGGGCAGACGCCCAAAAGAAAAGCCAGCCGCAGTACTGCGGATGGTTGCGAAATTCATTCCGCGCCACTGGTTGAAACCCATTCTGTTGTGATATTTGCCTCGGGGAATCGACTCATTTTCCGTGGGCTCCACATCTCCATCATAAGCGTCCTAGGGCGAATGGGTTTCCCTGGTAGATGATTAAACCACCAGGTAAGCCAGGAATCGAAACCCATCGATTTGTTTCCCAGCAAAACCACCAAAAGGACACCTATGATCTCCAAACCGCTAGGGTCTCCACTTACGAAGCGCTTGCCCGCCTTGCCAGGTGGGTTCCCCTGGCCAGGAGCCGGGAGCTGGTAGTCCTCAGTCTCCTCCTGCGCCCAGAATCGGCGAACGAATCCGAGTAGGTCTCTGACTAGGTTACATGTGTTTGTTGTTTTTTTGTTTAAAAAACAAATAAACAAAATGCAGTCTATTTGAGTCCCAAAAAAAGGGCAAAGGGCTGAGCACCTTCGCGACCTTTCCAAAAATTGCAACAAGAATTGGATCCCCAACTACAACAACCTAAGTCATGAGCTCGCTTCAATCCCAAGCTCGCCATCGAAATTTGGCAGAACAAGGCCAAACCCCCACCCACCCCACCCTGCCTTGTTCGTTGCTAGCAAGGAGCCCATCGCTATTGACGCTCGGAGCAGGGCGTGTCCTGTTTCCGGGCGTTCAACACTTGCCTGAGATACCTGGAATGCCCAAGGCTACAACACATGGAGACAAAGGCGCGTTTCGCTCACTCCATCTGTGCTGCCTGCTGAGCTTGCGCCATGCTCGTCTGCGAGAGAATCATGGCATCCACGTCCTGCTTTGTTCAGCCCTTGACCTGTACGATCCTTTCGGCTGTTCTGACTTGTGGATTGACCACTTCTCTCACTTCTGTAAACTTGACTTCTTCACTTCTTCCAAAGTGTTTACCTACAAGAGACTGGTCCCGACCCAAGCTCAAAGTCCTGGGGGGGGGTGTTCAGAGTGCCTCCGGAAAATATTTGCTCCAAGTAGATGGTCTTGTGCCAACTTTGGGCCAACTCGGCGGCAGATCGGGCACATTTTGGGAAAATGAACGGGGGTCTTGGGTTTTGGATGTCCACCCCAAGTGAATATCCCCAGTGATCAGGTTTTCTGACAATACAGCCTACTTGCAGTGGAAAATACCCCAATATCTGTTGGGTATTTTGGGATCCGGATAGCAAGATGCTTGGTATATAACATAATTGTAATATATATATATATATATATTATACATTCCTACGTACATGATTTGAAAGGGGAAACCCAGCCAAAGCTTCCATAGAGGGCCGCCCCCCCGTTCCAGGTGCAATCTTTGGGAAGACTCAGATCCCGAAATGTGCTCCGCAAGTCTGGGCCACATCATTTTGCTGCCAAGGTCACCCTGAAGTGGTTCAGCGACTTCGAACCCCAGAGAGAAAGGAACCGTAAGCAAATCGGTAAGTTGCCGGCTATGCCGCCGTTGGCTTCCAGGTCACTAGTTGCCATCACATCCGACCAACTTGACAAACCCACAACGCCGCTCATTTGGAGCCAAGCGCTGAACGAAAGGGGTCTCAGCTTTTGGAGTGCAACTGTCCAAAAGGTTTCTTTGATGTTTTTTGCTGTTTCAGGGCCAAAGCACTCATCTCTTTCAAAAGACCATTGTCAAAACGAGGTCCCTCCAAACAGAATCCGTGGATGCCGCAGTCAAACTACCCTGCTCTGTGTGACTGACTGTAAACATGTCGCAGAACACATGAGGTATTGGCTGACTACTTGCCAACAGACGAAAAGCAGATGGATGTGGGTCAAAAATAGATACCCCAAATGGAACCCTGGTAAGTGGAAACATGGACCAAAACCTGCGGTCCCCTGACAAACAGCAGAACCAAGCTGCAGACCTCAAATCGGGGAGGGGGCACCTGGACATCGTCCTGCGCAGAGAGTTTCGACCGAACTGAAGTTAGCACATGGCTGCGGTTGTCAAAACCAATGGGATCCCATTCTGGAGATTGGGTGCACCACGGGTTTGGGATGTTCACTGGGGGTACGACTTGGATTTTGACCCATGGCCACATTGTTTCAGCCCCGGCTTCCTTTTGACCTCCTGGGAACCAGCAAGCCAACAAGGCTTCATTACATCAAAGTCACCAAGCGGTAGGTCAAAGTGTTGCTCACTTTGATCACCGGAACAATCAACCAACATATTGGTCTGTCCCAAAACACGAGGAACCCAAAACTGGCTGGGGTCCTTTTGCTGTCCTTTCAATTTAACCCAAAACGCGTACCCTCCAAGAAAAAACGAATTGATATGGGGGGTGATCAATATTCAAGGCACCCAAAAGTGACCATGATATATTCGGAATACCTGTTCGCAGAGTAGTGGGGCATATCATCATTTTAGTGGTTTTCCCAGTGGGCCCCATGTAAACGACCTTTTGATCAACCCCCATATACTGACCCCAGAAATGTGGCCCCAAACAATCAGTAAGGCCATAAGGGGGCAACGTTTCAGCCAGGCCACTTGCTGCTTCCATCCAAACGCTGATGGGTGACATGGACTCTACCTGTCCCCTTTGTGGATTCACTTAAACTTGGCTGGACTTAGGACCCCAGCAAAATAATAATAAATAAATAAAATTGCCCGGTGAGAACAAAACAAAGGGGACCCCAAAAAGGCAAAAAATGAAAAAGGGGAGCTAATTCTGGGGAAGTAAAGAGACAGATAGAATCCACTCCCGAGCCAGGCATAAAGACCACCGGCCAACTAATTCTGTGTGGCTCACGCCGCTGCGCGAAAACAATACGTTTGCCGGGAAAATACAACGAATTACAAGAGATCCTGTCTCGCCTTTCGCACAAACCAATATTGAGAAGAAACACATAAGCCAACTACTACGCCGATCTGGTAGAACAATCACGCAGTGTAGAAATGCTGGTTCATCCGACTACACTTCACTAGCCTAAGACTGCAAAACTTAAAACAAGATTGGCAACAACATGAACTCTGCTAAAGGGCTCTGCCAAGCATGTAAAGAATTCAAAGGGCCGGCAGCCACGCTTGGGACTGTGCACGAACCTTCTCCATCCTTACCACACAAAAGGGCACTGGTTTGATGTCTCAAACTCGACGCCCGATTTGGCTTGCATCCCCTTACCAAGTCCCTCAAACCGGTGTTTCTCCATAGGACTTCGGAGCTCCTATGTCGGATCTTTAAGCTCTGACTGGTTGGGAGAAACGGATGAGTTTCCCTTGCCGTCTGGTTGGCCCCCTGTGAATCAAACCAGGGGCACCAAAGAAAATGGATTCAACCTGAAAGTGGGCTCTTTCATCTCAGAACAAAACTCGGCTACCATTTACTTGGGTTTAGATTGGGGCTTGGGATTTGAGCCCCAATTCCTGTTGAAACCAATTGGCCCTAACGTAGCCACCAAACCAAACCACAACCCAGTGAATCGATTTCCACGAGGAAGAATTTGGCACTCTTTTGGCTGGTTGATTTCAAAGAGTTCCCCAAGGAATTGCCCTCCCCACATCCAAAAGGACAACCCTCCCCCACAGCAAAACCATGAACAAATGAGAAGCGAACACTGCATGAAACGAGGAATCCAAAGTTAAACCGCATGAAACCTTAAGAAAGGAAATGACCCATTTTGGGGGAGAGATGCAAAACCTGAAGAAAGTTCACAAGGACAACCCTCTTCCCACAACAGGGGTCACTGGATTTCTGCTTCAAGAGCACAATTTTCTGGTGTTCAATGAAACGATCACTACTGAAACGAGGTTGCAACGGGAAATGCAGGGAAGCTCGAAAACACTCATCCTTTTCGAAAGCACTGATCTTTGGGAACAAAGGAATCGCCAAACCCCTTTTACTAAGATTATATAGGGATTTCCATCATCCGGGCTATCACCTGCTCTGGGGTTTGCCCTTCTCCAGCGAAAAATCCTAACCTTCCCAAACCAAGTAGAACCACGTACCAAGGGGGTCAGTGGGCGTTTCTGGCGCTGAGATCAAAAAAAGAACAGCCCTCTTCCAAAAACAAGGGAAAATATTGAACAAACAGGGCTTTCGGTTCTAGTTAGTAAGGGTATATGCCACTACAATCTCAATGAAACCAGGTAGACCCACTTACCAAGGGGGTAGTGACTTGTGGTTCTTCTCAGGGTCATGAAGGGGCTACTTCTGTTGCGTACCAAACCAGGTAGAACCGCTTGCCCAGGGTCGCTGGAAGTTTTGGGCCGGGAGATCCCTGCCTTGGCCTTGCCCACGACCTGCGCCTCGCACCAGGCGCCGTCCAGCTCCACCAGCACCAGGCCCGAGGGCACCTGCGCTTCAGGGGGTTGCGTCCATGGCGCCTGTTTGTTTTCGACCCTCTAGGTTTTTTCATGGTACTCTTCGG